ATTATAGATATATATTGAGAGCCTAGCTAAGGATATAGAGGGTCCTAAGGCCACTATACGCGTGATTTAGGATACTATATTAGCTATTGCGTAGAAAAGCTAGAGCATCACTAAGTAGGCTAGATATTTATTACGCATCGAGGCCGCGCGCACTAATATATAGACTATCCCGACGAGGCTATTATAGGCGTATATATATATTAATACTAAGTTAAAACGTTACGTCGACCTATAGTGTCGTATTTTAATATTTTTTGCGCGTACCTAGGTAGACCACGAATAGGATAGTCCTATATACTAATTTAATCGCCGACAACGTAGTACGTAGGATAAATTATAGCGTGCCACTATAGGTCCCTAGGGCTAGTCTAAATCGCACCCTACCTATATTCTAAGCGAGAAGCTAAACTAGTTATAGCCTATAGAAGCCTATTATATAGTATTTATTAGACATTGACATAACCTATGGGTTGGGTCCATAGGTCGAACCCAACCCGTCTATAGATAGGTCCTAGATAACTACCCCAAACCTATAGATAGATTAGGTCTAGCTACCTATAGATAGGTTAACCTATAGGTTGCTAAGAAACCTATAATACTAGAATATATAATTTGCATAATTTATATAGTATTTTACGTATTTGAGTGGTAAGGTTTAGATAAAATATTATTAGATTAAATTAGGAAGTGAAGATAAAGTGAATAAAGAGTGAAAATTAGTTAAATACTAAACTATTTACTAAGTTCGAACCCTTTATATATCTAAGGCGCCTTCCTTGCCCTTCTAGAATGCCGTACCTAGCTTATTAAGGGTAAACCACTTTTATTATTATTACTTTGCTCACTTTTATAATTAGACAAAATACACTTTCGTCTCTTCCCTACCCTTATAAATAGCCTCACTTTATCCTCGCCTTCCTTAGTATCACTAATTAGATTAATCCCTTCTAATATAGGTGAGATCTTTTTATTTTTACCTTCTTTAGGAATCTCTAGAGCCTAAGCTAGTTTAAGCTATTCGTCTTCTATCTTAAACTAAGTAAGGCAGGAGAATATTATTAAATCCTAGATAGTGGTTAAGTTTAGACGACCTCTATAATAATAATAAATATTATAGGCTAAATTAAATAGCCTCTCTATACTCGTACTAATAGTAGGGATAGAGAAGATATTATAGGCTACTTATATAAAGGTAGGGTATTCCACTTAATAGTCCCTCTAGAAGGCCTAAGGGGTAGTGTATATAATACCTAGAGAGAAAGAGAAGTAAGAAAAAAGGGTAAAGAGGGTTAATAATAAGCGAGGAAGCCTTAAATTAGGAGTTAAGTAGACTTAGGGAAGGAGTCGATTAGACCTAGGGAAGGAGTTAATTAGACTTAGGGGAGTAGTCGCTTAGACTTAAGAATATAAGGGATTAAGCTTGAAAGAGGAGTCGACCTAACTAAAAAGGGGAGTGAAGGAGACTTAAATCAAGAGGCTTATTAGCTTAAAGATACTATGCGAGTTTATCCTAATCTAGGGTGGTTTCACCTTTATCTTTAAGTAACCGATTAAGCTCTAACCTATATATATAAGCTTTAGATAGAAGGGTATAATCCTCTTTGTATTAATAAGCTTTAATCTAATCTTAAAGGGTACTATAGTAGTATTTAGCCTATATCTAACCTAGCTTAGAGTCCTCTAGGCTATTAGACTATTCCTTACGTTTAAAGTATTATAACTTATCCTTTAGTGCGAGGATAGTGCTATATATATATATATTATTAGTCTTAGGCTAATTAGTCTTTATATAGTACTTATAGAGCTTCTATAGGCTTACTTTAAGAGCGATAAGTATCTATTACTTCTATTTAATCTATTATTTATTAGAATAAAAGTAAGGGAAAAGTGAGAGGGAAGTAAGAGCGTACCTTCTTTTTTTTAAGCTAATTAATTAACGCCTCGAGGTGTTTAAATAGCTTATTATAAAGCTTAAATACCTAGTGGATAGTTATATCTTTTATTTTTAAAAACGTGCTTATATATAGAAAGAATAGTCTTATAAGGTAAAGAAGATAATTAACCTAGCGCTATTCCTCTAAATTAAGCTTTAGGTTATCTAGGCACTTAATATAGTAATACCTATTAAAGTAGGGCTATAGTCGTTTAGCCCTTTATAGTATTAGATAGGTGGAATTCCACTAAGTTTAGATATCCTAAATAGGGACTAATCAACTAGGTTCTATCGATTAAAGCTAGAGGAACTCTATACGCCTCTATAGACTACTATTAATATATATTATAAGCTAGCGTACCCTATTAAGGGTATTTATAATATCCCCTTTCTATCCTCGCTAGATAGAAGCCCTCTATAGCTTATTAGTCTATACTATATCTATTATATCGTTCTTTAGCTTTACTTTAATCTAATATAGAAGCTTATTAAGGCTAAGCTAAATTATATACACTATATATAGAATATAAATAATAGAGATATCTAGATAGGTCTATTAGACCTTATTAAATATTATCTTATTATTTAACGTATTATTAGTAGTGATAGCTAGAATTTAGTCTTTAATCCTATATCTATTAATAACTATATATAGGGCTAAAGTAAGATTTTCCCTAGTATATATACCCTCGAGGGGTTCGAAACTAAGTAGGATCTACCTATATTCCTATTATTTATTAAGGAACTAACTAGTAATTACTATAAACGCTTAATAAAAGGGCGACGTCTAGTAGTTAAGTATAAGTGATAGCTTTACGTCTAACGGAAGTATATCTAGTATATCTTACTACTAGACCTAGATAGTGCTTTAAAGATAATAAGTAAGGGTTTTACCTATTTAGAGGATAGGGAGGGAAGGGGCTTCTTAGGTTAAGCGTAAAAGGTCTCGAAAGTGCTAGTTTTCGATAATCTAGAATAGTAGACGAAGGCTTATAATTATAACTAAAAGCTACTTCTTTTAGTCGTTTTCGTTCTATATATTAGGTAAAGTAGCGTATAGAGCCTAGGGATTAAATAAAGAAATATTAGCCTTACTTCTCTTTCACTTTTCTTTTATATCTCTTTCACTTCTCTTTTACCTTATCTTACCTAGGTACGAATCATCGCCTAAATATTTATCTATTTCTACTTATTATTTAGTAGATATCTTTCTCTATACCTTATTATAATATTCGTCCTATTTCTAGGACTATACGCGTAGATCTAGCTATAGTCCTTATAGGTAATATATAGTTTATTAATAGAGATCTCTACGCCCTATTTAAAATATATCTAAATCTTAGATATTAAGCCCCTTTTATCCCACTAAGGATATTCTACTCGTAGTTTCTACCTATATATTATTATAAGGCACTATTAGATAAATATAGCCTTATTTATATTAGTCTATAGGATATAGTTTCTCTTAGGCCTAACGCATTTAAGGATTAATAGGGGCTTAGTGGTAATAGGCGTAGTAGACTAGCTTTTAGGAACTAAGGAGGGTAGGATAGAGAAGTAGTAATTAGATAAAAGAGGGTCGATACTATCACTCGTGATAGAATTAAAGTGTTCTAATAAGGATCTAGCTATAATAAGGCAAAAGAACATAAAAGTAAGGTGAAGTAGGGAGGAAGTAAACTATAGAATAAATAGTAGGTAAGACTATATATATATTAATTAGTTATAACGCGTATTAAGTAGGCCCTTTTATCTAATATTTTTAGTCTAAACCCTAAGCCTAGACCTATATACCTATTCTATAGAATTAATTTCTCTAAGTCCGTTTAATATTAAGTCTTTACCTTCACTACTTACGTAAATTAAGCGTATAAGCTCTCAAACTCGGAGAATATATAGATAGATATCTAGGTAGTATATATAAGAAAAATAATTACTTAATATTTAAAAATAGGTAAGTGAAAAATAAAAGAAAAATCTCTAGTGGAAAGTGATAGTACACTTCCTTATAGGAAATATATATTTCTACTCTACACTATCGAAATATACACAACCACCCTAATATAGACGATAATAATTAGTCTTCCTTATGCGACCGATACAAATAGTACTTATCTAGATATAAATAATATTATTTTATATAAATATATTAGGGAAGGATGAAAAAAGTGGTGATAGTACGCGTTTAGACCAGAATAGAGGTAAGAAACAGTAAATAAGCTAAAAATTATGCAAAAATTCTAGGCTAAATCAGGCCAAATCAGGCCGAAAATCCTAAATTAGGCAGGATTAGGTGTCCATAAGTTGCCTATAGGTTAGGTCAACCCAACCTATAGACAGACAAGGGTCCGCTGTCCAAGCGTGGGCAACCTATAGGTTGGGTCATAGGTCGAACCTTCGACCCATGGACAACCCATGTCAATATCTAATCCTTATAGGGGTGGAATTCGGATACGTAGGAGCTTCTATCGCCTAATGCTAGAATTAGGAGGGATTCGCCTAAGCCCGACTATACTCTTTATAGTGGGAAATCTAGTAATTCCTGCCTTTCGAAACGAGCACTATTTTATTAAGTAACAAAGTGCGCCTATTAGGGGCTATTAGTTATCTAGTAATAATCGTTCCCTCTCTTCCCTACACTTCTATACTTCTATAAACTAGATGACGGCAAAAAGACGGCCAGAAATGGCCGCAAGTGACGCCGTTTTTGGCCGCCTATTTGCCAGCTCTCCTGCCACCCACCCGACCACTGCAGGCACGCACCGTCCCTGGGCCCTCGGCACGTCGCAGCCACCGGGTTCAACGGCCTTCCTCGGAGCCTTGATACCCCGTCCCCGAGGGCGCCAAAAAGGGCACCTCCGAAAATTGTGCTCTTTAAAAACAGCGATTGTACTTCAATTCCTCTCTTCTCCTTGCAGGTGACTCTTCTTCTCCCCAATATCTCAGCGACGAGAATCTTTCTTGGCCTTTGCCTCAGAAACATCCCGAGTCTTGCAATTAGGCCGATTTTAAGACCCTCTCTCAGTCAGGCCCACTTGTCCTGTCGTGCACTAAATTCTTTGTCACCATGGGCCGCCACTCTCGCCAAGCTGACTATCAGTCATCCAGCGACAGCGAGTATTCCGAGGGAGAAAGCATTGCAGACAGCAATTCTGACACCGACCTGACGGAGTCTGAGGATAAGGCCGATCAACTACGCCATGCTGGCGATGCGGCCTTACTATTTGCCGACAATGAACACACCCCAGACTACTACATTCAGCAACTTCAAAACTTTGACGAAACGGTCTATACTCAGGAAGATTATGGAAAGGGCACTACGGCTCTCCTCAACCGTGTTGAGGAGAAATGGTCCCAGTAAGTTCTACCTCCTATGCGTCAACTTGCTTACTCTTGGAATTTATTGAAACTATATATTTACTGTCAAGGTTCTGCTGTTTTATTCGAAAGGATCCCAACGAGGAATACCACCGTATATCGATTCCGATTTTGTACAGTTTCCTCGAGTGGGCTCTTAACTTACGACGCGGTAAAAGTGGAAGAAGACTCCCGGGTATCAAGTGCAAAAGCTCTCTGGACACGTTCTGGAAAGTATTCCGACTAGTCTACGAAAGATCTACTTCAAATAAGATCGACAACAAGATGAACCGCCGGATGCGTCGAGTATACGGACCCTTATTCCCCCGCCCAGCCGGCCCCGCCTGTTCTCTGAGACTGATTTGGTTCCGATTCTAGGTGATTCGACGGTTGGCCAAAAAGTACAGATTGTCGATCTCAGGGCGAGACAAACCTCCTATGGACGTCGAGGATCTGGCAAAAGTCGTGGAGACCACCATCAGCACAACCAAGAAAAAGTTCGGACATGGCCGCCACCGTATTGAGCTTGGACTGTTCTTGCAACTTGCAGGCCTCACGACAAACCGACCGCAAGCCATTCTCAATCTGCGATATCGTCATATCCAAGTGAGCCTCCTCCGTGATCCGCAAGGCGGTCCACATCGAATTGTGATTGAGTTCACATTTGAATTTACTAAGGAGTGGCTGGGTGCTAAGGACTCGTAAGTACGCTGAAGTAGTCGCGGCTTTTTTTCGCTCACATGATCTTTCAGAAACACGTATATCCTCCCCGAAATAATTTTCGATCCTTCCTTGGTTCTCAGCCCGCACGTGTTCCTGTTGGGACTTCTCTTTGCAGACCGAGCCTTCGACCGTGTCGACGGCGAAGAGGTACTTGTCCTTGCAAGTCAACTTCCCCGACTCCAAATTCGAGATGGGTGTAATGAGTTGCGGTTACAGCTTGACCCAGCGATGGATGATGTGCCAGTCTTCCGGATATCTGAGCGGACTTTCGATGGAATCAAAATCTCACCCAACAAACTGCTCCCTTATTCCACTTTGGAGCCATGGGTCAAGAAGATGGGTGTGATTACAGGGATTCGGCAGGTGACACGGCCTTATAGTTTACGATATGGTGCGGGAACAGCTTTAGACAGTAGTGGTGAGTTACCTGATCAATCTTGTCATGTCAATGAATTGAGCGTCCTTCAGGTTCCGTCAGCGATTCACTTCGCAATCTGGTGATGCACCATGCGGATACACGGACATTTTTGAAATTCTACCTCAGTAGAAGAATCAACAAAAACCTACCCGCGATTATTCGCGGCCTCGATCCAGAGGAAGACATTATGCGCGCGGCTTGCCGGATGAGCCGAACTATCGACCCAGATAGGCCGCAAGAGCTAACAACCGAGCAATCATCTTCTGTCAATCGCCAATCGGAAATTGCAGATTTGATACGCCGGCGCGATGAGATCAGTCATGATCTAGGGCGCCCTCTGTCGAGACACAAAGGAACACCAAAGTACGAGATGTACAAGAAACTAAACCAGGAGTTAGCAGGAGCCAAGAAGCGGGCACAAGACACGTTACTCGCAAAAATCCAAAGCAAATATGACCGAGAGCAACCAATGCTTGAGATAAAACGCCAATTATCCGGTACTCAGCCAGCGAAGTCTACGATTAAATTGCTGGAGTGCTCCACAGAGGTCCCTCTCCCTCAACGACGACTAATAAAGAGCCTTTTGACTCTACCTCGACCAACATTACAGGAAGAGATGGCTCGTCGGACAGAAGCCATCGATGCAGTGGCTGCTTATTGTGAATTCCAAGAAGGCGACACCTGCCGTTTGCCACGGAATAAGCGAGTTGAGAACCGAATTGCTGAGACCAAGGTCTCTGATGATCAACCGTTGGAAAAAGAAGCAATGGATATCAGCTTTCATGCAGGAACAACACTCGAATCTGCCCTCCAATCTGTTGTGACGGATCACCGGCCCTTGTTTTGCTTTATATGTTTGGGCCAAGCGGACCTGGACTTTTCTTGCCGTGTTCAAAAGTTTTCCTCGCATGGAGATGTCACCAAACATATCAAGCGAAAGCATTTGAAAACATTCATGAAAAGCACGATTATCGCATGTAATGTCTGTGATGAGAAGTTCACTGAGGTCATGCATTTTCAGCGGCATGCAAATGATTCTCACAAGACTGTTACGGGGCCTCTTTGTGGCAGATAGACCGATGTGCAGATGTTTGACAGAGTACAGCCATTAGAACAGTCTGCTTCAGCTCAATTAATTCCGCGACGTGAAATTAAGTGAATCAATGGATTTTTCTACGGTATGATTTAACTTGAAACTATTTAACACTATATGTATGCTAGGTAGACCGAAATTTGCGCTAGTAAAACGAGCATACACAGGTGTAGGCAGAGCAGAAGAAAAGTCGAATCGGGGACATATGTTCTGTATATACGATAGGTGGGGTACTGTAAATCTCTCAAAATCTCTTTTAGGGTCCGTAGACTATGTGGGTTGTAGTAAACTTCATTGAAATAGAAACTTGAGTCGATGTTGACTACACCTTGAGCATACATGGAGCATACCTGGAGCATACCTGGAGCATACCTGGAGCATACCTGGAGCATACCTGGAGCATACCTGGAGCATACCTGGAGCATACCTGGAGTCAAACATTGGGAGGTACAGGAACTCATCTAGCCGGTACAAAATGAGACAGTGTTTCTCACAAGCCCCATAGCATGTTCAACGTAGAAGAAAAAGTTTTTGATTGGGTCAAAACGTGTCTTAGGAGCTAGCAATTCCAACCCAAACTGCTCGGACGTGAAGATGAAATACAGCTTGACGTCGTACATAGACCAAAAGTAGTGTCTGACTTTTCCACAACCGTGCCATTTTGATTTCAGTACATTTCGTTCAACTTGATATATTCTCATTAAAGTTTTTGAGCTTCAAGATAACCGAATGTGCATCTTCAAACTGACTTCGTTGAACACAACGCTCTTTGCATTAAGAGGAAACTGAGGGCGGAGCTTGCTGCAGTTCAATATTAAAATTTCATTCGCCGGCTTCGGAACATCTAGGGACCATACCGCTGTGTCGGCCGGGGCGGTCCTGGGACAGGATTCGGAACCGCTGGCCGATACTGGCGATTGGCTCAATACAGCCATCCTCGGACCGGTTCGTGACCCCGCAGGGAATGTCGGTGAAAAGCCATTGACAGTGTCCACCAAGCACGCCGATCAGACCCAGATGAGGAAAACGCACACCACGAGCCATGCAGACGGCAATGCAGAAGATCTTAGGCAGGGCGAGCGTCTTCGCCAAGTGACGCAAAAGCTGGTGCATATGCGAAAGCGCCGTTGGATGTAAACTGCAGGATTTCCAGGATCGATGTCGCCACCGTGCTATGCCGAATGTACCACCAAATCCTTGGGATTTCATAAGGACGTTGGATGCATCGCGAAAGTGTAGACCCACGCAAAAATGCTGCTGCTGCTTCAAGCACATCTGTTCAAATTGCGTTTCGGTTAATCGGTTAATAAGTTACGTAGGCTCCCATTGCTGCACCTCAATCACACCAAAACTATCTCCCCAGCTTCATTTGTCTGTTGTTGACCAGGGGTGGCGCTCACGTTGCGTTCCGCTTAGGCCGCCGTTCAAGAAAGGTGCTTTGAATCTAATTAGCTGGATCTAGAAGGTGTTCAACGCTAGTTCGAACGGCCTGGTCGTTACCCCTGCCATCTAGCCCCGCACCTGTACCCCCAATCACACCAACGCTGTATCTCCACCTTCACTGGTTCATTTTTGATCAGGGATAACGTTTGCGCCGCATTCCGCTCGGATCGCGGTTGAACATAGATACTTCCGGTTCAGTGCAGCTGCATGTTGGGATCCTACCAACAGTCTATCTTCCGCCTCACTGGTCCATTTGGGATCAGAATAGTTCAAGTTGCGGTTAGACCGCGGTTGAACATAGATCGTGCCGGTCGAGTGCAGCTACAGCCCGATCATGCCACCCGACCCCTATAGCTGCATCTCGGATCACACCAATATAGACCCTCTACCTCACCCACAAGCTGTTGATTGAAGTGGGGCGCCACTTGGGCCGCGGTTGAACTGATATGTTCTCGATCGAGCGTAGCTGGAATTCGTAGAATGCTTGCCCGACCAATTCAGCGTTAACCAAGCCATGCGGCCTCCACAACTCTATCCGACATGCCACCAACATTGTCTCTGCCGCCTCACTCGTCCATTGTCGATCAAGCGGTGTAATCTTGCACCATATACATGCCTGAACATTAGAACGACATTTACAGTAACCCCGCGACGGGCGCGAAGTCGCGTTCGAAGAATAGAGTACGGGACTAAATAAGTCCGTGCCAGTACACGAATTGGTGCTTTTCCCCCGTTTTTTAAACCCTGAATAGCTAGGAAAATACAGCCTTCTTGTTCGACGGAATTTCGGCTTGATCGAGAGCGATTTGGTGGCATGGTGCTGTGAAACATTTTCATGGTTCATCCAACACTGGCAGAAAGCAATAATTTCTCGTACGAGATGTGGCCTGAGGATCAGAGTCCCAAGTTGGTCAAGAGATTTGGATTGCAGATTTCCAAAAGAAATTGGAGAGGAACGGGGCTTGGCAGAGACAATCTGCAATTAAGGATGTTGTTGGCACAACCGGAACAGCATGATCATTTCACTGACTATGCTGCATCTTCAGAGGTTACCCATACCAGGATCCCTTGGATAAGCTTGTTGATACCGACCGCTTTCCTCACACTGAGCCAGTTTGCGCCATTGGTCTTAGTAGGTCTGATTTACGAATTGGTCGATCAAAATTTGAGTGGGGATAAAGACTGCCAAGATTGCCATTGGCAGCGGAAGCAGGATCATGCAGGAGATCCACGTAAAACAAATACTGTAACAGATTGTGACCCGCTTTCTTGGTCAAGACACCTCGCGGTCTCTTATCTCCGGCTAACATCACATGATCATAGAGCATGGCTAGGAGGTTTTTCCGGTCGCCCGTTAGGAGAATTTAAACTTGCATTTTGTGGAAATTCCTCAAATTTGCGTGTTAAATCGCCAATAACACATGCCATGGGAAGCCTAAATCTGAACCTATGAGCATTTACCAGAAATTTGAGTCTCACTATCTATGGGCCTGTCGAGTTGTCCCGAGACGATGACTCCATCTCCAGTTGAGATTCGAACATTGTATGGACCAATCACCCCTTCGAAAGATATTTTTCTGCCAGTCAACTCTGCCATGGCATTATAGGAAATAGAGACAGCTGAGCCATAGAAGGAAGGGGCTTCCTGTAATATGGTACCACTGAAAGAACAAAGAATGCCGTCGATGCTGAATGATGCTTTTATTCGACGGTTCTGGTTTCGGAGCATTTCTTTTCCGGAATACATCTATTGGATGAGGGTATTAGCTAAGGTTAACCGAAGCACAGGTAACAGCCACATAGCTGTCTGGATGACTCACTTTGTAATGGAAGCAGAGAGATGAATTTGTAGATTTTCAGCTGTGCAGAGGGGATCGAAGAGAAAGGGTGCGGTGATTGATTACATCGCAAGGACCTGGGTAGGTGCGATGTAAATTAAATAATGAAATGCCCTCAATAATCTCTTGGGCATCAAGAAAGGTAAACCTTCATTCACCATTCTTAATTCATCACTCTCACAACTGTCGAGAGTTCATATTCATCATGGGCAAAGGTACATTATCCTCCAGAATGAAATCCTCTCTCATAGTCTAAAATAGTGACTGTTGCTTTAGTACCTAAGATACTCTGGAAACATCTCGGGATATTCGTGGAAAGTGATGAATTGAAGGAGGGTGATGAATTGAGGGAGAGTGGTGATTGATAATTCTGTTGGTACCTGACGAACGGACGCCGATGGTATTTCAGTGCTATTTAAATATCATTCCATTCTCTTTTTCTTTGATACTGGACACAATATCCACCATGGCCGAGTTCCCACAAGACGTCCAACATTGGAATAACTCAACGAGTTTTACTGCTCTACTCAAGTTGAATAAGAAGTTTCTTCGAGGTGAAATTTTATCGTCTCCTTATCATTACGGCCCCATTGAGGAGGAAACACTTAGCCTTGTTCCTGCTTTGTTGAAACTACACGACCGGCAGATTTTTACGTGGTCCAGCCAACCATACTTACGTGAACGCAATAGAGGAGACAATGGCAAATTTTACGACCACTGGCAACGACCTTTTATCTCCTTTATCGTGGCCGAGAAAAACAATCCGCGGAAACTCTTTCAAGAATTGAAACGAAAAAGAGATATCAAAGTTCACGCACGAAAGGTTTACTCGCCTGAGGCTGCTGTACAAGGATCATTCACTAAGACAAAGATTGTTACCAAATATCGACGTTCGTACTTTTGGCGGCGATGGAAAGCTTTTACCGCTGTTGATCCGGCGGCAGATATAGCAGAGGAGGACATTTTCTGCCTAGACGCTATGAAGCAAGCAGGACCATGGGAATTCGACGTTGTCGCAGCTTCGTGGAAGGATGTCGATATTACAGGAATTGTTATAGACGCAGTTGGTGCGTCACAGGCATGATGGGCGACCACTGCATGTATCTTGATACTTTCTTTTACAGTGGTAGCACAGTAATTAGCGAATCTGCTTCCTCCCTGACAACTGTTTTCCTTCCCCTGGGCCCCACCGCCCAGGGCACTAGTGCGTGACAGATATCAGCGAAGTTATTACTGCTTAAGGTAGCAGCAGGCATTTAATACCGAATTTCATTTTTAATTTACAAAACACCTACGCTATCTCTCGTTTTACACGGCGGTGGTCGGCAGAATTGTATTCTGAAACTAGCTGTTTATTAGGATGTGAGAAGATAGTCGATGTACGTGATTATAGTCGTGTAGGACTATTGGCTATTAGTATTAGTTTAACCTTCTTGTTCCCTTCTCGGACTCTATTTTTCGTGACGCTAGGGATAGGGTAGTGAGTAAGGTATACGCACTTGCTCCTAGCCCGTTTCTTATTTAGCGGTCTAAGGTGACCTAGGCTAGTTATAGATATTGCCATTCAAACGAAGTAGAGAACCAAGCATTGCTGTCTTATGCCTTCGGCAAGCGGTCTTTAGCGATGTTTTGGGTACGGGGTCCTGTTTTGCCATAGCACCGCATTGTACAGTAGTTACTGTATTTAACAATGTGGATTTTGAAAGCGGATATATAGACTTAAGGCATAGGTAGCTTCGATAGTCAAGTTTTCTATTCAATTGATCTTTCTTAACCATAAGGATGAACAGCTAGTGGTTATTGTAGATGATGGATAAACCATAACATGACAAGGAACAGTATTAAGATCATTTTTCGTTGTGGTAGTAGATAAAGTGGCGGTAGAGGGAGTGGCGGTAGAGGCAGAGGGAATGGTGAACAGTGACTTGTTGGTGACAGAAGCTAGGGCAGTTGATAATGCGGAATATGAGAGCATTTTTGATGTGGATACTTCTGATTTAGATGCAATGCACCAACTACCAGCCTTAAGTCCCTTTTTGAGTACGCAGCTCGAGCTGTCACCATTCTTATTGAAAAAAGTAACTAGACCCGTGTGGTTTACTTGTATCCAAGCAACTGGTGAACCATCTTCTGTGCCGCATACGTCAACACTGAGCGCAGAGTGTTGCTCACTGAGCTCTAGGAAACTGTTAGCAACAGCATAATATTTCAATTGTGGTAGTTAATAGGTACTTAGGCATTCATCTCCATCTAGTTTGGCAAAGGATGCAAAGTAACCCGTGCAGCCATAGCTGCCGTTGGACCATATCAAACACTGGCGATCGTAATCTATGACTTCAAAGGTTCCGGCTCTAGAAGTGCATGCGTGAATAATCACTAAAATTGCAAGTGATAAAGGATGCATCTTTGAAATAACCGGAAAGAGACTAGAACGCGACAAGCTCGAGGTTGTCAAAAAATACCACATGGAAAGAAAAGGAGAAATTCTAGGGGGGAATAATATATACTAGATCTCGTTGAGTTGGCGACTCCCGTGAAATGCCCTTCAGCCAGGACCTAGGCCATCAAAGTCTACAAAGCAACGCTCACGGTACTGGGTATAACATTATTGAGGGAGATATAGTACCGTATACGGCGCACTTTTCGATGACCCTCAACTTGGTATGGCCTGATTAACCTGCGCTAAACCCTTTGCAGCGGGGCCCGAGAAAACAGTGATGAATTGAAGGGGAGTGACGAGTTGAAGGCTCCGTACTCTACTGTAGCTCAAACGGTATGACAAAAATAGAACAACAGGCGCAAATGAAGGTACCAGAAAAGACCAGAAAAAGGCTCAGAACAAACGAGAAAGTACAAAATAAGGAGCAAAAGAAAGCCAGAAAGGAGAGCCAAGCAAAACAGGAGGCACAAGTGAAAGCGCAGAAAAAGGCCCCGAAGGAGCTTAAGACAAAGCAAAAAGCCCAGACCCAAGCGCAAAGGAAGGCGCGGAGAAAACCCAGGAGAAGCTCAAAGCAAGACAGGAAGCCCAAATCGAAGGGCAAACGAAGACGCAAGAGAAGGCGCGGAAGAAAGCCAGGAATGAAAGCCAGGAAAAAAAGCCGTGTATCAGTGTATCTGTGATTGCGACACCAGGTGGAAGTGGTACGCAAGCTCCAATTTTCCTCAAGGACAATACTCATTATTTGCGAGATTGGGAGCATCTTAACATACAGTATGATATAAATAGCATTTTCATTTCATTGGCCGTTATCGAAGTCTTTCCTCTTGCCCACGAACTGTCATAGGCCGGTATTAGCTTCTCTCTCCGATGTATCCTGTTGTGGCAAGACTCCTTGATTCACTCCCAATACTGTTGTCTCTTCAGGGGTTGGACTGGTATTTTGCACTGGTTGTTGCAACTGAATTTGCTCTAAATATGAGGCAAGACCATCAAGTAGCTTCTCTACCTTATCTTCAGTGAAGTGTCAGTCGTTTTAGAATATTTTAATGGAGCCTAAATATGTGCTATTCAAAGAGGACATTTACCTTCAGACTTCTCTTTGATCATTTGACAGTTGTCGCATAACCAAGGGTATCTAGGTCGGCTCATCGTACGATGTTGATCTTCCGAGAACGCTTCATCGCTCAATGGTGCCTCCGATCTTGTTGAAGTCACTGAGAATGTTCCGCAGCCTATGTTACTTGTGTTTGATTCACATTCCGATAAGGTCAGTTGGTCTTCAACTTCTTTGGAATATTTCATTTGATCCCATGTAGAGTCTTCGTCAGAATCAAGGTCGTCATTAATTCCTGTTTTTTTTTTCTCGTTGATTGACTTTGAATCAGTTTCTATATAGATATTGCGGCTAGTATGAGCGTCGTATTCGAATGGTATTTTGAGAGGGGGGGTACCATTGTTCTGAGCCATTTATTAATCCCTCTGGGCTTAAGGAGCGTTTCCTAACAGTCAAAAAACATAGACGGTGGAAAATAAATATTAACAAGTGTTATGTTGCCTGGGCATCACATTTGGCGCAAAGAACAGATCTTTTATAGTCCTTTGAGTAGGCAAATAGCAAAGAGTAATACCGGGAAACGCAAAAACATATGGGAAAAGTACGAACACAGTTCATCTCCCAGGCCCCAATACAAGGTAGGCGCCGGCAATTGCTCTGATGATCAGATGCTGCTACACCAAATAACGTTTAGCTAAGGCCGTGGTTGAACATGTAGCTGCAACCGTCACAGCTAGGACACGAGCCTAGCAGCTGTTGACCTTGGGCCGTTTTTGCATTCAAGGCACAAAAAATACCCTCGGCGGTTCAACCATCTTCGTCCCATTGGTGCAGGAATTTGTAACCGGGTAACCACCACCGTGGCTAACCTATCCGGAAGAATCATGTCCTCTATCATATCACGGTTAAGAACAAGCTTTGAAGATGACAGTCTCGGAGCCATATCGCCTGGACTAATAATGGGAAGCGGGAAGCCCCCGTGCAGGAAGTTGCAGATTACCACGAGAGGAGGGCGGAGAGGGGTAAGGAGGGTACTGGCGGGTGTGTACGAAAGGTTCGTTACAATACATCCCCTATTGTAATAGATACATATTGTAAGATACAAAGACTATTATGGAAAGCGGTCCATACCAAAATGCTTAGAATAGTATCCAATCAGGACTCGTAAATTTAGGATTTAATTTCCGGGAATTAAGTTTAAAGAGTGTGGAGTCAAACTGAATTCGAAATTCTCTGTAAATGTGTTAATAATTCATCCCACCCCTCATCGAAAGTACATGTAACCTATCTATGCTAGGAACCTTTTATATATTGACTGACTGGTAAATTCCGACCATGTTTTCAACCCAGCAACCAACTGAATCCATTTCTTAGTAACCTATACATACAGGTAATCGCAAGCCAAATTGTTTATCATCCAAATAGTTTGAAAAAGCTGTTCCCGGTAAGACCTTACACTCAAACTGCGAAGAGCTATCGTGTTATCAAAAGGCATCCGACGTTAAAAAAGGCCTTTTCGACAAGCAGAATAGGCAAGAAGCTATGAGAGACAGGACTACTGCAGACCAAACAGCAATTAGTAGTCCACCTAAGCTTGCGTGTATTCCCAAACTTCTCAAAGCGTCCTGCTGAATGAATAACTTGATAGACACGTAAATCGTGGTGATAATAGCTGAGGCGCACAGCAAGAAAATGGAGGCAAACTAGACCCCATAAATATGTACGTAATCAGACTTTGATTTTATCAGACTTACCAATGAGAGGACGGTAGTTAGCATTCCTGACAATTTGGAAAGTAATGGTGGATGTATAATCAATCTCCATTGGAAAATAAGCCAGAAAGATGCTGACACAACTGCTCCACAGGTCGCTGTGGTTCCAATTATGTAAGCTGAAATAGCCCAGCGTGATGCGCTATGAAACGCTTCGAGATGTTTTTTGACGTCACTTGAAAGCAACGAATTGATATCATTTTCAAATGAGCCAAAATGACTGAAAATGTCAAAAGAAAATGAGTTGCTAACTACAGAGCAATTGGAGGGGGAAGACGAATCCTTATCAACTTGACAATAGCTTCGCAGTCCGACGATGTAATAAGCAGGAAGATGAGATTTCAAGTCATCCGCCAAAGACTGAACATTTTCGCTAGCCTGATCTACTTCACTCTTGGTGGCATCGGAGGCCTGCGAAATACTACTGGCGGCGATTTTCGTCACAGTATCACCGATCTTGGCTGTGTTATCCCTTAAATCGGAATCGCTAATTCCGCCAATGTTGACTAATCGACGGACATGAGTCGTTTTAAAGCCAGGAAAATCGGTCAAGTTTACCTGTGAGTTTCATTAATACAATGCAGCCCCTAAAGAATCCTTGTATCTCACTTTCAAGAAATGAAAGCTAGATGGTGAAGATGTAGACGTGCATCCATCAAAAATCATTGTGAGAGGTATCACATTTATAATCGAAAATGCCAATGCCACTAAAGCAACAATTGGTCTTCTTTCAGCGTTGACTATCATTGAAGCAAAGTTCCCTCCAAGTTGATCTGAGTAGTTTGAAAATATTGCTTTCTCGAAGCATCGTTCAGTTCTGGCGTAAGGGGTAGTGTGGGCTATGATAAAGTACTAGAGGAGTGTAAGGGACAAACTTTAAAATCAGGAGAATCAGAAAGTAGTAGAAGCAAGCCTTTGTTAAGTTGTTTTCGATTATTGATTTCCGGTAGATTGGATATTTCGGTGTATCTAGAATTTACGCTAAAAAATCTAGTAAGATTTTATTTGAGAGAAGAAAATCTTAAGCTCGACAATTAGGTTCTTTTCCAGATTAAAACCCAAACAAGATATATGGGTTCAAGGTCACTTTCTTGAAGCCAATAGAATTGAGGCGTTCTAAAGCTTTTATGCCAAGTTTTATTTAGATACTCGAACGAAAAATATTCGGCAGGGGGCACAAACTGCATACCGACAAATTTTATGAGAAGAACTCTCTTAGATTGTCAAACGGGAAGTCATCGCAGTCTCCCTTAAAAGTGATTCTCGAAATCGCCTCGACCAGTACACACCAAGAAACTATTTTCTGGCTCCACTGCCAAAACCTTAGCGTATACTATTCATTGTACTATGCATCTTGTATGGTATTATTATATTTGCATCTATCAGATTACATCAGGCACTTGAGATGTTGGCCGGTGAGCTTTGATATTTATGTACTGGAGAATCTGCAGTTTACGGCGCCTCTGCGCCAAATTCAAAGCGGGTACCCGCAGAATTTCCAAAACATACTAGCTGGCCTTGGCGCTGTGACTGGAGAAACAATCAAAGAGTGTAGTGGTTGCGCCATTTTCGGGACGCACTGTACCATCTCTCGTTAAGATATTGATATCTGAGATGACATATATTGAAAGGAATCCCGTATGGGCTCCAAGGCATGTATTTTTTGATCAGTGATAGTTGCCCTTTCGGTTCAGCCGCCGGGAGTTAATGAATTGTGTGTGTGTACAGTACCATCTCTCCCTGACCGCGGCCAGTGGTTTCAGCCCGCGGACCTGTCGCGAGCGTTCATGTCCTTTCCCGGTGCGAATATTGCGGTTTTACATGTCATTTTAACTTGATGGTCTGCTGAAGATGGCAATAGAGACTAAACATAGAGAATGTCGCTTAAAAACATATTTGAAATGGCCAAGGCCAGAAATCTCCTTTGCTGGATAACGCGCGCCGCGAAGTCAAATCACGGACGATACAGTAGTAGACGGTGAAAACAATCGTGCGATCAACAATGACAAGCTTATTAGAGCAAATTGCTCAAATTAGAATCTTGTCACGACTTTGCGCGGATCACTCTAGTGTCATCGAAGGAATATGGACTGGTCCCTCATTCTCACCCTCGAGAACAGTGATGCGAGGCGAAAGGAGCCGGAGCAGCTGGGTGGTATTTGCAGGGAACTCTTCTACTCTCCAAGAGAATCTCTTGCATACTCGGCAACGCATGATGAGCTTGCCCTTGGTTCCTGCACCACAGTGGGGCGCTAATAGGAGTGGGCGCCACCTGCGTGTAAGAGCTTGCTATAGATCTCTGTGTATGGCATCAGATGAGGAACGGTCGCTCGAATTGAGTTGTGTCTTATTTCTCGTAGGGATGCGTTGATCTATTGAAGACCTACTTATTGGTGGCATCAGCCATGAAGAAAGCCCACGGCATGTTGAACGACCCAGGGTGGTCAATGCTTAGGATAATTGAGCTCAAGAGTTATGCACGCGATTACATACGCCCTTGTTGACCATGATCATGTGAATCCTGGATCTATAGGTTTGTTGAACTCATGTATTCGCAAGCTTTCTCCTAGGCCGGCGTTGACCGCTCGTGCGGATCTATAGATCCTATTGGTGGACGTTGAACACAAGATAATCACCTGCTATCCAGCTGCAGTCTCGCACGTAGCCGTTAGCCGACGCAGTGAGTGTAGCAGGGTCGGCATGACTGCATGGTTGACCCTGACTAGGTGGGCTATGTAAGGTTGGTCAACCACGCCCGGGAATGCACAAATAGTCGGCTGAGCGAGCAGTGGGACTGAACAGCTGCATGCGGCGTACGGTTCGGCATCGACTGCGCTTGAAGTATAAGCTAGTCGTTGAACTAAGACTTCTGCCTCGTCTTGACTAATGATCCCGTGCTCACCCATGCCAACCGTGCAGACACGATTCGTGCCCAGACCCATATTTACCCGCAAATGGATTTTTGCATGATTGCGACGAAGTCGGTTGAACTGCTGAGGATGTTCGGACTGCGCTGAGCAAGTTTGTGTCCTGGAGGAGAAATGACCTATGTACAATGACTGCTAGGCTCGTGTTCTAGTGGTTTAGCCGCAGGTCAATGGAAATGAGAAGGTGTATATGTTCACTGCGCCGAAGCGGAGTCCAATTTGATCAACAATGGACGAGTGAGGCGGCGGAGACAATATTAGTGGGATGTCGGGTAGAGTTGTGGGACCGGTTGGCTTGGTTAACGCCGAAGTGGTCCGGGCAAGCATTCTACGGATTGCAGTTACGCTCGATCAAGCACTTATCAGTTCAACCGCGGCCCAAGTGGCGTCCCACTTGATCAACAACATACAGCTCCGCTCAATTGGGAACATCTATGCGCAACCGCGGCCCAAGCGGTGTCCCACTTCGATCACCAGCGTATGGGTGAGGTAGAGAGACTACGTTGGTGTGATCCGAGATGCAGCTATAGGGGCCGGGTGGCATGATCGGGCTACAGCTGCGCTCGACCGGGAGGATCTATGTTCAACTGCGGTCCAAGCGGGATGCAACTTGAACGTTGTTCCGGTCACAAATGGACCAGTGAGGCGGAAGATAGAGTGTTTGTATGATCTCTATGTTCAACCGCGATCCGAGCGGAATGCAGCGCGAACGTTATCCCTGATCAACAATGACCAGACTGCGCCAAAATCCGCAATGGGTTCTGGAATCAAAACGCAACCCAACCCGCCAAAACCCGCCAATTCATAAAATAGGTCGTTCGCGCGCTTACTGTGTGTATCGTCTGGGCTCGATTCGACAACCTTGACACAGGATAGCGACTTATTCTATCGAGTATTAAGCATCATGATGTTCCCAGCCGTTGCGGCAGCTGGCTTTCTTTTTACACTCAGCGCCTCTGCACAGTTAATCATTTCAAGCGGTGACGGCTTCGGCACATACTACTACGACATTGGGCAAGTGGATGCATGCGGGACCACTTTTGCGAACCAAAACAAAGGGGGAGTTATGTGTAGCTCTGCCACCCTGCTCTCTCTTGATCAGATGAACTCCGACTATGTTGTTGCCATGAACAGCACCCAGTTAGGAGAGGATCCAGCTCTGTACTGCGGTAAAAAAGTAATTATCTCAGTTAATGGGCAGCGATCCGACATGCAGCTCTTTATCGGGGATGGCTGCCAGCGTTGCGGCATCGGCTCTTCCTCCAGCAATACCTGGAACGCAGAGGGCGCCCCCGGCCTCGATTTCAGCTATACTGTCCTAAATAAATTGTCTGGCGGTAACGCTTGCAGCGAGGGCCACATCGCCATTTCATGGGAAATCCTTGATGACTCAATATTTACTTTTCATGGCAGCCCTTCAGGCTCTACCCCATCATCCGAATCTAGCGATTTCGACACCGCCACGGTACAGCCCTTAGCTCAATCTGTGGCCCTGACGATCAATAGCGCGTCAGAAGGCCAGCTGGAAGTAATGCCCACAACTTGTTCAAACAATGTATGGCGATGCAGCGGCGATGTGCTTGAGCAGTGTATTGGCAGTATCTGGACCCCTCGCGTTACTTGCGCCTTAGGATCCAGCTGCCAAGGTGGCTCGAACCCCTACTGCACATAAAGAATTCCAGAAGCTGGTACATTACCCTATGCTAAATTTTTAAGACTCTTTCGTCTTGCGCCACGTTTTGCTTAAATCAATGGGTGTACATTATAGATTTATTGTAGCTACGATGTGATCGTGCCAAGAAAATGAATCGGATACATGCAAGAATCATTGAGAGATGGTGAAGCTGCTGCTCGAACGGGAAGATATCGACATCGAGGCAAGAGGAAAACTCGGATCTACTCCATTCTCGTTAGCCGCTTCTTCGGGAAGGGTCGACCTTATACAGTTGCTTCTCCAAAGATCTGATAATATTGATGTGAATCGCTTCGATATTTGGGAGCGTAAAACCGCTCTTATGGTGGCTGCAGAGCGCGGTCACCTGGAAACCTTAGAACTTCTCCTTGCATTGGACAAAACAGATCCCAACCTCACTACCTCCAAAAACCATGAAACAGCGCTAGAATTTGCGGCTTTTGAAGGACATCTCGAAGTGGTCAAAGCCCTTCTAAGGGATCCAAGGCTAAAATGTGATCTTAGTTGGCCCACATTGTGCGCCAAATATAAAGGTCATGATGGTGTTGCACGGATAATCAGCGATGAAAGAGAGAAGCGACAGTCGCGTCGTGGGAGCGACTAATGCTGTGACGAGGAGTATGGATTGTTTTCAAGCAGTTCTTTGATTTTTATATACACAATACTCAATATTACACGCGCTTGCCATTCTCTTGCAGATAAATCTTGATATAGGTCGGGATGCCCACCTTGAGGAAGTGTTTGTCTCTGTGTTAATCCTGTCTCGCGTTTCAACTTCCCCTTCGCGCCATATGACAACCGTCGAGCAGAGCTCAATCAAATCACTGGTGGTGGCGCCAGCAGTTCTCCAGAAATAGTAATATCGTTCTGGTACGGTCATTGAACTAAGAGTATGAGCAGGCACATTATGCGGGCGGTGATCCCTGCTCTGAGTGGCTTCTTCCTCTATGCCAGTCCTTTCCAAAGTGGGGCGCTAATAGGAGTGGCAGCCACCTTCGTGTAAGAGCTTGCTATAGATCTCTGTGTATGGCATCAGATGAGGAACGGTCGCTCGAATTGAGTTGTGTCTTATTTCTTGTAGGGATGCGTTGACCTATTGGGGAACTACTTATTAGTGGCATCAGCCATGAAGAAAGTTCACGACGTGTTGAACGACTCAGGGTGGTCAATTACCGAGATACATGAGCCCACGAGTTATGCACGCGATTACATACGCCCTTGTTTACCACGATCATGTGAATCCTGGATCTATAGGTTTGTTGAACTCATGTATTCGCAAGCTTTCTCCTAGGTCGGCGTTGACCGCTCGTGCGGATCTATAGATCCTATTGGTGGACGTTGAACACAAGATAATCAGCTGCTATCCAGCTGCAGTCTCGCACGTAGCCGTTAGCCGACGCAGTGAGTGTAGCCGGGTCGGCATGACTGCATGGTTGACCCTGACTAGGTGGGCTATGTAAGGTTGGTCAACCACGCCCGGGAATGCACAAATAGTCGGCTGAGCGAGCAGCGGGACTGAACAGCTGCATGCGGCGTACGGTTCGGCATCGACTGCGCTTGAAGTATAAGCTAGTCGTTGAACTAAGACTTCTGCCTCGTCTTGACTAATGATCCCGTGCTCACCCATGCCAACCGTGCAGACACGATTCTTGCCCAGACCCATATTTACCCGCGAATGGATTTTTGCATGATTGCGACGAAGTCGGTTGAACTGCTGAGGATGTTCGGACTGCGCTGAGCAAGTTTGTGTCCTGGAGGAGAAATGACCTATGTACAATGACTGCTAGGCTCGTGTTCTAGTGGTTTAGCCGCAGGTCAATGGAAATGAGAGGGTGTATATGTTCACTGCGCCGAAGCGGAGCCCAATTTGATCAACAATGGACGAGTGAGGCGGCAGAGACAATATTAGTGGGATGTCGGGTAGAGCTGTGGGACCGGTTGGCTTGGTCCGGGCAAGGATTCTACGGATTGCAGTTACGCTCGATCAAGCACTTATCAGATCAATCGCGGCCCAAGTGGCGTCCCACTTGATCAACAACATACAGCTCCGCTCAATTGGGAACACCTATGCTCAACCGCAATCCGAGCGGAATGCAGCGCGAACTTTATCCCTGATCAACAATGACCAGACTGCGCCAAAATCCGCAATGGGTTCTGGAACCAAAACCCAACCCAACCCGCCAAAACCCGCAAATTCATAAAATAGCTCGAATAGGCAGGTAACCTTCCTATTTAGGCTATTTTTATGGAATTTATGTAGTTATACAGGTTTGCTGGTGTTGAAATATGAGTAAAACCCGCAGGAGCCCCACTTTTGCGGGGTTTTTTTGGGTTTTGGCGCAGTCTAACAATGACCCAGTGAAGATGGAGATACGGTGTTGGTGTGATTGGGGGTACAGCTTACGGGGCTAGATGGCAGGGGTAACGACCAGGTCGTTCGAAATAGCGTTGAACATCTACTAGATCCAGCCAACTAGATTCCAAGCATCTTTTTGAACGGCGGCCCAAGCGGAACGCAACGTGAGCGCCACCCCTGGTCAGCAACGGTCAAATGAAGCTAGCGAGATAGTGTTGATGTGATTGAGATGCAGCATGGGAGCCCACTTAGCCAATCAACTGAAACGCAATTTGAGCAGGTATGCTGTCGGTTTTGCGTGGGTCTACACTTTCGCGATGCATCCAACGCCCTCATAACGCCCCAAGGATTCCATGGCACATTCCACATAGCACGGTGGCGACAGTGATCCTGGAAGTCCTGTAGTTTACATCCAACTGCGCTTTCGCACATGCACCAGCTTTTGCGTCACTTGGCGAAGACCCTTGCCCGACGTCCCATACTCTTAATTCCCACTGATTGTCGGAGCACGTAATATAAGGGCCAATCAGCGGTGAAAAGAACTCTGTATTGCTATACCCCTGAATCTGGCAATTTATGGGGGTTTCTGATTACATAAGAAATAATTACATCGGATTATCCAATAATCCGGTCTCCATAGGCTGTTCGTTCCGACACTGATTTATTTATCACGATCCGGGTATTAGTCATGCTAATGCCTTCCGTCATTCGTCTTATCTTGTTTAATATGCATGCGACTTATGACCCACCGATCTAACTCTCTATTTACACTTTGCTTACTTACCATCCTCTTATTTTTATCCTCAGGGCCGATGCGCGCAGCGCGCATTTTAATAGTGGAACTAAATCATTTTTGGGGCTCACGGATCATGTGATTAGGGTTTGAAAGAGCATCTACATGTTCGCAGCATGGAAGCCAATGTCGGGCGCTTCTGTGGCAGAATTCTACCATGTATATTACCCCTAACCTTCATATACTGTTATTAATTACCGTAAATAGGGATGTGACCCCCTCCAACGAGCGCCGCCAATATTGAACCGGAGAAGATGATAAGCAATGCCAGTGCTCTAAGGAAAGACTGCAGATTATTCCCGGTACACAAACATTCAGTGCAGTCATGACCTGAATGCCATTTGTTGTGAGCCTCCATCGGGTATAATTCATGTTCCATGGTCCCAGAGTGTTTTGGCATTGCTAAATTTTCCATTAACATGAGGGGGAATCATTGTGGAGAGAGACAAACCCTGAGTGTTGAGTATGTTGGATATTGGGGCAGAACCTCATCAGAGGAAATGTTGGCTCTGAAGACAAAAGTTTCCAATAAGACTCTCTAATGGACACTGGCGGTATTATATAAGAAACGAGCCATGCATCTATAATGTAACTCGAGACGCTGAACAGATTGAGCTTGAACTGAGTGAACTTGATCGATTGCTTAATGATTGTCAAGTCTTGAACCATTTGAATTAAATGTTTGTTAAAATCTTTTCCAGATTGATAGGAATGTCTCAGAAACCGCCATTTCCCAACCTCTCCCGGCCTTTAAGCAACTTAAACGCTAACGTGCATGGAAATATATGTAAATGAACATAGGTAATTTTTTGAGAGACAGCTCATACATTTGCACAGAAGATCTCGAAGTATGAGATTGGCGCAGTTCATAATGTGCTGAATTTGTTGCAGCATAGATCTGTCGGATGCTACCTTGGTGGTCTCGAGTTGCATCTTATAAACGTAGTGATAGCTTTTCGTCATCCCTTGGCCTCAATGGACCCAGACTGTACGCCCAACCCTCTTCTCGTGCCCAAAAGCTTGGGTCCCACGTCTGCTCCATCGCAATTGTGTCATTGACAGGATAGGAATGGCGTATGATAGAGAACCCATTGATGAAGAACCAGTCATCTGAGCCCGCTAATTTCCTGCGCCGAAGCTGGCACTCATCTCCACATACTGAAGATACTTTGCTTAACCCGACAATATTGACGGGGAACCAGTCGGCCGACTTCCAGTGATGCAGCGACAATGGCAACTCCCGTCCCGATTCATAGAATCCCGACCCGTCACTTTGCCAAAAGTCCAATTGATGAAGTCCTCGGTCCCAAGTGAGCTTGGTGGTAGTATGGAGATAAATGCATTGAGATATTCGTTTATCGCCAAATCCCGTAAGCTTGGTGCATTCGTCGTAATGTTTATCAAGCTCCTCTAGAGTGGGAATAGAGAGGAAAATCCCTGCACCTCCGTAGGCCATGTAGCCATAGTTCGAAAGGCCCATGACGTTTTCCGTGAGAGCTCCGACATATTGTGGTACCGTAGCGTCATATGAGGCTAGTCGCTTGATGAGGTTTGACATGGACGGGAAAAAAGTATCGTCATCTATGACGACACCCCACTGTGAGTTCTCATCGATATTTCGAAAGAGAACTCGAGTAAGTGATATATATCGATCCAGGACTTTTTCATACGATTCAATGAGAGTAAGGCGAATGCCTAGCTCAACAGCCTGTTGCAGAACAGTGTTTTTCCGAGAGTCGTATTCGACTAACGCGAATATCCGGGCATTTGTGCCACTGGCCCAATGCGAAAAAGCTTCCAATGAGTCTATTAGCCGGTCCAAAGAGGTAGCGACACCAAAAATTATATGCGATGCGTCGATACGTTCAGGCAAAGGGGCGGAAATTTCAACAGTTGGGGGGCATTGGTTGAGAGTCTTACGGCTCTCATTTGCATCAAGGTCGACAAGTTCGAAACTGGGAATTGGCAGTTTCAAACTGTCTGAAAACGTCTTGAATTTTTTGGACTGTTTCACTCCGATTTCCCAACGCGAATATAACACTGGCGAGTCAAATCCTTGGGATTTCAAATGGTTCAGATCAACGGAACAACCAATAGCATCCCCTCGGTCGCTTTTCGCAGCCAAGGCTTCCAAATGGGAGATACGTGAGCTGATTTTGCGGAGTAAAAAGTTGCCGTTCGGTTGTAAGAGCAATATCGCCAACACTAAAATAACGAGGAGACTGCTGAAGATGTATCTATGTTGTCGTCGGGTAAAGTAATAGGGCGCCATGTTCTTGCCAGTATGTACGTGACATTTAAGAAAATCGCAAGAGCTAAATAAAAAGGGTCAGGTCTTGACTTTTGTTACTTATCTGAAGGTATCGATGCAGCCAGATTTGTTCATCATACTCTCAGCGTTTGGGCCGGATAGCCTCCCATGGCACTGAAGTAGAGTAAGAAGTAGAGCGTGGGTGCGCCGCTCGCTTGGGAATTATGTTACTACATAAGCTTCGCAATTAGATTGTTAACGTATGCAGTGGGATAGGGTTTCAAATGGATTATTACGACTCGGATTAGGTGGAGGCAGATTTTAAAGGTTACTTGTTCAACAAAACTAAATAGTTCAGTCGATCATCGAATGACCTTTTCTTCCCTTGGTACGGTGTGTTGATTTCTCTTTGTCCCTGATTTGCGAAATGAATCGCTTTGCGGAAATTACGTTGAATTCCTTGATCGGACAGGAAATAGTCTCCCTTGCTACAGTATTTTCTCGTTGAACTATCAGAAAGACTTATTATGACTAGAGAAATTTTAAAAAGCGTTTTCACAGCTAGGTTCAAACATAATCTATACCTATAATGCGCATTATACTCAGAACTTGCACAAAGTGATATATCGGCAATGAGCCTTATTGGCCAGCTCAAGTTGGACTCGCAGTGCATGTTTGTTCAAGTGCCTCAGAAACTTTCAACTTAAACAATCAACTCCGTGTCATCATATCCGCATGGCATGTGGGCGAAGTGGCCTCTCGCATTTCTGCTGCACGACTCGAGATAACTCAGTTAAAACCTAATCAATATGTATTGTAGAGATATTGATGTACTCATCTATATATAAGCTATGGAATGTAGCCCTTAGCTTTGATCCTTTACGAGTTTCACTCTTACTCAACATAAAAGATTTAGCAAACCCAGAATGATCCGGCACAAAAGTAAGCTTGTGAATCTCTTTTTACTGGACAGGTTATGCTCACACCAGGGAACAACTTTTTCTAGAAACGTATGCAAAACCAGGTAGCGAGCAAACGGGTGGCTCTCTCGCCGATGAAGCTCAAGAGGATCTTCAGAACAATACCATTTCAAATGGATTAGACTTTGACAATCCGGGGCAGCTCACCTGCGAAACATCTTCCGCCTCGTCAACAAGCTCGACTGTCATTATGAGCGACAATGAGTTTTCAAGAGCACTCAACCCAGCGACAAAAAATGATTATACCATAACCAGAGCTGACGATGACGTAAAGAGACAAAATTTTGAAGGCAAGTACCAGTATTGATTAGACGCAGCTTTTAGGTCAACAGACGCTGATACTTCGTTGATAGCAAAATGTGGTACCATGTTTGAAAATCTTCCTCGACCTTTGAAACAACTGAAATTGTACCATACGAAGAAGAGCTCCAACCCGGACCTTGATGAAAAACAGCTCTTTAGATCTACTGGAAAAGATTCGTCACAGGCGACGGCTCCCAAAACAAAACAGGTCTGCACTGAATCTGAAAATTGTATGAGAACAGAAGAGGGAAAAGAAAATTGGAAGTGGTTTGCCTGATATCGATCTACAGTAACCGTGCGAGTTATTTTATGTTAAATGTTCATTCTTGACCCTTGTTGCATCAAAAGAAACCGATCAAAGAAACACTTGCATGAACAGGCTTAATTGGCTCATTGAGTTTCTCTACTTGAAATAATACAACCCTGATCTTCGCGACGTTTTTACAAGTGCCACAAACAAAAATTAAAATGATTATATAGACAGACGCTTGGAAAAGCATGTATATACAGTAGTATTCGAAATCAGTTATACCACCTCACTCTTGTGACTTGGTTCCCGGAAAATAAACCCGGCAGCTGTGGGTCCTGATAGGATAGACCTCGGAGGCTCCACTTTGCAGACCGCCTCCTGAATTAGTAGGTATTTTTCATAATACCGTGATTTGACAACTGAGGATGTATTTTACGCGAAAGTGCTATACACACGCTACCTGGTGCGCCCCTCCCCATTTCATGGCACGAGCCATACTTCCTCTCCCACTCACCATCCTTCAGCCTTCGAAATCTCAGTATCCGAGTTACTTCAAGCGACATGGCTCCTAGGCTTTCTACTTCGAAGCTTCATCTGATCCGTGACATGATAGAGAGCCAGTCTTTTACCTCGTCTCAGATGGCCGAAGAAGCTGAATGTACCAAGCTTACGGTTATCAATATTCGCAGAAACCTACGCCAGTTTGGAACTATCTATGCTCCCCAAACTCGAACTGGCCGACAACGAACCGTGACACCGCTAATGATAGAAGCTCTCTGCGAACACCTTTCTGAAAAGCCAGGTCTCTATCTCGATGAGATGGCTGTCTTCCTGTGGGATGAATTTCGAACCTTGATTACAACCTCCAGCATTAGACGAGCCCTTGTAGCAGCGGGTTGGTCGAAGAAGGCAGCGCGGCAGCGCGCTAAAGAGCAGAACGCGGATTTGAGAGACTATTACCTACACAACCTGTCGGAGTTTCAGTCGTATCACCTGGTATATGTTGATGAATCTGGTTGCGATAAAAGGGTCGGATTCAGGCGAACCGGTTGGGCACCTCTTGGCAGAGCTCCTCTGCAAGTTACTCAGTTCCACCGCGATCAGCGATATCAGATACTACCTGCGTATTCCCAAGATGGGATCGTCCTCTCGCGAGTGTTCCGCGGCTCTACGGATGCTATCGTGTTTGAGGACTTCATAGCCCAGCTATTCCAGCATTGTGGAAGATGGCCAGAACCTAAATCCGTTCTTGTGATGGACAACGCATCATTTCATCACTCAGAGCGTCTCGCACAAATGTGCGCGGATGCTGGGGTGAAATTGGTCTATCTGCCGCCCTATTCGCCTGACCTTAACCCAATTGAAGAGTTTTTTGCTGAGCTTAAAAGTTTTATAAAGCGTAACTGGAGCCGTTATGAGAGAGACCCCGGTCAAGGCTTTGATACATTCCTCGAATGGTGTATCAATGTGGTGGGTGCAAAAGAAGAGAGTGCCAAAGGCCATTTTCGCCATGCAGGATTGAAAATAGAAGTATTAGGTGGTTGAGTCTTTGGTCTTGACAGGCGGTAAATACTGCAATATATACACATAGACCACAAAAGTACAAGGAAGCAAGGAAAGAGAAAGGCTCGAGATGGAAACGAGGTCTGACATTTTGTTCGATGATTGGATTGACTTTGGCAATGTCACAATGACTTGTCGCTATTGTGATTTCGGATGTATCATTGTTATTTGTTATATTCCTAGATATCGAAGATGTTAAATAAAAACGTCCAACCCGTCATTGCGGCCATGATGTTCAACTAGGCGTTCACCATACGTACCGTGCGGCAAGGATGGGAATATCAAAAACCCAACAATGTCAGGACGTTCTGAGAGACACTGCCATCGTAGAACAAAATTTGGTTGTGTTCGTCTGTCATGTATTCGAAGTACAGACAGCCTCCGGTGGCGCATTGATAGAATTTCGACCGCGGAAACCTAGTTTCTCCATCATCCGTACCTGCTATGGCTCGTCTGCTAAACTGCATTCCGTGGTCACAGAAGCATGTAGGATTTTCTGCCAGCACACCTCGCATATCCCCAAAGCAGGCAAATTCTTCACAGCTAGAACAAGCATAGTACGGACGATCGCCATTGCCCTTCTTATTAAAAGGCGAACAAAAATCTTCTCTGGTCCATCGGCCACAGTGAAGGCAGCGAGGCGGGTTTCGAAGTGCAGGATGTCTCATTAGAGGATTGGCAAATGCCAAGGCTGGACCGTCCATTACTAAGAGAAAGCACCTGGTCAATGACGTTAAGTAGTTTAGATGGGCGATTTATGTGCGAATAGTGGACACCAAACGCACCGGAATGCATGGGAAAACGATGGTGGGGGGGGAGGGGGTGGAAAGCGTTGGCCTCAGAAAAGTAGCGAGACGAGCGTCCATCCTGCCGCGCAGCCATTGGCCGGACGTAGATGTGGGTCTCTATGAATCATCTAAGTGAGGTTTGTGATAAATAACAGCCAGAAAACCCCGGAGGTCAACTTGCTAGATGGGGAGAATTCGACTGCCCAGCTTAATTTTCCACCGCACCCATCAGTAGTTGACCTTGTGAAGACCCATTTTCTCAATGGCGTCCGGAGTGCATGCTTCAAAGAGCTATAAATAGCTACCTTGAAGCCCTCTATTATTTATTATTTTCGCTAAATCAAATATTTCTGAAGAGAGAAATGATTCATTATGGGTTCTCTGTAACATAAATAGGGGAAGCTTAGTGTTGGACGAACAATATTCGAAAACAAGGTCGGATATCACTAACGCCTTGACGTCACAATGCCAAACTGTTTAGACTAATAATCCTCAAGGACAGGTAAGACCTTCTTGACGCTTTCAACCCACTTCCCAATATCCTCTACGAAACGCCGAGCGATGCCTATCTTGATCCCTTTCTCAATGAAGAAATGGGGATCCTGATCCCTATACACCTGCTCAAGATCAAGACCGTTTTCGAGCATCACATCACATACTTCTCGAAATGCAGTTTTGAGGGTGTCATTCTCGACATTCGACACCTGCCACTCACCGTACTCCTTGACAGCTACATCTCTGAGACCAGGAATGTGGAGTGAGCTTAGAGTCTGCAAATTATCTGCTGCCTTCGGAGCCGAGACATCAAGCTCTTGGGGCGCAGGCTGCGAGGACGAGACATTAATGTTGATAGGTGGATATGGTGACCCTGCACCAGTGACATGGCTTCCCTTGCGCTTGTCTCTACCCAGTCTATCCTGTTCTTCCCGGTATAACTCGTCACGAACTGCTTCTGGTACGTCCTTATGACCTTCCAGCACACCACCCTTCTCAACGTGAGTGATTAGGCGTTTGATGTGATGAGCTTTGAGCGGGTAGTGTTTTTTCCCCATTGGGTCCACCCAGCAATGGGGACCATGCTGACACGTTGACGAGTCACATCGCATCAGGCTATAAACGCTGCGCCAAATTGGCTTCCCGCCAGATGTACTTTCCTCTGCGTCGAGCTGTGCGTCCCTCTCACCGAGCATTCTTTGCGTGACAGATGACTTCCCTCTTTTCTCCCCTTTCCGACCAGCGGATGGAGAGGAATGACGATCGTCTACATAGTTGAAACTGATTTTCAGCGTAAGTTCTTTTCCACGGAGTAAAAGATCTGACCACATCAGAAACTGCTTTTCGATTGCGGTCCAAGATATGTCGGTATCGTCAAATCGTTTGGTCAATTTTCGCTTGGTACGATCGGTTGTTGATGCCACTATGACGGTATCATCTGGTCTCACTTGGCGATGGCGAGCAGTCTTGCGTCGTAGAGCTTTTTCTAGCTTTTTTTCCAAGGACAGCTGCCAAAAGGTGCTAGGCGCTAAAACGACATCCTCTTCCGTGTCCGTCGACACCTCCCTGTTATTGACTGTCACTCGCCACTCTATACGGTAGTGGATGCACGTTGGCGGGTCCTCGTCGTAGGCTTTCCCATCTTCCCAATCACGCAGCTGAAGAAATTTGAGAGTGCATGGAGCTGGTTTACTCGTAGAATCGATATGGGTCTCAACTACACTCGATGGGGAGGGGCTCAGGGTCGATAGCGCTGCGTAGGGGCTGCCGCAATAGCCGGGTGTCGGGGCATAGTCCCAGTGGTGTTCCCATGGTTCGTGTTCAGTAAACTGCGATGCGTCATCGAGGCGATATTGGCTCATCTCACAATAATCACAATCCTTGTAAAGCCCACATTAGCTGGGAGAACCAGGTTAGATTTAGGGCTGGTAACGAATGAGAAGCGTAGTAGGAAGCAAAATCCATGGAGATAGACAAAAACATCCTTCCCTACCAGGTTTAGCTTTCTACAGAATAAGCACAGCCTTCTGAATTATGACTGGCGAGCGACGACGATGACTGCGCTGCATGCGGGAAGAATGAGGGGAAAGAGGCAAAACGTGGCTGACGGGAGAGGAAAGCTAGCAGGCGATCTTGCCAGATCGCCAGATCTACAGAACAATTCTGGCTGGTTCCATGTAATATTACAGTACTATGACGATGACTCATTTATGGCAATACAATCATTACGATAACGGTACTGCTGGAACTAAAGGGCGGTGAGCCAAACAGGTTAGCGTCATCCGGAGTTATGTTCCGGCAATCAAGTAGTAAGAGTATGGCGGTATAGCTGATTTCGAAAACTACTGTATTCAGTACAACAGAAGAACTTGAACAAGATGCTCAGGTTTTACTATGCGACTATATGAAAAGGGCAGAGCCAAAGATGCGATCTTTTTGACTGATCGAGGCAGGGACATTTTACACTTTTTTACTTATTCTTGCTTTTTGCTTCCTTCCATCTCAGAGCCCGGGCTGTTACAGTCATTCTCGAAATCGGCTTGATCAACACACACATGATGACTCTTTTCTAGCCCCACCGCCCAGGCTTTAGCGCAGATCCGTCATTTGAGGGGATTACATTGAGGGACACCGTAAAATGCCCACTGTATGGTACAATACCTTGCTACGTAATATTGCATGATGAGGACAAGAATTCAGTACAATCGGTTGGAAACCTATAGTGGATCTCTGCAAATCATGTGCGGAGGGCCTACTGGCACCTTGTAACTAGCTTTTACAAATACCTTGTTAGGTTTCAAGGATCTGAAAAAGAACCATGGAGTATTGCAATTTGGAACAAGTACAGTGCAGAAGGAGTGATAAATGGGTGGTGCGGGAGAGCTTGTACGGTGTTGGACATTGCAGCAGGGGAGGTTAAATACGTTGTGATTCCCAGGGCGGTTGGGGTGCGGCTCCAGGATCACCTATTCCGAAGGACTCAAATGGCCGATATGCCTCTACTTCGGGGGAGTTTGATCTTGCCTCCGCTATTAACTCGGGATGGTCGGATTTTGATGTATCTGCCATTACGGCCCAAAGAACTGGGTTCGAGATACAGGGCATGGAAATCTGCGAAGTATTTGGGCCAAATCTGCTCCTACATCGCACCGATGCTTCACTAGTCAGTAATTCCTATACAGAAACAGAAGCTGAGATTGGTGGTATTGGTGGAAATATTGTCCCTGGCCTAGCGAGACTTTCTGTCATTCTTGGGTATGGTTCTCAGGGTGCTTAAGCCTCTTCATACGTGCAGTTTATTGAGTTTTCCTATGCTTTGAGACCAATACCGTCACCATCACGTGAGTTGCTGCCCTTAGAATACTGTTTTAGGTAAACTGAATTATGACTTGAACTATACTGTATAAGCCTGTTTTAATTCTATTGTTACAGCTCGTACAGTATGATTTTCAGTGTCTCAAAAGACTTCTATCCCGTGCAATGTCATACTCATCCCGTGCTTTTGCTCATTTTACGATGTTCAAGACAAAACGGCACCATTTCTCTAAACTCCACAATTATTCATATTGGAGTATCGACAAATCTCTGTTACCTTCATTCTTATTTTTCAAGTTCTCTGTCTCGCTTACTATACTTTCAGTCTACCTGGTCAGAATTGGCAATTCGCCGCCGGGCACAAACATATAGAGCTTCTTTATATACGACGGAGATCAACACAGCGCATACGTAAAATACTTTATTACCAACAGCGAGAGTTTGAAATATCCTCATCGCGCAAGAGATGGCATTGAGTAGATTTGTTGACGGAAAGAATCAAACGGCTGATTTGTCTCTAGCCATTATTCTGTCAATTTAACATACGACTTGAGGCAATATAGTACATACAAACTCCCCATACACTTGATATTTATTCGAGGCTACCGCTTGTAACGATCTAGGTAGTCTACAAATGTCCTTTCCAAATCATTTCTTTCGTCTGTTTTTCTTTTGACTTCACTCACGAAAGCTTGTTTAAGCAAGTGAATTCGATAGTAATACACACAGAAGCCCATGCCTGCTGTGAAAATAAAAAACCCGGTAACAAAGGCCGTAGTGGCTGCCGTCGCCGACCATGAACCTGCGCGATTTGTGTACACACTGATCAGAGTGTTGATAAAGCCCGTCAGGGAATTAATAAGAACAGGTCTATAATATGTTGAGTTGAGGCAATTATTGCGAGAATATATTCAACTTACAAAAAGATTTTAGATTGAAGCCACAAAAGATTGTGATTATATGTCCAGAGGTAAACATGGCCACACAAACCGATGAAACAGACCACTCCGGCAACTGTCAGTAGTGGAATATTAAGTACCACTTTATATGTGACCTCCCCGATGCCTGTTTTGCTTGCTGATGATCTAAGCGAGTCTGAGGTGCGTAGTGAGCTGAATGTATTCGGAAAAACCAAATATCCAGCAAGCAAAATCCAGGAGAACGCCGCAGCAAGAATGTTCTTCCGTAAATCCACATCCTGGTTCTCAAGTATCATTCGTGGATACGCGGTTGCTGAGGGAGGTCTTCTGGCTTCGGGAAAAATGTTCTTGATACTTTTCACTCGTTTCTCATAGAAGGCAGAACATCTTGAATGATATTGCGTCTTGCATGCCATGCCAGCTCTAGACTGTATGGCGTCTAGCTTGCTAATTTGAACCGGAGAATTCGGTCGAAAGGATTGCTTATTGTTCTGTCATAGAAATCAGAAACAAATCGATTCCTACGATGAAGTACAGTGCTTGATGCAGAGAATCATTCACCATTTATATTCGAACGATATTGAACATGATAGTCATTCTCAAAATCGCCTTGACCGGTACACACAGAGTAACTCTTCCCTGGACCCACCGCTAGGGGTTTAACGCAGATAATTTATTAGGCACGCAGTACCAAGGTGAGCACCGCAGTATTATGACCCACCTAAGCTCCCGTCTAAGTCAAAATTGCGCACAAATCTCTGCAGTTTCAAAGATTACCCCTTACCGTTCAAATGGCAGAGTAGGTTGGCAGCCCTGGTATTATGAGGATCTTCATCTTAGGTCTTTATATAATGACATGACTACTAAGCTCGTAGATCCTATAGAGGACGCGCAGGTCATGCCATTAGATGGCTTCTTAAATAGGAAATAAGAGCTTAGGGCTAGTTATCTAAATTTGTTCTATGTCATCATTTCTGTTTTCCATAGTTAGTTAATTCACTCATAATAGTTAGTCATGCGTTTTCTCTGGAACGGAGGGCTATGTCATACTGGAAGTTGACTGTATATACTTTGTATAGTCAGAAAGTACTGTACACATCACTTTAAATATATCTTTGATCTTGTAATAGCTCTTCGAAGTCATTGAGGCTTACATAAAACATTAATCTAGAAAACTAAATTACTAATTTAGTGAGGTTCCATGATGTTAACATCTACATTTTCATGAAGTTGAACTAAATTTTTGTTTCAATCAATAATTTTAGGCAAAATGGAGCCTAATATCCATTCACACTTCGTCCCGAATTTGTTGAACCAAAATGGGGCGCTCGGTGTCAGAGACACTGTCAAACACAGAGATGAAGTTCAGGACTATTCAGGTGCTCCAACAGAAACACACCAATGATGATGAGATTCATTATTCAATTTTAACAAAGGTTGAACAAATACCATGCGAAGGTCCTCAAACAAATAGCAGGATGACTTTCAATGAAACATTGACCTATTTGTTTATTGTAAGTATTATTTTTTCGCCAACCATAATAGATAAAGTTGGAAGACACGCAAAATCGAGATTATTTTTATCGTGGCAATTTTTCGGACTTTGAGATAGACTTGGTTATGCATTGGACACTCAAGTTCAGCTCGTGTTTGGTATCGTTGATGGCGACACTGAGCCTTTCTACAACCGAGATGATATTCCGTCGAGGGAATTTGTCACAGCTTGATACTGCAACTATGGTGACTAGTCAAGGCTCTGGATACCGTTCCGTGGCGTACTTTGTTAACTGGGTAAGTCAGACAACAAAACTGCGTGTCAACGATTACCAATATTGAGCACGTTAGGCCATTTACGCTAGGGGCTTCTATCCCGAAAATATACCGATAAATGAATTGACGCATATTTTATACGCATTTGCAAATGTGCACATTGAAACGGGGGAAGTTTTTCTATCAGACCTGTGGGCTGATGAAGAGAAACTTTTTCCGGGCGATGTATGGAGTGACGCTGGAAGCAATGTATATGGCTGCATCAAGCAGCTTTTTCTTTTGAAACAAAAGAACCGCCAGCTAAAAGTCTTGCTTTCAATTGGAGGATGGACCTATTCAAGCAATTTTGCAGGCGCTCTGGGTACGGAGATAGGCAGAGCAAAATTTGTCTCTTCGGCCGTGAAGCTAGTTCAAGACTTAGGACTTGACGGCATTGACATTGATTGGGAGGTATGAATCTTGAAACTCCAAATGGGTGAAGTTCCATTAAATCCAAGGGCAGTATCCAGCAGATGATACCCAGGCAGAAAATCTGGTGACAGCTCTTCAAGAACTGCGCTCGGTAAGGCTTACCTAGGTCGTCACTCAAGTTACACTAACAATACGTAGGCATTAGATACATATAGTGCCAAGCATGCAGATGACTATCATTTCTTGATTTCTGTTGCCTGCCCTGCAGGTACGTTAAGTCTCATGTGGAAACTGCATATGATTGACAATTACCTCAGGACAAACACACTACGAAAAGCTTCGCATCCCGGCCATGGAACCATACATTGATTTTTGGAATTTAATGGCCTATGATTATTCTGGTAGCTGGGATACTCACGCTGGCCATGACGCCAACATTTACCCATCACTTGATAACGCAAAAAGTACACCTTTCAACTCGGCCCAAGCCGTTGAATACTACATTTCTAATGGTGTGGATCCAAGTAGGATTATGCTTGGCATGCCACTCTACGGCAGATCCTTTATGAATACCGACGGACCTGGAACAGTCTATAACGGAGTGGGCGATGGCAACTGGGAGAATGGAGTATGGGATTATAAAGACTTGCCTTTTTCCGCTGCGCAAATCAACTTCATGGAAGAACCCGTCGCAAGCTTCAGCTTTGACCCAGTCCAACGTATGATGGTCAGCTACGATACACCGGAGGTGGCTCAGAAAAGGCACAGTTTATTGTGACCAAAGGACTTGGCGGTGCAATGTGGTGGGAGAGCAGCAGCGACAAAGCTGGACCTGATAGTTTGATCAGAACAGTATGTGCTATTGAACATGAAATTCTCTCTATTAAATTGACTAACTTCATACCAGGTTGTGACTTCCTTCGGAGGCGTTGAGTCATTGGATCAGAGCCAAAATCAGCTACAGTTTGGTGCTTCAAGGTTTGATAATTTGAAGAATGGTTTTCCGTCATCTTAGGTTACTCAAATAACATGAATACTATGTGGAACGTTTACCTACCTATGAAATTCCTTTGCGGAACAGATCGCCAGTCTGCCGATCAATATGGGAATGGCTTGGTATACCAAGACAATGTAGATGAGGAGAATACTCTATGATCACGAATCACTTTGTTAATTTGGCCTCAACGGATGCAATACTGCTTTTTTTCCATTTCGTGCTGCAACCCACAGCTGGAAATTTTGCATCCACTTTTTCCCACATCATACCCTAGTTTTATTCTCCATACAATGTAAAGGACGAAAGCAAAGTGTAGCCGGTGACGAGCTGGATCGTAATCCTGGCCACCCTGCACCGCGATGATGCCAGTCGCTCAGACCTTCCTTTCCGTGAGAAAAGTGGCCGTCACAGACCACGACTTATGTGCCGTCTAGTGAAGTATCTTCTACGAATCCACTAATGGATGAGTTTCTCAATAGTATAATCGCGGGTTCCGCGCGACACACCGTCAGTCGGGGTTTCCAAGTGTGGTGCACTGTCGTGATTGCGGGGGGAGAGCATCTAACTGGGACCGCTTGCATTCGGATGTATTTGAGTGTAAAAGTTTTTTGATATTCTAGGCTCCATGGGTGGGTACAGATCCTAAGGGCCAGGTTCTGACGTAGTATTTGTGTTGAGTGTTGTTGTGACAACATTGATGAACTGAGATCGCTCTTTTTCAAAGGTATTCCGTGGAGTATTATCCTAAAGGGAATCGATATGAGAGAGTCGGATGTCGAACCAGTTGCTATTGTCCATCTGTTGATCCAGAGTGTCCTCCAGCTCGCTCAGGCCGCGCTTCTTCGAAATGGCGTGCTCCTACAAGGTCATCTGGGACGCCGCTTGTAACTCGCAGATCGCTGGTTGTTGAAGTTAGCGTCAGTTTGTTACGTACATAGGCAGCTGCGCTTTGCCCTCAGATCTGTTTGGTGATCTCCGTGGGCGGCCTCTTCTGAGCTCTGTGGGTTTGATGAACTTCTCAAATGACGTCCCCGTCCCGTTTGGTTCTGTTTCCGGATTAATCCTAGCCTGCTGAGGATGTTAAGATAGTGTCGCCTCCTGCTATCTTCAGGGGCATGTTTAAATAGATATTTTGGCTGAGTACGATTATCGGGTGCCTCGGTATGTTACTACTGCTGTAATTAAGGAGTGCTAAGCGATGTGGGAATATATCAGACAATCTGCCAATGCTAGCCTTGACCGACTCATTGCCGCGATCTCACGGGTCAGTTCCAGCTGGGCGGGTTGTGCCCTCCGCCACAATTAGTGCAATTAACTGGTACCACCCGCCTTCGTTTCCACGAGGACTCACAACCCCACGACGGTTCTTATATGACCGAGCCTGGTCCGAATATCTCTATCACTCAGGATGCCTGTGGAGGAGCTCAGCCCACCGTGTCAATGTTTGCCACCATCACGACATTTAATGGTAGTTGGCGAGCTCGCTAGGTGTTGAGTTCGAACTGGCGGAACTGGCGGACAGCACATATAAATTTCGGGATGCATCTATTCTCCACGACATTATCCTCGATGTGATTAAGCACATGGCAGGATCCTTCTTTCATTTACTGAGGTAAGTCACCAGATGCTGTGGGTTTGGGTGATCTTCTCTTGGCAGGGGCAACTTTTTTGCGTTCACATCCACCACAACTTCACTGCCATTTTTCCTACCAGACGGTAGTGCTTGTAGTTAAGACTACGATAAAGTAATTAACGAGTCCGTAGAGCCAATACTTGGCAAGGTCTGTCTTTAATCATTCCTTCCGGAGCTATAGTTCTGTTTACTGTTGTCTGTGCTGTATGTCGTCTCCCGAACTTAACTTTGGAGTTCGCTCCCAAGCATGAAAGTTACTATTGGGAGGAGTTTCTGATATGCCATGATCAAGAGGACAAATACAAATGGCCTACTGGAATGCTACTGTATTTTCTTCTTACACCCCTATTGATTTCCGAGTTCTTCTGGAAATATTGTAATGACTTACCACAAAAAGATAGAGTGGCTCGGTCTAAAGATTAATCAAAAGTTGAAGTCAATATGGCGACAACAAGCGCAACGATACCCAAGGCAAAGACAAAGGTATTGTAATCTGAATTTGCTAATATGGCCTGAGCTGTTACACGAAATGCTGAAGTTCAAAACTTGTACTGTTCTTACGAGTCAGCCAGAGGGCATAGACGGCTGTGCGGTTGCTTTGATGTTGAAGCTGCAGATTCGCTGGTGGTAAGTGTCGAAGATTGGCCAGCGACAGGTGTCGACGACTGCCTGGTAGCAAATTGGGATGAAGAAAAATCAGCTGTATCTGAATGAACAGAAATACACTTGCTACCGGTCTGGAAACCACTATCAAGCTTGCAAGTCGCAGTGTCGCCTTGCTTGTTTTCAAACGAAACGGTGCCATCTCGATTCACATATATCCAAGCAAGCTGCTGACCATTTTCTGTCCCGCAAATGTCAACTCTCAGTGCATCCTGGTTAGTTGATTCTCTGTTGATGATGAGATCTATGAGGTTGTCACTAAATGAAGCTGTCAATGGCACCTTAAAACTTTACCTGAACAGTCATTCGCGCCAGAAAGTTTGGCGAATGGAGCGGAGTAGCCCGTGCATGCGTAATTATCATCTGACCAAATCCTACATTCTCCCTTGTTGCTAAATACCAGCAATGAGCTTGCAAAGGCAGTGCTGGAAAACGCGTTCAGCAAAAAGGCAAAGTAATTGGAACGCATGTCACTTGATTGTCAAAAAGTGCTATAGTTCTGTGGAGGACAGCCCATTGAGACTGAACTGGTGATATTATCCAGTTTATATAATGCGTCGAACCTATTGAATCTCTAATTTCGGGAGTTGAGATTTCCAGCTTCAGGTAGTTTCTTCATATAAGCCGTAGACAGCGCCTCATGTAAGTTTGGGACGGTTGCTTTTGGACATCCGATGATTTCAGGTCGGCGCTAATATTTTGCTCTTGAACGCTTTGCATCATCCATAATAATGTTTGCGTAGAAATGTACTAATTAATTTGTAATTGTACCCATGCATTTCTTCCTATCGCTGAACTTCTTCTACTGCTCTCTCGTCTCTGTCTGCTCCTCATACTTCCTTGCCCCTCATACTTCCTTTTTGGCTTACCGTTTACAAGATAACGTAGATACGCAGAAAAGTCACTGAATGTTTGCCATACAATTTAAGCAGCGATCGTCCTTACTTGAGATTCCCGTATTTTCTCAAATGTCGGACTAGCTCGTGCTAACTTATTACCATGAAAAAAGGATAAAAAAATACTTTTTGTTTAGTCAGACAATTTAATGGACTTTATAAGCATGCCAGGCTAGCTGCCTTTTATTTATCAGAGCAATCAGGTACAAAAATATTTGGGCATATTGGTGGCTCTGCAAAGCAGCCAATAAATGAATAAGAGTTCGCTGATAAAAGAACAAATGTTTACGTTTCATAGGTTTCTGTTCCACAGACAAACATGAATATGTCTCGAACCTTTTTCTGTATGCTATTTGGTTTGAGTTTTTTTGGATACGGTGTACACTCTCTTGATGTCAACCGTGGGAGTATAAATTTACACAACAATTGCCACTTCTCTCTATACATAGAGGGAGTTGCGAAAGACACTTATCTAAAAAAGACATTGAATCCCGGAGAGGCAATTTCTGAACCGTTTCGGCTTACTATCAATGGCACTGGGAACTCTTGGAAAATTAGCACCTACGAGGGGAGCTCAGATATTGTCCAGGTGGAGTATAGCGCTTGTTTCGATAATGCCAACGGGATCGATTGCTGCCCCCCAAACCAGGTTTTCTACGACTTATCAATGATTAACGCAGGACGGGACACGCAATATGGTGTCCGAATTGTTCCAAGCTTCAAGGGTTGTGCCACAATCGACTGCCCTCGCGATGACGAAGAATGCGATATGGTCTACTATCGTCCAAATGACGACTATGCTACCAAGGAATGCGACGTCCATGCAGATCTGAATGTCGAATTTTGTCCTCTTTAAGTTCCTCCGTACGAGTCCCCATCAGACATGGACTGACACGAGTTACGTTGTATGATGGGGAAGTAGCGTAGGCGCCTGGAAAGCGGGCAGATTGATTATTCGGAATACACCAAATAGCAGCGTGCGCATCAAAATTCTGTAACTTATAAATCAATAAAATAAACGTCAATGCTTCTAGATGGAAATTGTCTCCCTTCGCAAAAACATTTCTTGAGATATCTCGTCTACCAGAGGTCCTCCGACCGCGTAAATAGTTCCTTCAAGGGCCATCGTCTGAGTTAGTAAACAGTATACGAGATAGTTGCGGAAGGATGTTAAAAGCGGTAGAGAAAACGGTGGATAATTTTACTGCGCTATGCCTATCTAGGGGTGGATGCCATAAATATATCAAAATCCTAAATTTATCGAGTTAAGAAACTAACTAGAGCTTTTCATGTGAACGACTTAAGCAGGCTCTCAGTCATAGTGATTGTCACACCACGCACATTATGTGCATTGTAATCCAAGCCTGAGACTGCAATCATCGGTACGCACATAGAAGACTTGCCAAGCTAAATGACTCAGGAACGAGCTCCTTCACGGCTCTTAACTCCTTTTGATTGGCCTGCATCCGAAATGGCCTGCTAATTGGACTAAAGGTAACGGGGTTTGTCGCCGCGAGCACCTATTGCCATCCTACCCTCCGTAGGTATATAGGAGGCTATGGAAATCTCTAATATTACAAGTCGTATTGCGTCCATAATTTCATTTAAATCTTATGAGCCTTTACCTTAAGACCACTTTGGGTTCGCCATTGTGGGTGCTAGCTCCATATTACTCCGTTTTCAGGGAGTTGCGCTTTGTGTACACCTGCTTCCGCATTCTTGTTGCGCCTGGAGTCCTTTAGAAGTTCCCTATTGGGAATGAAATAACAACCGAGAAGACATAAGCCTACCAATGGAACCAACAGGATGAATACGGCTCGAATACCTTTCATTTTGGCATCCAAGATTTGGTGGTCCCAATTTCCCATGCCTAGTTGTCCTCGTTCCCAGCTACCACTGTTCACTTGCTTGCGAATCGATGATGGCAGATCTACAGGTAAGGCTGATTTCATTACTGTGCTTTGAACTGCGGTCGACAAGGCCATGCCCACTACAGACCCGAGCATTCGCAGCAAGTTTCGCGTGGAGGTTGCTACGGCACGTCGGGTTTGGAAAAGGCCTGTAATGCAACAAGGACTTTCTATCGGTTATTATCGAGCACATGATATGCAGCATGAATGGCACACTTACCAGGTTAAAGATCGAAACCGATGCCAGCCACTTCGATTCTTAAAACAATCACGTATACCGCTGTGGATGTGGTCCGAAAAAACAAAAGTTGTAGACCAGCACCTAACGTCCACAGCATCAGTTCAACGTACAACACTGGAGCATATCTTTGGGGCAATCTTCAGCCAACTAGCTTCACATGTCCGAAAAAGAGACTTACCGGGCCAGCTTCGTCATCACGGGTCCAGATATCACACCTGCGATGCTGCAGAAGCAATAATGGGAGAAATATGGCTGCACTCTGGAGTGGACTGTAGCCTCGCACATCTTGGAAGCAGGGCACTTTGGAAGTAGATGACAGACATAGGTGCCTGACCAAAGAGACGGAGCGGAATTATTGGCATCTTCGCAAAGCGCTTTTCGACAATAGCGAACAGGATAAAGAAGAAGCCCCCAACGACAAACATGGAGGAGAACCTGTCTGGATGACTTATTCACCGTTTGTGCAATGAACAGCTAATCGGTCAAGTGCAATTTATGTCGACCCACCAGGGGCATATCGACAAATGTAAGGTGGGCGAAAAAATAGCCTAACGCAGGACAGTGCATTGAGCATGGAACTTTGCGGTGGAATAAAAGAAATATCGGACGGTAATATCAATTTGGGAAACTAATATACATTGTTCTGTATTTTTATTTTCAACTCTTGAATTTGATAACAAATATTCTCATGATGTTCAAATACTGTCTTCCTAGATAAAACAGTCTCAAAGCCTGTGCGGTCACCTGCTGAAATTTTGAATGGTAGAGAAGATCTGCTGGGCTCAGTACTAGCAAAATAAGGTCTTCATTTGATTTAGTAACGGTAAATCATGAGAGCGCACAAATAAAAAAAATCACAGCTCTTCTGAAGCTATAAAGACTTCATTAGGTCACGGATAATAGCTTATATAGGCTTTTACTTCTGTGGCCTTGTAGTTGATTTTCAAAAAACAAAAACCAAGCTAGGGCAACTTGAACGCAATTACATCATGTCCAGTTGGGAAACAGAGCTGTATAGGGATCTTGTCACGGCGGAGTTGTTGACCCATATTGGTCAAGGAAACAGGCCCGTCAAGCCCGATGAGCTCCCCGAGGGCATAAAATCGGGCTCGAAAGAGCTATCTGCCAACCAGAAGATCAAACTCAATGAAAAGCTGGAAGAGTTATATCAACATATACTCCGTTCCGATGAAGAAGGACTATGGAACATTCCCAATTTCGATGGAGACCGAGAGCAGGTAAAAAATTTGCTCTGGAGCGTCGTTTCATGGGCAACCAGCAATAACAAAGAGAGCGTTGATGAGATAAAATCAAGTACATCCATTCACGTGTAAAAGTCTATATTGATCTCTACTAATTCGGGTTACAGAGATCGAATCTGCAAGCAAAGGAGATGGGGTGACAGATAATGAAGAAAAAGCCACGGACATTGAAAAGACAAAAAAAGAAGGTGATGACGAGAATGGCTCTGGTGAAGACCAAGATCAAGAGGATTCCTCTGGTGCCTCCAGTGACTCCGAGGAGCCGAAGAAAGGACGCGGTAACCTTCACGTGACATCATTTTCTGGTGGCTTGAAAATGGAACTTAAAAATCGCGCTATCATCAAGCATGTGCTTCAGGCGGACTACTGCGTACTGCAGGTTAAAGACGATGACCTCAAAACCTCCGTACTTGCTGAGGTACAGTCTGTAAGACCTAAGAGACGTGGAGATACGAATCAAGAAGTTGAGTATGTTAGCCAGTTTGTGGTTCAAAGGTGGTATCCAGCCACCAAGGCTTGGTGTGTTGAAGCTGTGAACCAGCGGGAAATCAGCTCTGCAGTCAAAGACTGGAACAAAATCAAGGGTAAAAGATGGATACATCGGCCCTCGGAAGAGAAAGCCAAATCCTTCTCGAGAGAAGACCTTGGAGACATGGTTCTTCACCTTGCTTGCTTCTATAATGTACCAAAGTTACGAACAGCAGGAACAGCAAAAAGAAGTCCTCCTACCCGGCACATACTTATTACTTCAAAGGAAGGGCTGATAATGGTTAACGACGGAACGTTTAAGCGCTACATTGGTAATGACGAAGAGGCTAATAATTATACTGCCAAAAGCTGCGAGAGAGACAAAATTCCTGCACCATGGGACGTGGATTCTCAAGCAGTGAAGACAGTGGTGAAGACATGCCATAGACCTCTTTCGGATACAAAGAAAGCCGGAGGCATTGTACAGATACCCCAGCAAACAACCGAGCTCTCTTCTCCATCTATTGTTACAGAATTGAGAGATCGAGTTACCGCACTCGAGCTTAAATTTGGCCAATTTAAGGATCTCCATAGTCGAGTCGAAGCTCTCGACGGGAAAGTTGACCAGATGATGGGTCTACTTCAGAGGGCCCTCAAAGGTTAGAGAGATGATGGTACCATCATCTCTCTACGCATTTCATTTTACTTAGCCAAATCAGTCTACTGACAATAACCGGTGATCACGAACGTTGATAATATATTATGTATTTAGTTAAATTGACGGATTTCACTTGAACTGCGCATCAATCTTTGCTTTTTTTTTTTTTTTTTTTTAAAATTATCGTTCTATAGCAAAGGCCCTTTGAGTCATTTATTGTAACTTATCCTTAGCGGCGCTACGTACATGTTTCCCATCCATGATGAATATTTTCGAAAAAATAGGCAAAAGAAATCTCTCAAATGGCTTTTGTTTTCCTTCAAACTCAGAGTTTTCAGATATAGATTTAAACATACGCTGGACGCAAGCAAAAAATGCACATTACAGAAAACTGATCTTCAATTACACTAACTCGCTAGAGAATCATATATACAATACAGTAATGTTCGAAATCAGCTATACCTCCACACTCTTCCAAGATAAAAAAAATAGGAAGGCTGTATACACAACTACCATGATTCCGAATACAGATACAGTATAATCTATAATCATATTTTCGAAACATTTTCGGACCCTAAAAATTCATAAAGTAATGAATTTATGACATCATACTTTATCTGTGGCACACGTGTTTTCTTTCCTCGATAACTCATCCAAAGTGTTCAAGATACAGGAAACGTTGTGCGCCAATTGCCCGAAATATGACAAATGCCCCATAAAAATCAGAATTCTTTTACGTCTGCTTTGACGAAGGGTTTTTTGCAATGCCGAACAAACTAGCGGATGGTGCTTTTGAATCTCATGGACCTTAGACAAGAAATACCTCAGTTTCACCCTATTCCCACTCAGCGCTAGTGGTAAGATACAATCTGCTCCTTTAGAAAACAGAGATCTACCCAAGATGTAGCGTCGCGATTGACGACGTACAATTGACAGCTTCTTGTCTTTGCTAAATAAAGCTTTCAAAGGAGACACCGACCGAAGTGCAAGTTGTGTCTGGTCGGAAATGTGAGTTGCTGACGACATTGCAGGTTTTGAGGGGGATGCTTTTTCCAATCGGTCTATCCTGCGTCTTTCGCTCGCCGGCCACCCAATGACAACAGACTGAGGTTTCTGAAAATGAAGTATTGCTTGCCTCAAGGCCCAGTTTCGCTTTTCTGAGCTCCATCGCAAGTGAGGATCTAAAAGCTTCATGATCATTAATGAACAAATGAATTCATTCCATGATAGAGGACCAGTCATCTCCAGCGCTCTGTGCCTATGAGTTTGATTAATATTTGCTAGTAGGACCATTTGGCATACCAGAATGGATAGCGAGTAAGTGTTATATAGTCTTCTTAGGCAATGTTCTTGCTATATGAAATGAAATTGAATGTCCTTATTCTCAAGGTTTCTGTGAGATACGACAATGGCCTCTGGAAGGGTGCAGGTAAAGAGAAGCTCAAGTGAAAGCTCCAGCATGTTCCATGATCATGAAGGCCGTGATATCGTGGCTTGTGGTACACAGGAAAGAAAAACTACTCTCAAAAAAATGAGTTATCAGAAAAGATCAAGATGCAGAATTCTTTTGCGCAGATTGTCCTATAAGCGCATCAGAGCAAGTCATTTTTTCCGGCGCGGGGAAACAAATGTCCTTAAGGAAATAATGACTCAGTATTTACCAACTGTAATTTGATTAAAGACATACCAACTCGGATTTTGTAAGGGGCCATTGTTTCCATGAATCATCAGAGTTCATTAAGTAGATTTTGCCGTCTTTTCTTGAGCGAATGATTAGGAAAACATCAGACTCAAAATCGATGCTATATTTTGCGGTCCACTTGAAAAGAGACTTTCTGCGTCTTCGCCTTTGCTGGGCATCTTTGCGAGGAGCTTTAGATTGGTTTTTCGCCACGTCCTCTCCTAGTTAAGTGAGCATACTAAAAATTTTGGCAGTGCCAATATAAGGCATTTAGGAAGCAACGTGAATAAAAGAAAAATAACTAAAAAGAACAAATCTTCTGAACGTACCTCTGTTTTCTAACACTGCCATCCTGAAGGATCTTGGCTCTTTTTCAGGGTCCTGAAAGGCGCACCAATGAAATTTTATAACCCATAAAGCTTAGCTTGCCAAGTAGACTTTGTTAAAGCCAGAAATTGTACTCAAGAAGCCATGAGCCTTCGGTCTCCTATAAATGTAGCTGTTTCAAGCTTTGGGCCCTTATCACATAATCAAAAGAAGCGGAGAGGCGTGGAGGCAAACAAAAATGTTAACGGTGTCTAAGGATACTCTCAGGAAGATTGTTCAACGTGAGAGACGGCTTTTGGCCTTTGGCCGTAATTTTTCGAATGAGTCAGTGAGGTCATCTTTCGGTAGTGTTGAACAATTAAGTGCATAATAGGAAAAGTCCCAGTTTTAGATAATTTTAAGCATCGCAAATCCAATATTATTGAACTTCATTAGCTTTTGTAAAGTTAAGCACTGGTCTATATCCAATAATCTTGACTTTGCAACGGCTTTGAAAATGGCAGAAATTGTGAATATCAAAAGTAGACCACCATTATAGCTGGACTTAGACCGTCCCCTGTCACATATTCCATAATTATCAGGGAATGGGAACACGAATGCTTAATTTGACCTCAATAAGTGGTATATAGTTCAAACCATACGCATAGAGGGGCTTCAGTCGAATTCATTATCAATGTATAAGCCAATAGAATTAACGCGAACCTTTATTACTTCTCTCACTAATCAAAATGGCCGATATTGTCAATGATACCGAGAGAATAGTTAAACACAGGCCGGGTTGGGGGTAATTTCATAAATAAACGTGATCATTAATTTATCTTCAGAAAGCTTCAGGGCCAAGTTTGCCATGGGGTTTGGTGAAAAGGCTGCACAATGACGAGGAAATTTATGAGGATGTGCTTTTACTTCTGTTGTCGGGAGGTAAAATACGCGGTGATTCTCACTAAACACAGAAATTGGAGCAAGTGAAAAAGTCCATATTTAAGCGCCGACATCTCTTGACACCTAACCTAAAAGTTTTGAACGACGTGATGTAAGAAAAAACATAGTTTATCTACTTAGAACACCAAGAACCCATTTATAACACTCGGAATCAAGTTGACGGCATGTCAAAAAAATACAAGGTCAATTTCAATTCTCAAAGAAAAGGTTAAGTCCAGGCGAATCAGAGTGAGTCAGTTGGTCATTACGGAAAACGTATACTAGTATCTTCTCAAAATCCTGTACTTAACTTGCCAATGGTTTTGGGAGATGTAACTCAAGCCAAAGGGCTAACGAAAAAGCTCATTCATGGTAAAAACGCTGTTGTAACCTGAGTTGAATATTTTACTGGTTTAAGCTCGTGGAGCCTCAAAAAAGATATATAGGAAAAACTTTTCTTTCAATTTCAGACTTTATTAATATGTATTGGATAACTGTGAATTAGAGCTCAGCTTGCGAGGGTATAAACAAATAGCACTATTTATAGACAGCAAGACATCTATCCTCTGCAACCATAGAACAGGTTAATGATTACTCAAGAATGTATGAGTGGTTGCAGCTTACCAGAGATACCAATGGCTGGAATATACATGATTCGGGCCGCTTCAAAGAGCTGGTAGATGACCTAAAGTACCCTTCAGACCAATACCCCACTCTTGCATGTTTTATTGGAAATCACGTCAAGTCACAGGCATTAAGGGCAATATTCCCGCGCAATAATACGCAACGGCGCTGCGTCCCATGTTTAGCCAAGCTACACATAAGCACAGACACTATCGAGACAAAATATCCAGTTCTTTTCATTGAAGGAAACTCAGACGTGAAAGCTTTATCCAAAACAAGCGGGCGATTTCAATCTCTATCTAAAAGTCTTCAAATACGTTCCGAAGACGGCCATAACTCGTCCGAAATTCTGAGGAACTTGCTATATATACGACTTTTCTTTTCTTTCTCACACGTTATCTGTCTCTTTGCAGAAGACATTGGGAGTCCAGAGAAAACTAAAGACCTGCTGGTGTCCTGGCTCTCGGCTAGAAGTAACCAGGATGAGCAAACGCAGTCCCGCCCTGAGTTGATAATTGTTCTTTCAGATCCACAGTCACAATTCGGTGCCTCCGATTTTATCGATAATGAGATACTGGATGCTTTAGTACCTTCCGTGTTGTCTACTTTGACTGTGGTGGATTTAAGAAGTCGACACTCCTTATCCCCTGCGCCAAAATTCGAGCCCTTACGTGACAGTATATCACGTGCGATATATTCTTCACGTGCTCAGCACGAAGCGGCGCATCTGTTATTTTCTGCCGCGCATCTCCGCTATATTATTCGTGCAGCGACGGTGTACTTTGCACAACGGCCTCAGGCCCCATTCGATGTCATCAAGTACGCCAGAGAGGGTCATGAAGCTCCAAATGCGTCTCATCACCTTCAGGAATTCATGAGGTTGTCAAGAAAAACTGGCAAAACAATGTCTGCCACGGCGGCTTATATTGCATCTGGCCTAATATTAAATGCATATCCCCCCGGAATGCATGGTAGGTATCCTTAGGAACACGCGCCTTTTTTCTTGCTGCTAACTAGTTAATTAGAATTTGACCCTCAATTGATATTTAAGAAATTGTATGCAGAAACTTGTTCTTCTGCGTGGCGATCTGTCTCAACGGAAGATTTCCAATCGGGACTCGAGGCAATAGAGCTTCAATTCTGTCTCAATTTCACCAGACTTAATGGTTTTCTAGGCACAGCAACTCAGAGAAGACGATTTTTGGCTAAGAATGCCTTCAATTGGGCACCTCTGAGATCCTCCATTTGCTGTTTGAGCTGTCTTATTCGCGGAACCGACGAAATGCTTCCTTGTGGACATGCTATCTGCAATACATGCGCTCGTATTTGGGGCAAGCGAGCTTCAGGTGCTGAGTATCACGTTGAGTTATCATTCTGCGTTATCTGCCAGGAGAAATTTCAATATATAACACGATGCCTACCCCCAACTAAGCGGCCAGATGTTTTGGTTCTTGACGGGGGTGGTATACGCGGCGTGATAAGCCTTGCGTATTTGAAGGAATTAGAGCGAAGGCGGGGAGGAAGACCACTTCGCAACGACTTCCATTTGTCAGTTGGCACAAGCGTCGGTAGGTTCTGACCTATCCTAGGTTCTGCTACCCGATCCCAAGCGCAGTTGATCTAACAATACATTTTCAGGGGGTCTAATAATTTCAGAAATATTCCTCATGGGCTCCAGCGCTGCTCACGCTCTTGAAAGGTTCAAGTCACTTGCATCGGAGATATTCTCTTCGAAACAAAATCAGGAGAGTCGGGTGTCTAAAGCATGGAGTTTTATTTGTCATCTATTAGCCGATGCCGCTTATGACTCGTATACCCTCGATTATACTTTACAAAAAGCCTTCAGTCACAATCGTTACCTCTTCGATGTACCGAGCGCACAACCTGAAGCCCGAATCGCATTAACTACAAGCCATGTAGAACAGGATGGGATGTTGTGTCTACTAACAAATTATCGACACTTTCGAAATCTACGAGAGCGCGCTTCTTATACACAGATTATGCCACGCGATATCAATGACGAACCTCTACTCTGGCAGGCGTAAGTGTATTTCTACTATGGTTCCATTTTATACTGCACAGTGCATTGCTTTGAATTGTTGATTCGCCATCTAAAAATGTCAATACTCTAGGGCTCGGTGTTGTGTTGCTGCATTAGGGTAAGTTTATTCCACTCTTAATCCTGAGCCTGCTATTGAACACGCTACGTGACTAGCTATTTCCGTACACACTATCTGGATGGAATTGGAACTCTACAGGATGCTGGAGTCCGCGCAAACTGCCCTTTAAGAGCTGCGATACGAGAGACTTCAATCCTATGGCCTACAGCCGAAGGGCCAGATATTGTTGTAAGCGTAGGCACAGGTTTCGACAGTTTGTCCGAAGAAAAAAAAGACAAATTGCCCATAGGAATGTTGAAAAACAATTTCATAAGCCGTGGGATACGTACATTTCTTTTCTCGCCCGCCGTAGATGGGAACAAAGGCTTTGAAGAGACAGTCGATAATCTTCCTGAGCCCATGAAAAGTGATGTATTTCGCCTCGATACTGAGCTTCGGGACGGTATACCTGAGCTGGACGACATCCACAGTATGGAAAAACTCTCGCGACTGCAATGTCATATCCCTGACGAGCTATGCCGTGCCCTCTTAGCCACTTCTTTTTTTTTCGAACTGGACGAAGAGCCAGTTTTGTCCAGCGGGCGATACTACTGCAAGGGCTCGATCTTGTGTTGCAAGTTCGATATTAGAGGTATTCTCTCGTTAGTCCATAAGGAACTGCCTTCAGCTCAATTTGTTATCCAAATGGGTGCATCTATTGGCCAACTACAACAGCACGATGGTTGCAAAAGCTGTGGATACTACCGAAAACAAGTCTCGTTCGATATCTCCAGCCTCGATGAGCAGTTTGCACTAGAAATTTCCAGTCCTACAGGGTGCCAAAAAATCGGAGGTTTCCCTACCTCAATTACTCGTCTTATGGAATGTCAGCGGATATGCTCTGGGTTTGGACGACCCGACCACAGTACGAACAATTGGCCTCCATTACGCTCCTGCTATTGTACAACTGGGAGTAAAAGATCCATTCAAGAGAAACATGCCGACGACACAGCTAGAAAAAGAAGAAAACCGATATAAGACCAACCACTGTATCTCTCGTATCCTACGTTTCGAGTCCATTCAAGAGACTGGCACAATAATATGAAAAGTTCTTAATTCAGATATTGTTAACTTTACACTCCTCTCGGAATTAATCATGTATTTATCTTTTCAAAATTACTGCACGTCCCATGGGCCATGTTCTTCAAATGACGGGAATTGTGGGACTGTGAAATCTCTCTCTTTGAGTCTGCAGGCCCTGATTGATTAATTTAGCTAACCAAAAAAGATCTAACGTTGCATAAGGCATCGTAGGCAGCAACTGTGGCTTCTTGTAGGGTTTCAAATTTGGATCGAATCAAATTCGTTTCCAACTTCCACTGATCAATTTGCTCGCGAAGACCAATTCGCTCTGCATCCCAGCTAAGCCGTTCTTGTGTAATTGTTTCCCATTTCAGGAAGTTATCGCGCTTCATTGTCTCCATGCGAGCTAACAATTGGCTGTTTTCTTCTTCTCTCTTGATCACTTCTGTTTCCAATCGGGCAATAATCTCACGTAAATGAAGCTCGGAGGAAGTAGTTTTCTATCATTCTTTAGCCATCAGTCTTGCCGTAATGCTTATTCTTTCTTCTTGAAACGGCGAATCGTAATTACCGGTGTGTCGAGTGACTTTCCCTCTAGTGGCGTCAATATCGCTTTTGGAATTGCCTCAAACGTTATTCCGACGTGCTGCTGAAGAACTTGATGATCACTCTTTGTCAACCCACTGAGCGGGATCTGATTCGGGCCGGTCTGGAACAATCTCAGAACCTGTTCGTTACTTTCATCCGACATTTTCCAATAATATGTGTCCTGCGGTCTAGGTTTTAGTCGCAAATGCACTTTATCAACTCGAATTCCAGTTTTTTTCCCTGACACTTGATGAGTCATCTGATGTTGGGTGGGCGGCGCTAAACGGTCTAATGACTCACATATATGCTCAGAGAGCGCCTCTCGACATTTTGCTCTTTCAGCTGAACGTGTTTGGTTACTTGGTCTGGACATGGTGACGAGTCTGAAAAACTTTGGCGAGACTTGACTATGCTGGTCTTTTGTAAGCACTTTCAATGCTCCAGTTCTGCTGGGTTGTGAGGACTGTAATGCCAGATCAGAAACTCAAAGGCGACAAGGGGTAAATGGTCAACTGCGCGAGCTCGTGAACCCATATAATTCGCTCAGGTGGGTCAAAGGAGTCACTATAATGCCCCGCGGAATATTTGAAGGTCTCGATTATGATTGGAGGCATGATTTGATGTTCCCGGAAGGCGTGGAAGCCACGTTGAACGTTACATGATTATTTCGGTGCCTAACTTTGAGATCCTGTATTTACGGTAACTTTGTTGATATACCAGGGATACATTCAGGGGTATTGCGGGGACCTTCTGTGACCTAATTCAGCATAGCCCGATCTAAGTAAGGCGCTAGGAAAGAAAGCCTGTGTGTCCAAGGGTACAGTAATCTGTTTCAAATTCTACAGGACTGTACGCGCTTGTATCGCTTGAGATCTGCTCCGTATTGCAAAAGTCTGCTTTCTAATTCTACTGTAACACATTCCTCCCCAGGTTTTCATTCTCGGGGCCCGCTTTCAGAACGAAACCCCCTTCATGAGCGCATGCTTCTGCATGTAAATGATATCCGCTGCAGATTTCAACTTTTCCAAAACTCCCCAGGCACTGTTCCAGCCACAGGCCCGATGCACAAACAGCAGAGGGGTCAACTGTCGAAAACGGCTCCCCTACTTTCTCAAAAGGCCCTCTTGCCTCATCTATAGCCATCGCACGGATTTTCGGGCGCCTGGTGCCTGTTCCCACTTGTCTATCCAGCTCTGTAGTGCCGCCGCTTGACAAGCCTGGCTATTCTGCAGTGCTGTATTCAATTTCCTGGCCCCCTGTAAGAGAAAGCCGCGGTTCACTGTCCCAGAATCTTGCTCGGACAAGTAGTCCCGCAAGTATGACTGGGATTGTGACAGCAGCTCTCGAGACGCCTGCGTAACGGCCAGCACCAGTTCATCATAAAGATCAGAACATGCACCGTAGAATTCGTTTTCCCACCGAATGCCTGTGAGTTCATCCAAGAGAGATATCTGCCACTCATGATCCGTGCTTGGCCGGTCTTTTTTGGCGATCTGCAACCGGCTGGCAGTGGATTCCAAGGCCGTGCTAAAACCGCGGGCATCCCCAATATGGTGGTCAGCTGCCGTGATGTGAGGGCAGTCTGGCTCTGGAGGGACGTTCGATCCGGTTCGCCTGTGAACTGGAGGACCATGGATCTTGACGGAATCGGTCGACCGACTGTACACGCTGGAGCTCGCGGAACCAGCTGACATCCTGTAAGGCCACGAAGATTGAATGGCGTAGAAATAGTGGTGTTTCCGAGGGAGGATAAAGTACTAATAGTTGGGCATAAAAGTAACAGATTTGATCAAAAGACCGAGCTTGCAGCCTGTTTCGGTGCGAGAATCAGAATCAATGAATGGTTCAAATTAACCCACAACGGAAGACCATCCGAGTCGCTTGTGACTTGAAGAATAGATGAACAGTGAGAAGGCCTGGTCTAGCAGATCAAGGCCAACTATCACACCTACAGGTTTCTTGCTGCTCCAACGAGCGATGTATCACAGCGCGTTGCACTCTGGGTAGCCTTCGCCACCACCATCAACCGTGACACATAGACATGTCACCTTTTGGCCATCCTACCGCGCAGGTCCGCCATGGGGATGTTCTTTTGGGCTCGCACGAACGTGTGCCGTGGCGAGCTCCCGGGTCGAGCATAGGATAAAGTAGTATGCGCTCGTCAGTCAACACATACGGGAAATGATATACACACTTGCCACCAAACTGAATTGGTCCGCCGTTCTCGCTCCTAATCTTCCGGGAGTGTCCTCGGAGATACAGTAGAATTCGAAAACAGATTAGCCCTTGGATACATAAACTCTCTCTCCCAGCACCCCGCTTCGGTTGCGCTAAACTGGATTCGGTCAAAAAGTCCCACCGACTTTTCTTGGCTCAGGTAGACCACCCTAGTTACCGTAATTAGAAGTTCCGGCATGGGCTAAGCCATGTCGATCCAATATTTCCATCGAATGAGTCATTCCAAATTACTGTAAATAGCCCTCATATAATATTGGTCAACTCGCCCCTCTTAGCATTTTCATCGACTTGAAGCAGTATAATTTGATACAATGACCAATAGCTCCGGAGCAAGTTCAAAAGATTTTGCTAGATCGTATGCATTATGCTCTTCAGGTCTTTATCCGTGTCCTTTGCCACCACCCGATTACTCAGCGTAACCCTCCACTCGGTTTGACATGCCCTTTTTTGTCTGAGCGCCCAGGCAGAATAAGTGCTGGCGGGAAACAACAACATCTTGAGCCGTGCCTCGGCAGGCGTATTAAGAGGACTTATGTCGGCGAGAAACGGCCCCCGGTAGAAGTGTTTCTTGCCCGGGGGAGAGCTTGGTGTGAATCCAATATCGCTATTTAGACTAGCTTGAGCCAACTAGAGCTATTGTTAGCTGCAAAATGTTTGAATTGCTCAGCCTCCATCAAATGTTTGTAGCAGCTATCAGTTCGCCTCTATTGGTCTTCAAGGCTCGCGTGTAACAGGACTAACTTTTTATAAGTCATCAATCATTTTGACTAATAATGAACTATAGCTCGCAAGATGTACAGTTGAACTTACGACATGTGGCAAGGAGAGTTGTTTTAATTCGAAAAAGAGTGCGCGTCAGTTCAACGCCAAGGCTCGGTTTTTGGGAGGCAAGAGGTTGCAATTGATCTTGGGGTCATCACCCAATAAGTTACCCGGTCAACAAGCTGTGCGCATAGGAACAAAAACGTCTGAATGCAGATGGAGGGAGTATTAACGACCCACCAGGACCGGCAGAAGGGGAAAGGGTGTAACTTTGGTAAAAAAGTGGGGAAAAATAAAGAAAAAGAAAATAACAGTGGTTTTATTGGAAAAATACCTTGATCTGTTTATTCCCGGTTCACCCGTTCTTTCTTTTCTCTTAGTTCAGGTAATACCATTGTTTGATGAAAAAAGGAAAGACAAAAAAGAATCATTCAAACTTAAACCGAGTTGAACAATGATGCTTAAGCCAATCCTGAAAAATGGGCTTTAAAATCATGGGTTCCTTTCCCGCCGAGAGAAAAATACTACTTCTTTTGTTTTAAAGACCATTTCCCGGAGACCAGAGGCGTCACATTTCACACGCTTTCGCGACAAAATGAATGAAAGAGAAGATAATCACCAGATAGTATCGAGTGAACGAGACATACCTGGAGCCACAACACAACCGCTCGGACTTACTCGACCTTATGCACAAAATTGGAGCTCACACGACGCTTTTCGTGAGCTCTACCAAAACTGGTACCATGAATTCCAAGCAAGGTTTCAAGCCATATTTCTGACAATTAAGATAGGAAGGACTCCATTATACAGAACCATGGTCTATCGCTGCTTGGGTTTTGCCCGACTGTGACAGAGACTAACCAGGAAATACTCATCGTTGTCCCAAAGCCAAACACTGACTCTCATATCTCAGCAAGCTTACGTGACTGTGCTGGATATATCACTTTCAAAAAACACAGTGGTGTCGTGGAGCTTACCAATTTCCATGCGCTTCTTGATCGAAAGTGCCTAGACTTAGGCTACACAACCAAGACCAATGATGACCGCCTGACGGGAGGACATGGCGAAGGACTGAAAATAGCCGCACTGGTTTTGAGTCGCAATAATTACCATGTGAAGATCTGTGCCAATAGCTGCTACTGGAACTTTGGGTTTCGCGGAAAATCTAACCGCAATTTCTATTGCCAAATAACCCCCACAAGCGTTGAAAAAATCAAGCGTCTGAAACTAGCGTTCGAAACTTCCCGGAAAAGCTCAAGTCGGAAGTTTACAGCCAACATATGGGAAGATGTTTCCATTTGTATCAAAAAGGGAGATACAAGTATTGAGCATGCTCTTACGAAAGAAGAATTTTGGCACTGGTTGCAAGTCACAATCGATGTCAATCCTCCTGCAAACCTGGTGAGAACTTTGGCAGGTGATTTGATACTGGACGACAAATATAGCGGCTGTCTATTTTTGAGAGGCATTAAAGTCTTGTCTGCTGATATGGATGACCGTGGCTTTCGGGTTGGCTACAATCTAGCCACCGGTGATTTGAGCCGTGACCGTTCAAAGCTTCACAATCCCGAGCAAGAATCAAAAGCAATCGCTGAAATATGGGCAAGTGCCATCGAACAAGGGCACCAAAAGGCTCTTTCAGTCTATGTTTACTTGCTACAGCATCACCCACATTCAAGAGACGTGAGAGGAGCAGACCAGCTAGTGAACGAGGCCACTGCGAGAAAGATATGGACCGAATTAAAGGCCCAGACGGGCAGTGAGCATTTATTCTACTTTTGTGAAGGACGGGAAAGCGTGGTCAGTATCCAACCTTACTTAAATGGATGATCAGAAGCTAAAAATAGCAAGGACGTCGCAACGATCCGTAAAGATCTCAAGAAAAAGCCGCAAGCCCTATCAAGCTCCCTATGGCAACTTCTTCATCAATACAACTTGGTCCATACGCCTGATGAAGAGCTCCAGCGGCTGTTTGAAGTCTCAAATGCTATCAAGCTACCGAAAACAAGATTTGCCCAAGAAATCGACCGAGCGTTGCGTGCGCTATTCATCGCAATTCCCCGTACGCAAAGCTTGCGAATAGTTTACGTTACATCTGATGATGAGAAAACAAGCGTCGTGTTTGCTAAGGAAAGCAATATCCTCTACGTCCATGAAAAATGGCTGGACATCTCACGTGCTCACCTCGGCGTCGAATGCTTGGCTAGCACGACATATATTGACGATTCGGATGGTTTCTTTTGTGAACATGTGGTGGAAGAGATTTTTCATCGTGCTTTGGCACTGATTTATCGTCCGCTGAAACTCAACTATCTGTCTTCACCACTGGAAGACTCCCCTCACATCATTTTCCAAACCAGCCGAGGAAAACTCCAAGACATGCCGCGAGGCATCCGCACTGAGACAATTGAAAACAAATCTTTGAAAGTCCTATGGGATGATGGACATAGTCGTGCCTTTTCAAGGGCGTATGGCTTACAGGTGGAATATATTGTCATCCTGCATTTGTTAACTTGCTTCGCAGCCATGGAAACGCTATTATTTCGGGAAAAAGACATTCTGTGCGAGTGCCCACGAAAATACGTATCACAAATGCAAGGATTTGCAATCTTTACTTCATTAGACGGAGAGCCTCGCTTTCCAATGGTTGCTCGACACAAGGACGAAGCCATATTCGGATTCCCGCCCCTCCCTCTTGCGCGTCTCGAGGGAGACTCTGAAATGGCGGTTGAAGTATCCAATGCGATGATTCCTTTGGCGGAATCGTCTATACAAGGCCTTGGCTCTGTATCCCGGGCCGGAGACGACAATGTCAAGTCTGAGACTCAAACCGCCCAAGAATTAAAAATAGAGACTGCGTTCTCCCTGAGAAGCGCTGAAGCAGATCCGACCCTTCCAATCATCGCTGAAGCTCACCCCGAGCTGTCAATTTCTGTAGACGGAACGAGAGGCCAAGCCATGGAAGAAAGTATCATCAATGTGGACGACTGCAAGACCACAAAAGCGGAGGGATATTGTGTCTGGAAGAAAGAAATGAAAGGACACAGAATTGATGCGTTCAATCCCAAATTCAACATTTTCCGATCTCAAAGCCGTCCATGCACTGTAAGATACCACCATTTGATTCACCTGAATGACAGACTGACTTGATTTCCAAAGCCTATCGAAGGGCCTTTCCAGAGATGTGATGAAATTGGGGATCTGAAAAAGAACGCCTTCATTGAGGCAACTTATGAAGATCCCTCACCTCGGAGCCGATGTGTCTTTTATATCCATGATATACTAGTGAGGGAAGACGGTGATTCGGAATCTGCGATTTATCTCATCGCTTCAAGGTATACATTTCTTTGCGATAATGCTGATCTACGACAAGGGTCATCTTCAAGTTGGTTGAACAATGAGTTGTTGCTTCACTTTAATGATTTCAATCTCATGTCTAAATCGGCGGACGGAGAGCTCATCTTGATGAAAGATATGTCATCTTGGAAGTCATCACCAGCTATTGAACACACCGCAAAAGCTCCAGGTAAGGCTTATATCTTTTGTTTTGGAATTGAGAACTTATCAGGTTCCAGATGACTTCAAGTCTTATTTTTGCCGTTATGCGATGCGGAGAGATACGGATGAAAGATATGCTTGCTGGAGCCCCCTCAGCCCCAATATCGTTGGAGAGAAAGGAGCAAATCTATCTAGACCTCTCACAGGCTTTTCTGCGCCCGACGTGCTGGACTTCTCCCCGACAGACGTTGGCCTTTCTGTAGGGCTTTCAGAAGCAGGGTGTAATATAAAAGCAGGGATTGCTTTTTGTTCCGGTCACAGTGATGCTTGGAAGGTACGTTCCAACCCTTGGCAGATGATGAACATGTTCCACTAACATAAAAAAGAGGTTTCATCCGCATGCTGAAATTTATGATTCCCCAACGCAATTTATTGACTCAGTGCTGAATGAGACACAATCCACTGCGCCTCTGGTTATTGCAGCCTCAGGAATGCCGAACGACCATTATTCCCTTTCAAGCCTCACCATATTGCCTGACGAGGTTTTGGCTCCTCTCAAACTGAAAGCATTGTTTGACAGCGTTTTTCTACAAGAGCCAGACTTTGTCTTCCTGGAATTGCATTCGATAGTACTGAATACTCATATTTCAGACCTTGTCAACTCTATATTGGCCTTACTTGGCCAGAGATACTCCGTTGAACTACGACTTGTTGTCGCAGAAATCGAACCAGACAAGCGCGTCCCCATAATATATCTTTTGGCTGCCCCTGCATACTTTCAGTCAAAGTCAGTGAATGAAATGGCCGCGGAACTAGCAGAATCTGCGCAATGGAGGCCGGCCTTCGATATGGAGCATGGTCCACAAGCCAAGGCTCTAGACGACATGACTATCGGTCCTTGCCAATGTGCTGAAGAAACTGAAAGCCTACCCAAGAATAGTGGTGGTAAGTTCAGAACTTTGGCATTTTTCAAGCACAGACTGATAGCAGCAGTGGAACCTGATCAAGAGAACAAAGCCAAAGAGCTTGCGCGGGGTAAAGGTTTTCCATCTAAGATTGTTGACCGCATACAAGCCAGGGATTACGATGAAGTGCTTAGATCATTACCATCGTGTATAAGCAAGCATGCCGGGGCTTCTATTTTTCAATTTACGAGGGAAAGTGGACAGCAAATCAAGAAACGGCGCAGGAGCACCAGTGATGTCGTTCCTGAACAGCCCTTCATGGTGAAGAGATTAAAGGAAGGAGAGAGTGGCACACCAGACTGAACTGGTTATTAATCCTCTATGTAGCCCCAATTATTGTCACTTTCTGAGTCGAGGATTGCTGTTGGGAGGCCAAAAGTTGCTTTTAAGCATCTGCTAGCTTGCGCCGTAGCTTTTCAATTTCAGACGACATCTTGACTCGGTATCTTTGGACGCGTCGAAATGGGGACTCCGGTGTATCGTAGCTGACCATCATACGTTGGACTGGGTCAAAGCTGAAGCTTGCGACGGGTTCTTCCATGAAGTTGATTTGCGCAGCGGAAAAAGGCAAGTCTTTATAATCCCATACTCCATTCTCCCAGTTGCCATTGCCCACTCCGTTATAGAGTGTTCCAGGTCCGTCGGTATTCATACAGTAGTGTTCGAAATCAGCTATACCTCCACACTCTTCCAACTTGATTTGCCGGAAAGTATACCCGGTAAACGCTAAACCCTTTTGGAGCACCACTCTGTTTTGCTGGCAAAACGGTAATAGTATTTGCTTTGCTAAAATCGATGAGTCATCGTCTTAGCATAGCATGGTATCATGTCCCACGGTGGTAATGTAAGTTACAGATACTATTTCGGCAAGCGGTCTGAAAACCCAAGGTCGGTTATGGTATCCAATCAGGGCTCGTTACCCTTGGAATTAGTTTCCGACAATTAAGTCATAAGAGTATGGAGGTATAACTGATTTCGAAAACTACTATAAAGGATCCTAGGAGATATATAGAGAAATAGATCAACGCAACTTAATAATGGACTCCTAATAATCCACAAACTAATATATATTCCACGGGCGTTATGGAAAGAAGTTATTTGACGCCACTATAATATACCTACACATAAGTATATAGGAATCAAGAAAATGACGGAATATATCTTACGTAACTACTATATATAGAACCTATTGCGCCAAAAGCAAAGCCGTCGGAAGTCTAATCTGATGAAAAAAGCATGTGAATATAGTAAGATGTGTGAAGCAGACGTCTGTCTGGGGATTCATCTTCGTGAGACGGGTCAAGTCTATATCCTATCAGCGGATCCTTCAGGATTTTGGGATTTCCTCAGATCGCAACTAGTACGCTGCCAGGTACTGGGCAAGCGACAAAAGCTAACTTTCCCAGGGTTCCTACTATCCAATTCCTTATCTAATCACGGACCAAGATTTGAAGATGGCTGGGGAAGATGTTATGAAAGCGGACTCGGTAAACCTCCGTGAATGTGCGTTTTAGATCAGAGAACCTCATCAAAAAGCTAATTATTTCAAAGGAAATAGATGGGCACGAAATAGCTGGCAGTGGGTATAGTGACGGAATTTGGGGTTAGGTATAGTCAAGTTCTGAGATTCATGTCGGCAGATCTCCAGACAAGCCGAACAACGCTACGAACAACCCACATTTAATTGGCGGGCTGATCTAAATGAAGGGGAAATGGCAGGTCATTCAGTTTATTGCATCCATCTGTAGGTTGTTGAGCTAGATGAAGCCATCCAATTCGATATATGGGCGGATCTGCGAACAAATTACCGAGTAGATACTGTACTGTACAGTACCATAATGCAAAATCTTCAATTATTTTCTCAATCACTAATGACAGAATTTGCTCGTGGCTGGTCCGTACGGACAGGGTTGCTGGCTCCGTATGTTTGAAAGACGTTTTCCGGCTCACTAGTCAACCCGGACGCCTCGACTGCATCGGGCAGATGGACGCCAATGCCGCTGAGCCCCCAGCCTATAACCATAACAGCCTCGAGATACAATGTTCTCGCTAAAACTAGAAGTACAATATGGGGAAGCTCAGATACGTAAGAATGACATCATAGCCTCTTCTATCGGTACTTTGATTCCACAATCCAATCTCTCCGTAGCCACATCGTTATCATCAGAAATTGTTCCGACCAATACGCTATCGCTTGTAGGCTTTGCCTTGACCTTGACCGTACGCTCGCGTCCTCTACTCTGATCCTGCGGGGAACCAATAGCTTCTCCGTCCACACTAAGTTTGTTCTCGATGGCACTAACGAGTTATGGACCTCGATTCGGCAAGAGAAGTCCTCAACGGCACAGCCTGTCCGCCGTATTCTCTTGATAGTTTTCGTCTATTTTTAAATAATATATTGGATTTTCTTGGACATGCGAAAACATACCAAGAAAGCTTTGCTTCGGTTCATGTTCAACTTAGCTTTCTGTCGCTCAATTGTTCAGAGCGCCCTGAAGTCAATTTACTGCTACGGCTTTGGCAAAAAATGCGCTCTTTTACTTCATCAACTCCCCTTCAGTCCTTCAGGCTGAGCTCTCAAGGTCTTTTTCTTCCTTTCGACAATGGCGAATATCAAAACTCCGAATAATTCCATTTCATTATGCCAAAACCTCCTGGTACTGTCGTGTATTAAACTATTCTGCATTAAAAGATCCCAGAAGACTGATCATCAGCCCTAGGTATACATTTGCCCAACTCGACTGTCTTGGTTAAACTTCTCCAAGAGCTTTTCACTCGATTCCGCCGCTCTTTCTAGATGTTTGTAGCTCACTGGCTCTCCATCCACAGTGGCAAGAGCGTGCGCAATAGAGGTCAAGTTCTTGATCTGGTTTAGGTCAGCCAATGAAAAATAAGTCGGGTCATTCGGAACTAACCTCTCGCCCATTCAAAGAAAGACCGTCTAGCTGTTTTAACTCATCGTCTTTAACCATGGCAGGTCCTTGAGCTGTGCGTGCTTTGGATAATAGATTTTTCCAGATCTCTCGGCGGAAATCTCTTGTCAGGCCGTCGTATTTGATGGTCAGATGGATTCGGCTTATGATCGCCTCGTCAAACTGGATCATTCGATTCGTTGTCAGGAAAAGGATGCCCTGGTAGTATTCTAGTTTCCGGAGGAAAATGGTCACGAGGCGATTGTGAGTGTCGTGGTAAGATGTACGTTGTTCCATGAACGCATCCGCCTCATCTAATAGAAGTACGGCCTTGAAGTGCTTGGCAATCTTGAAAATAGTTTCAAGTTGTTGCTCAAGTGCGTTGGAATCGCCGTGGTCGACAACAAGCTCACCGGCCGATATCTGAGCAGGTTAGTGAGATCCCATATAGAATACACAATACTTACGGAGTAAAGAGGCAGATTGAAATGCTCTGCAGTTGCCTCGATGGTGAAGGTCTTTCCGACTCCCGGTGGACCACTAAGAGAGTTAGAAAGGTAGCAACAGGGCAGCCTTCCCAGCTTACTGCAAAAGGATATTGAGTCCGCGACCCTTTCCATCGATCACATCGTCAAATGGCACAACTTGTACTATATCTAAACGGGTCTTCGCCAAGGACGTGAGGAGGTTCTTCGTTTTGGGCGGAATCCTCAGACAGTCAAATGACTTAGGAGACCAGTGGACATCCTTAAGAGCACCAACCGCACATTCCACTAGCTCAAATCAGCAAAGAAATGGTGATTAACTTGTGAAACTCACGGAACATTTTCTCCTTGAAGCTGAAGCAGGGCACTGTGGGACAAGCGATCAAGAAATCGACATCCCTCAATTCTTGTACTTCCATGCAACTCTCTTGCATTCTCTCTTTCTCTCGCTCACGGTCCCTGCTGAACAGTGTGTCCATGCTAATGACCGAAATACCATCTTTATTCTGTGCCCAGATCTCACGGAGTGTGGGCCGGGAGTAATTTGGTTGCATTGCATGGAAAAATGCGGCGTCAATACCCACTCGACTGTCAATATTAACCTTGATTGGTTTTCCATTGTTCATGAAGAATGCACTCCCGCTACAATGCTGAATGTGCGACCCTACTAGGCCATGGAACTTCTGTCCTCTTTCAATCAATTCTCTCCTGACTTGTTCGTAACGAGGATGGTGGTGGAGAGGGAAGGCTTCCAGAGACTCAATTGGCTTCGATCCCTTGAATTTTGCCACACGCAGAAACACGCCAGCTTCTCCAAAGACCTCCCCGTTACAGTCAAGAAATCGGCACTCGAGGTTATACCAGGTCATGTTTTCTTGAGTCATCTCTTCTCCCGCATCGAATACGACACATCGAGGCTCATTCGTACCGAAGCACGTGGTGAAAACATGAGACCCTGGCTTAAAAAGAGCCCATAGAAGGTCATAGGTAATTTCTCCGTGCCGCAACATTGAACCAAGACGTTGGGAGGTAGAAGCATGGACGTTCTTGAGGTGGCCGATGAGCAAGCGGAGATGCTCAACATAGGCAGGACCGCAGTCCGGATTGTGATTCTTGACATAAGCGCATCTGTCAAGCCCTGGGAGGAAATGAAAAAGCACATCTTGCTCGATCTGAATCCACGTCAGCAGTCTCCTTCAAGGGAACAATATGTCTCGGTTACCGATGGCTTGTCTTCCATCAGACTAACGGCTCTGATGCCGTCCAGCTCTCCACGCAGGATGTCACGCAGGCCTTCTGATTTGATATCAATGTATGGAGTCACTTTCTCGGAATTCCGTTCTAATCATACTTTAGTATTTTTAGGTCCATCATGGAAAGTTACCTCGTACCAACACGTTCACGAACGACGAATGCATATTCAGCATAGTCATCTGGGCCACTGCTGGTCTCCATCGGCTCACATATCTTGTATTTACATGCCTCTTTGTCCCAACTAAGTCCCATGTCAGCAATATCCGAAGAAGAAAAGGTCTAGTGGATAGCTCATACGTTTCCATAACTGTTTTGAATTGCGGTGTTGATGCCCACTTTTCAAACAACTTGAAATCACCCGGTGTAGTACAAATCAGTTGATTAAGATCAACCTTATCTGTTGCCTGAACGTCGCCTTGCTGCCTATTGCTGGTATCAGTTGCCAAAATGGATCTCACTGAAGCATCGTGGACGAGCTTCACCAGCAACTGGTTGAGCTGAACCATGTCGGGCCCTGGCTGAGAATAGTCCTGGGAAACTGGGGTATTTGGAGGCTCATGGTAGGTGAGAGAGTGTAGCACCCTTCTAAGTACATCAGAGAGGTGATTCAAATCCTTCAAGGTAGCTTGAGGCGTATCCAACCCCTTCGTTGGGCTATCCGGAGGCGTCAAACCTTGGTGACAGGGAGAGGATGTCTTTTCCAACGCCATATTGTGCAGTTGAACTATTGAGAAATATAAGTGCAATACGGGAAGCCTGTTTGAGTCGTTTCAAGAGACTGGAATGCCAATGATGAAGTATAAAATCAGTGAGAGCCCTGAGAGTTGCGCCTTCTTATATTTTCGTAGCAATGTTAGCCCATGCCAGTTTCATTCTCTGTTTTGGGCCGTACTTCCCATATTCCTATCCATGTAAATTAGTTCATGCAGTAACGTGCATGATATTGGATACGTTATCCACAATAGCTCTCCAATTATCTCTCGTTCAGCATGGCTAGACCTTACTGTGTAAGATTCTCATGACGATCCCACGACGATTTGAGCGACCCTGCGGCAGCACTTTCGAAACAATCTGGTGCGAAAATCAGCACAAAATTGTGGGTCATGCCTAATTCGGTTACTACTACTGAAGCTGTGATTTGGCTTTATTAGGAAAGTCAAGTTTGTCGTGTTATTTCCAAATTAGGAATAGTTGGAAGGGCCTTTGAATTTTTTTCACGTGATTTCACTCTGGCGACCGGGTCTTCCTTTCGGATCGGAAGATTCAACTTCCGACCCCCACCTCTCTCCCTTACCCCTCCTCGCGACAGAACTTGTTAGTCAAACATAAAGGGGGCGCGTTCCAAGTCGATGGCAGCTCTCGGTTCAACGTCAGGCTTAATCTACAAAAATGACTTCATCAAAGATGGATACATATTCGAGAAAGATGCCGGGACAGGGCAGCAAGTCGAGGAGATGGAAGCAAACCTCATACCTTTTGCATCAGAAGCTGGATTGCATTTCTATAAAAGCAATGTTCTCGACGACACGGTATTTGCCGTATGGTATTTTTTGTTTTCCTACGAGAGCTAATTATGTCAAAGCGCAAACGACAGGTCCTTGATTCTTGCTTCCCGTGGTTTGGACTTGGGCTTTATCGAACTTTCGGAGCCATGCCCGGCGATTATGCCTTTCGACAGAGCGATCCATTCTCAAAGACCGAATCACTCCTGATACAGTTTTGGAAAAAGGGATCGAGGGTTACTTATTGGAAAGGTTCGCATCTTGAGCAGGTGGCTACCATGAAGGGAGAAAATAATTTGTGGAGAGCTCCTCGTGTGGCACTTTCTAGGCTTGGCCTTGAGCCTGTTGAGATTTCATTTGAGAACGGAGGTTTGTAAGTGAAATTTTGATTTATTCCAGTGATACATATCTGATCGTTTCAAATAGTTCCATCCGTGACACCCGCCTCTTTGTCGAAGTATCGGAAGGAAGTGCTATTACATTTGGAATCGCCTCAGAAGACGTGCTGAAAAAATGGTGGGCCCCAATGAAGCTTCCAAGGTCACTCCAAACAGTAGTCAGCAACATGGAAGGAGACAATTTTGGTATGAACGTTACGTACTTCGATGAAAGACATGATTCTCAAGCACTCGAAGTCAGCCCGCCGCCTGGTTAGCTCCTTCTTTCCCCGGAAGTTGACAAAGTGCTATGACTCTCATTGTTATCTGTTAGATAAGTAGCATTCCGCAGCGTTGACGAAAATGCATATGACTCTTGTACCAAATCATAGCACGGTGTGATAGTGATATCCTCAAATATTGGCGCGTACGGCTGTGGCACGAGGGTATTGTAGGAGTGTTGCATATGCTCAGTAGAGGGGGCATTTGATGGAAAAGCCATGTTGGGAAGATCTGCTGGGTATGGGAGCGAGTTCAGGTTACGTGGCGCGATGAACGGTGCTTGCGGAACATCTCCTGCATAAGGATGCACTGTCGATAGTGGTTAATACTTATCCAGTAGGACGCAGAGTTTAAATACCATCAAATCCCTCACTGATCATGGTGTTGTATGTCTCATGCGTTGCATTTCCCTTCTGCAGTTTCCGGGGGCTGGTTGTTGGGTCATCACAACATTCAGTGCCTCGCTTATTGGGCCGTCTACTTTGGTGCTTTGTGCTTCCAAGCATCCAGCTTAAATTTTGGGCTGAAGTTCTCTTGAGCTGTGCATATCGCTCTTTTCTGTAGAATTCCCTCGCTTCATTTTCACCGTTTTGCTTCGCGGCGCACGTGTGTCGTATGTATTTTCGTGTTTGTTGAAACAACTGGCGACAATAGATGCAAATCTCGTGGCATTGAACATCTGGAATGTGAAATTTAGCATCAAAATACAACAGCTTCTTCCAAATCTCGTACGTGACTCAAAATGGCGTTCAAGACCCGCTCTCTTCAGGAAGCGCCCTTTGTGACGGCATCTTGGGTGAGGGCACTTCGTCGAACTAAGCTTCTTTGCCCCGTTATCCTGATCGCTTGGAATGACTTCGTCTTTGTCTTCGGCGCCGTATCCGCTTTGTACGAGCTCAGTGCTGTCGTCGTTCTCCTCCTCGGTGTCCAAGTCACTGACAATACGATTTGCCTCATTACCTCCCGTCTGTAGATCGCCGAGTTCGGGACTATGGTGTTTACGGGGCAAGTGTGCCTGAACCTCAAGTAATCGTGCGGTCAAGAGCTGGAACTCCAACTATAAATCTAGGTCAGTAGATGAAATCGAGGTTTACGACTTGACTGGCCTGATAGTCTGCAATATGGTCGCGCAGTTCTTGTTGTGTTTCGAATGAACCGAAACAAGTCTGGCATTGTGATTTTCTCGTCTTCTGTTTCGATTCAACTCTTCGACTTGGGTCGACTGCAACAAATCGATGAAGAGTGTTTTGCATCTCGTTAGGTATGCAGAGAGTTAAAAAGATGTAAGAGCCTAGTCGGTAGGTCGGGCGGGGTCATTTGGGGAGCACTGCCCTGTGGCAACACCCGACAGGGGGCGCGGGTTGCCACGGGACGCACCAACCAGTTGGGTATAGTTGGATACCCGAATGGGGCGGGCTATAAATACCCTCTTTTTTCTTTCCTTTCTCCACCTTCAACGCCTCTTCTCTCTCTCTCTCTCTCTCTCTCTCTCTCTCTCTCTCTCTCTCTCTCTTTCTCTTTCTCTCTGGTACCGGCACCTCTTGGCCCACTGCCTCTTAGAAGAAGAATCAAGAATAGAAAGCATGCCAAAATGCTCTGAATGCAATGACGAGGGGATGGTTGGCACATCTATTTGCCCCAAATGCAACGGTTATGGCGGAACCAAGCGAGCGCTTTCTGAAAAATCATTCCACGGAAGAAAAGAAGGAAAAATTCCGGATGAAATTTGAGCGAGTATGTTTAACTATTCCAGAAATATAGCTGTCCCTGGTCATGATATTCATAATGCTGACTCGTATGGGAGATCATGCTTTCAGGACCCTGAAAATTAGCAGCGATAAGAATGAAGCTAGAGCCGAATGTGGAATAATCGTTCTCTTGGTGGTGAATTATGTATGAATAGACCTGATTTCTCCCCAAAAACACTTAGTCCAAGTATTTCTACCCGACAAAAGAAGAAGATGTGTGGTATTCATTGATTGGAGAGGACGATGGCTACGTTAGCTAGTAGACATTACCCCGCGCCCATGCCGCGCCCGAAAATCAATCTGACATTGGTTAGTCTAATCGCCCTTATGCCTTCCAACCCCCAAAGGCATTGACAATGACCAGGATCATGACAGTAACTTCGTCATGCAGCGGCAATGTACAAAACAGGAAATTTCCCAATAGTTGATTACTTGCCAAAATTGGCAATTACACTGGAACCGGTCACTACTATATTAGGTAACAAGCCCAAGAGTGTGCACGGAAGCAGAGCTAGAATCTTGCAGGTGAGATTGCCGGAAAGAGCGCAATGCAGACACTACAGTAACCTTCATTGGCAGATATTGTTTCAGGTCAACACTGCCTTTCAAACCATTCGTTGATATCCCTCATGCGTAGGCACTTTTAAAGCATTGCGCTTGCTCTAGGCCCTCGATTACTTTTGGTGGACACTTGGACCTTAATGAGCGCCATGGCTGTCGAAGGTAGGTGAAGTATTAGGCAGGCACATTAAGGGGTCAGAAAACCCGCAAATCGAGACTCAAAAGTAGCAAAGTCCGAAGGACAGAAGTAGTTTCATGACTAATGAGACGGTATGTAGCCCCGGTCTTTATTTCTGACTCGGCGGGTCATATGCAAGACCGCGAGGTGCAGGCCACGTCATCAACAACCATTAACCTCGGACGTTCTCAAGCCAATCATAAATGGTGATTTTGGCTCTACCATCCGAGGATGCGGCTCTAGCCTGGTAGATCTTGAAACCAAGGTCAACGAGGCTGGCCCACAGTGGGTCGGGCGCTAAGAGAACATTGGCCGTACGCCGCTATGAGTGGTAACATGTTCATGGAATGGTCGGAGAAAGTCGCCAGCATGCAAACTGTCTTGCTCGGTCACTGAGCGAGTATTCGACCAAGACGTATCATGAGCGCTCAAGCCCCCCGAAAAGTCTATAAATGTCTTCGTCAATATTATCCGATCATTTTTTCCATCCTCATCGAGCTTCGAAATCAGCACTCAACAATCACATTCCTCCGGTACCCTCTACTTCCAACGAGGAATCTTTTTGTAAACCCCACATAACATCTTATCTTCAAGTGAGTATCAATGATCATCACTAGATCATGTCGCTTTAGCTGATATGGATGAAATCTAGAGACATCATGTGTCAGAAGCTCATTGAGACAATCGAGCACCTATGCAGGCATAGAGTTGATTCTCCTGGGAGGATCAGGGAACTTAATGGCTGCAACAATTGCGGCATCATCCAGAAAACAGAGCACCTCGGCAAGACGACGAAAAGGGATCCTTGCCCTGACTGTATCGACAATGGTATTTATGTGAAGAGCAATGGGGTTTGGAAGAGGGCCTAGTGGATTTTTGGGTTTCGCAATCTTCATAGGAAGTAGTCTCGCGCAATTTCGTGAACCTTATCCATATTTCCTTGCGCTTACTATGGAATTATCTTTCGATAAAACTCGAATCCTCAGGAGTTGTACAGTGATATTCGAAATCAGATTTACCTCGATATTCTCTCTTGTGATCTCGCGGCGCCCCGCTTTTCCATATCGGGTTAAGTTCCTTACAAACAATGTAGCCTTGATGAGTCATGATAAATTACTGTAACGGAAGTGTCTCACGCATGCTTTCCCCCATCTGCCTAGACTGCTTTGCTTAAAAGAGAGAACTGACTATACAGCCAAACATACAACCCCTGGTAGCTTGGGCAAAAAACCCTAAGACTGACCACGATTCGAAATGGCGTTCATGTTTTACATGGAGAATCAACCTCGAAACCCAACGCTCAGGCGATGTTTGAAAATCTATTCTCACTTGATCCAGCTTGTAAATCGCACCTGGGCGTTACGCCATGGCCACCCATCTAAAATATTAGTAATCGACTGCTGAAGGTCTGTCCAGCCCAGCTGCTTCAACAAGTAAAAGGATTCTGCCATTTCGTTCCGTCTTCTCGGACACATAAAAGCGCCACTCCTCCCACCTTTAAGACCATAGATTCTATTATTTCCTCGCATCATCCCCAACCTGCCCTAGCGTATAGCGTACAGCATGACAACTCACCACATCCAAGCGCGCTAATATTGCTGGATATAACCCGCTTTGTCCCACCACGATCTGGAGTAATAGGCCGCCAGGAACTCGGTGATACTCGAGCGCCTCCCATCTTTCAACCTTGAGCCAAGACCAAATCACCTACATTCGTCATTTACTACGAAATATCATATACAAGCCTCAATATGGAATATACAGAGAAGAGGAAGGCTTCTTTCTACGACCTCCCGCTGGAGATCTTGGAATCGATCGCAATGAATCTTTACCTTTCTGATTACTTACATTTCCGTGCTCTTTGTTGTACGACATGGTCTTTGTTCGGCTGTTCGACTCTTATACCCATTTTGAAAAATATCCAGACCCTTGAAAACGATACTTCGGAAGTGCGGTGCGAGGATTGCCATTACATATCGCGAGGCCATATCTTATCCCAGGCTTATCGAAAGAATGGTCTCGTCCCAAAGATGGATGATCTAGTGCAGCTGAAAGCTTCTTTGAAGCATCCTTCTGGCGATATGGTTGAGCACGCAGCTCGTTCCCGCAACTACAAAATGCTCTTGACTCTCATGATTGGTCACGGTGCTTCTTTTCGAGAGGTTCAAGGGGGTATCGATAGGCTCTGTTGCGAAGCATTCGAGCAGGGCGACTTTGAGAAGTTTCGCTGGCTGTTCTCGAAAGGAGCGTCTTTAGATGTTTTAGCTGGAGTGGTATTCGATTTTTCTGGTTGTCATAGGCCAAGGTCACGTCAAGCTTGTCGCTATCATCTAAAGGGGCTGGAGAGAGCCCTTAGAGAAGGAGCAACCCCTAGTGGCCCCCATGAGGCAATGACAGCAGAGCTAAGATTGCGTCGACGTAAAGGACTCAGTGACGGTTGGAGGAGACCGATCACCTAGATATACAGCTTGTGGATGTTCGTAAGACAAGGCTTCGCACAGAGACCGCCCTTGCTACCGTCTACTAAGTTAGGTGTATTTCATTTATTAATTTACATGCTAACTCATTTGTTGTTATTGAGACTTGAGTAGGATAAATATCCCCTTTTCCTGCCAGGGGTTGCAAACTTTTGCAACGACACTGTACAGTGCAAAGCCAAGAAACTGGAGGTATTTAGACCGATGAGCAAGAAGCACATGCGAGACACGTAATTACGGTAATTTAGCATGACTCATCAGGGCTACATAGATTAAAGGAACTTAACCCAATATGGAAAAGCGGGGCGCTGTGAGATCACAAGAGAGAATATCGAGGTAAATCTGATTTCGAATATCACTGTATTCAAATGCAAAACCTACATAGTCTCTCTATTCGTATACTGAAAAATTCTCCCTGGTAAACTTAAGTCACTGTAAGCCGGTTGTTTTCTTGCCTGAAACGAAAGGCAGAAAGAGGTGATGACTAAGTTAACAACTAATGAATAACTAGTTAATTAATTTAGAACCAATCATAATTGATTATGTCACACCCCTTTTTAAATAATTAGTTACTTCCCTCCTCTACCTTCCTTTCGCCCCTTCCTCTTTAAATACATGAACGTTACTTCTATCCCTTCTTCTCCTTTTCACATGTTTCTCAACCATGGATATTCAACGCCAGTATCCTAGTGTCCACTGGATCTGGGGCGGAGGCATCTCTTTCGTTTACGAGGTCCACCCTCGCATCGTGGTCAAAGTCCCGAAGTCTGGGGAATTCGAGAGGCAACAATTTCATAAAGAGCTCGAGATTTATCATGTATTCTCGCAAAACCCGCCTTGTCCCTCTATTGTGCAGTGCTTTCTCTTTTCCGGCAGTGGCATCTTCCTCGAGTACATGAGAGGTGCGACCCCTATTGGAAGTTAAAAGCTTGTCTACTAATTTGCCTCCCTAGATATGTCACTTTCTTCTAGGATTCAAAACAATCACACGCGAGACCAGCAAACTATGGTGGTTACTAGAGTGGAAAAGTTGGAACCTCTACACCTACGACTAGAATGGATGAACGACCTCGCTCAAGCCGTCGCTTTCTTGGAATCCCTCAACCTCGCTCATGGTGATTTACGACCTGAAAATGTTCTACTTGACCGCAACCGACTAAAGTTATCCGATTTTGATTGTACGGCGAAAATTGGAACAAATTACGAAGCTTGCATGGCTCCGTATGGCAGAATACTCAATCACGAGGAGTCAGACCAAGGAGAATGTGGAACTTCTGGCTTTCTTGGCCCTCGAACAGAACAGTTCGCCCTTGGTTCCTTGTATTATTTGATTAACTACGGCTTTGAGGTTTATGGCGATCGCTGTCTTGCCGATGATCCTTACGAACATGGTCCTAAGGTCGTGGACTTACTACAGAATATGGAGTTTCCGAGATTGGATGGCAATCCCCTGATTGACGATATCATCGACAAATGTTGGCATAATAAATATGTCAAAGTTTCAGAACTAGCCACACACACGAAAACACTCTTGGACGAAAGAACCGATCCGATGGAAAGTAATGGAAGCAGAAAGAGGGAAAGTAGCGAAGTGGCACCCCTTGTCAAAAAGATTTTCAGTGAACGATGGCGTATGGTTATGGGTCGCTTAATTCATGGAATATTTTTTGGCCTGGGAGTGTGGTGGAGGTCGTTATTACAGAGGGTCCACGGCGAGGCAAGAATCGTCAGGCGAGCTAGTGGCGATAATCGTGATGTTGTGGATCAAACCTGCTTGGAAGAAGAATTCCTTTTGAAAAAGGAGTTCTGTCAGGACCTGGAGAAACGTGGACTTCTTGATGCGCTTTCTTCGGGCGAGCCTGAGGAAATTGGATTCACTTTCGATTGGTATAGGCACAGTCTCTAAGGTTGAATGATCATGATAGGCTTGCCATGTGACTGAAATTGTACTCCCCTTGTTAGGCGAAGGTCGACCGTAAGGCAAACTTCGCCCGTTGCTCGGCGAAAATTATCCTGACCAGCTCCTCTAATCCACACTTGCGCATGAGTCGCGAGATCAGGCCAGTTCCAAACGAGAGACGGTTTCATTTTGCGAGTTGATGGCGTGACCCATATGAGAAATTGAGCATGATTTATCGGCTGAAGACAGGCCAACTGCGCGGTTTTTCGCCATTGGCTGGTGCTACCGAGATGCCACGGAGCATCTGTGTCATGCAAGAGAGGCAAGCAAAACCGATTTGACGACAATCGGGTGCTAATGCTTTCAAATCCGTACGCCTGCCTCATATCCGCCCCTCCGAGGTTGATTACACGGCTCCGGTGTGACGTCTGCCTGAGACGATCTTCAGTGAGGTATTTAGGCCATTGAATAGGGGCGAGAGGGCGCAGCGCCTGCGGTCATCAGGCAACCGAGCTGCGACTGAACATAGCAGTGACGACGAGGATAGCTGAAGAGAAAGGTCGCATGAACGTGGCACCAGAACAAATTCAGGCGCAAGGGTAAGAGTAGATTATCGAATTGAAGAAACATAGCACCAAGTTCGGAATGAGGGGACTAGATAAGCTAGATGAATGTGAGACTAATGTACCACGTTGTTCGTGAAAAGACTCTTCCAAAGCCCGACCATTCTCCTGAAACGTCACCTGCGTAGCAAGAGCTGCAAAAGTGGAGAGAACCAGGATTCAGCCGTAATTTGCGACCGGGAAAAAAGGGGAGGCGAAGAAGGGATATGGGGCGGACAAGTGTTCCGGCTGGGGGGCAAATGAAGGGGCGCAGCAATGAGTGCAAAATAAACGGGACGGAGGGAGGAGGAAAGAGAATTGGAGAAATCGGAGGGAGAGGTCGGATCTTTTATGTCGGGCGGTCTGAGGAGGTTACGTGACAGTGCATTGGAGCGCTAAACCTGACGAGGCAATTCATATGTCCGCCGTTTACATTAGCATTGGGCTAACTGCCCCTTCTTTTCTTTTACAGCGGCAATGTTGAGAGCGAAGGAAAAGAAGTGTTTTACTTGAATAGAATATCTACCGCCACCCGGTACGTATACCTTCGCACCCCCAACTCACCGTGACCAGTTAGCAACGCGTAACACCATGGCCCAATCATCCCGCGTTCCACTATTTACGCTGGAACCAAGCATCGTCAACTCTTGATTGCCCAAAGCTAATAGTAATGATATTTCAGACAATATTCTTCGAGCGAATTTGCCAGAACACCGATTGAAAATCCATTAGCCTTCAGTCGTCTACTTAGCCACCATTCGGCCTCTCCAAACCCCTAATTGGTGTTCTATTAGAGCTTCAATCATGCTATCGCCAACACAAGGCCACCATGAAGAATATAGAAAGGAAAAAGATAAGATTTAACTGCACCGTACTATCTACTTCTCTCATAAGACACCGCAATCTTCATTGGTTTTGCACTGTAACTCCTGCGCCTTGGGCTAGTTTGATAGAAAGTACACGTACAATGAGGGGCTATGAGACTTCAAACGCCAGATGAAGAGGGGTATATGAGGAGATTGGGGTGGCTGAGAAGAGGTTTTCCAGGGAGGGCAAGAAATACGCCCAAATCAATTTCTACTAGCTTGGGCCGCATCGGTAATGACGGGGTGTCGATAAGTTACGCGTACCCAGTAATGTCGCAGGCCTTGGGTTTGATCAAAGGCCCGTATGTAGCATTACCGATCAAATGACCTGGACTTTAGGCGGAAAGTACACCCTCCGTTTTGTGATGGGACATGGTGAGCCAATGGATAAAATGGCTTGGAACTAGTGAGTCCGGGCCGGTATGACCGGAGCTATGTGCGCAAGACATACGAACCTAGGCCGTGTCGGCTTTCTCGGACCCCAGTGACTGGAGGGAGCCTGAGTGGGCTGCATCTGTCCACAATGGGGTTGAATCACGAGCCCTCTCATGGGCCACGTTTACTAGTGCTGCGCTACCACGCAGGGGGAGGGCCACTTTGGGCAAGAAGTGGTCTTTCCTGCTATCATAGCGTTCTGCGCAGAGTAGTATCTTCATTCTTGGGAAATTCCTCAATACGGGTCATAAGGCCAAGGTTTTCGTTTCATGACACAGCCAATAGATTCCGACTTGTTAGTGGATCAGCAGCACTTTCTCTTACTGCATCTCATCTCGATAGAATACCGCGCCAGCCCGAGAAATATTCTCTAGGGGCCTTAGCCCAGAAATGAATTTCAACGCGGATTGGTGCCTGCTCCGCACCTTCTGTTGGCGTTTTGGGGCAAGGACAAATTCAGCGATCGTCGGGAATCCTAGCGGACTTGTGCCTTCAGATTTATCCCCATCCTTCTCATAAAACTATTTTCATTGTCCTACATATGAATAAATAGCTCGTGAGAAGAGCCCGTCCGCACCGAAGTGATCGCACTACTGCTCCGCGGCTCTTCTTGTCGTCGCCTCTACGCTGTTGTTCCCTCGCTAGTTTCAGGGTCTAGAATTTGGACCCTCTGACTTGAAATTTCGACCGCGAGCTACAGTATCAATCTGCGAGTCTGAAATGAACCCTGGGAGAAGGGAGCCCTCATTCACAGTAGGAGTCTCAAGCCTCCCTGGAATCATTTACTTGATGATCTTTCATATATTAATTACGAGCCTATCACTGCAGAGCAAAAGGAGAGCACTCAAAACATCACACGACTCGAGAGTAGCTGTCGGAACAAAAGTCTTCGATGAACGCTCCACGACAATTTAGAGAATGAAGCTGCAACAACTTATGCCACGACGTGTCGAAATGTTCAGATCGAATACAATCTATTAGCGCAACGGCAGCGTTGTTGGTCAAAACTATTGGCCTCTGGTTTCTTTTCGTTTTCGTTGATCGTCGGCTCGGTAAAGTGAATCTCCATCTCAATACCTTCAAAATCGCTTCATCGCTCATGTCGTATTCTCCATTCGTGAGAAGTATATTCAGGATTTTCATTGACTGGCATGATTTCTCGCGGCGCTGTAAATATGGAGAATGGAAAGGGTGGGACCAGAGTTCACCCTTGTGATTAAGAAGCAACTTCACCAATCCCACGTGGTTTCGCTCAACAGCAGCGTCGAGTGAAACGCGACAGTGCAGGCCGAGAGTCAAATTCGGAGGTGCTTGGTGTTTAAGCAACAACCGGGCGACATGAAAGTCCCCATTATCTGTTGCAACGTATAATGGGAAACGGCGATGGAATTTGTCAGGGACATCTAGCTGGGCGCCCTTATGTAGAAGAAATTGAATAATAATGTCGTCTGGGTCGGTTGATCTTGCGTTGATCGCGATAATTAAAGGATTGATGTAACCTCGAAAATTTATCGCCGCAAATTTCTGGGCCATCGAATCATGGCCGCCAAAAAACGAATTCTCGTCGGAATGTTCCGCGTAGCGTGCATAGTCATCGAACCTCCTGATGAGCTGAGATACGTTAGGAATCTGTTGTATGAGGTCTAGGCTCCCTAGGTGAATTGCATAGAGTAGCGCTATCAGGTGTCCTTGAATCGACAACGCCCGGCGGAGCTGGTCGTACAAATCGCGTGTATGAAAAAGGACCAAGAGATGGTAAAGATCGTAGACATCCAGGCTTAGCGTTATGAGATGAAAAAGTTCCAGGGGTAGCTTCTCAAGATGACCCATGTTCACATGAAAATCACATCAAAGAGAAAGAATAAAGCAAGACTAATTATATGTGTCCTGGTTGATAAATGTAGGATTCTTTCGGGTGGTGACTAGAGTTGGTCCCTAGTTCCTGGGAACTGAATGGGGCGGGCGTGGTTTATTTCTAGAGCTGTAACAATACATGAGTAGGTAACTTATGATACAGTACGTCCCGAAACTGGTGCAACCACTACACTCTTCGATTGACTTTCCTGGCCCTTACAGTCGTTCTCGAAATTGGCTTGACCAGTGCACACTCAATCACTCTTTCCTGGCCCCACAGCCAAGGACCTTAGTGCCGATCATTTATTGAGGGGGCCAGGTTAAATCGAGGAGCAACGTAAAATGCACCATGTATGGTACCGTATCTTGCTACTGTACGGAAACTTACACCACGCGTAGAGAGCTCAATGGAATTCCATGGAAGCCGATGGTGGGTCTCTGCGAATCATGCGGAGAGTCTCCACCTATATAGTCACATTGACTGCTACTCTAAGCGTAAGTACTGCAAATTTATGGAATATTCAATAGGCAGGATAGAGCCGAGTAAATTCTCATTTTCTCGCAGGCCCTTAATTCATACAGAGATTCGAAAATAGAAAGAAAGAGCGGAAACAAAAATCATTTACCATACAAAACCGGAAAAAGGAAATCCGCCCTGATGTGTGCCCCATGGCAAGTGTATTGCCGTTTGTCTTAAGACACCTGGGTCGGGATTCTACAGGTAGCCAGAGAACCCTCTCGCCGTTTAATTTTATCCATTGCCCATGCTCAATAGAGATACCCAGATTTGCACGAGGTGGATGTGACATTGAAATGTCAAACTTGGATTTTATTTCAAGAGCGCCGAAATTGGTATAGAGATGAATACCGTCGTAAGAAAATTCTAGCGTAGTGAAGAAATTTTCAATATTCCAAGTTTGCGTGAGGGCGCCCGTCGCTGTGTCCCAGAGTCGCGCTGTACAATCAGCAGAGCTTGTAGAAGACGGCCATCGGGCGAGAAAGCAACCGAATCAATCCAACTAGAGTGGCCTTCGAGTATCTGGATGAGCGCGCCTGTTGCCGCATCCCAGAGCCGTACAGTCTGATCATAGGAGCCAGACGCCAATCGACGGCCGTCGGACGAGAAGGCAACCGGCTCAACCAAACTTGAATGACCTTTGAGCGTTTGGGTAAGCGAACCTGTCTCTATTTCCCAGAGCCGCACTGTCTGATCTTCGGAGCTAGAGGCTAGCAGACGGCCATCGGGTGAGAAGGACACCGACCGAATCGAACCCGAATGGTCTTCGAGTGTCTGGGTGAGCGTGCGTGTCGCCGGATCCCAAAGCCGCACTGTCTGGTCTTCAGAGCCAGATGCCAGTAGCCGGCCGTCGGGCGAGAAGGCAACCGAATGCACGGAATCCGAATGGCCTTCGAGTGTCTGGATGAGTGCGCCTGTCGCTGGGTCCCAGACCCGTACTGTCATATCACCAGAGCCAGACACCAGCAGCCGGCCGTCACGCGAGAAGGCCACTGACTCAACAGGAATCGAGTGGCCTTCAAGTGCCTGTAGTTCTGCACCCCAATTTTCTTCAACTCGTGGAAACTGGCAAATCCAAGTAGGGAGCTCTTGTCTGAAATCTCTACGAATTATTGCCGATTGGGGTGCAAATATAAGTCCGGCACAGTAAACCTGAAGAGGCGCTTGATCAACTATTTGGCGATATTTCAAAAAAAAACGCCTTGCGTCTTGACAGAAGTCCGAAATTGGGGAAAATTTGTTGCCCTAAAGCTGTCAGTGTGAATCCTGTGTATGACGATCTTCAAACTTACCGATATGGCTATTTGAAGGCGATCAAGAATACTTAACATGTCCGACGTGAGACCAAGTAGGCTCATTGCTTCCACCCAGTGCAGAAAATGTTTCCGTAAAAATTGCCTCTGGAGAAATAACAGAGCATTATAAACCATATCACTCGAGTACCTGCATTTATCTAGATGATATGCCCAGTATCGACAGGCGTACTGCAACTCAGGGGGAATGTAGGCATCAACTGTCCGACGATCAACTTCAGCACGTAGGGTGCCATCACTCGGCAGTCTACATATATTCTTCCGAAGATTTTGACACATCAGCAGACATTGCCTGGCCAGCCTATAGTGCATCTCTGTCTCATTCACCCCCAAAGGTGTTTTGCTGCGGGTCTCCGGATTGAGAAGAAAGTCACGGAATGACAGGTGAAAAAGGCGTACTGGAACTGCCTCGCTATCTGGCACCTTAAGTACGGAGTGCAGCTGGTTTAGACGAAGATGTATCAGCCTTTCAGGAACATCCAAAAGCTTCGATAGTGAGATTACTGAGAGTGGACTTTCTAGGATCAGGTTTCAAAAATGATTCATTTGCTGCCTGTCGAGGCACTGCAAAATAATGCGGGACGCAAAAAACATATTCGTCTTTCTTCTTTCAACATTCCCCACTTGAACGGTCATGCCACATCTGTGCTTTCGGTTTGGTTTGAGATTGGTACGGTACTCGGCAACGCATGATGAGCTGGCTCTTGGTTCCTGCACCAAAGTGGGGCGCTAATAGGAGTGGCCACCGCCTGCGTGTAAGAGCTTGCAGTAGATCTCTGTGTAAGGCATCAGATGAGGAACGGTCGCTCGAATTGAGAGTTGTGTCTTATTTCTCGTAGGGATGCGTTGACCTATTGGGGAACTACTTATTAGTGGCATCAGCCATGAAGAAAGTTCACGACGTGTTGAACGACTCAGGGTGGTCAAGTACCGAGATACATGAGCCCACGAGTTATGCACGCGATTACATACGCCCTTGTTGACCACGATCATGTGAATCCTGGATCTATACTTTTGTTGAACTCCTGTATTCGCAAGCTTTCTTCTAGGCCCGCGTTGACCGCTCGTACGGATCTATAGATCATATTAGTGGGCATTGAACACGAGATGGTTACCTGCAATCCAGCTGCGGTATCGCACGCAGCCGTTGGCCGACACAGTGAGTGACAGCAGGGTCGGCGTGACTGCATGGTTGACCCTGACTAGTGGACTATGTTAAGGTTGGTCAACCACGCACGGGAATGCACAAATAGTCCGTTGATCGAGCGGCGGCGCTGAACAGCTGCATGCGGCGTTCGCTTCGGCATCGACTGCGTTTAACGTATAAGCGAGTCGTTGAACTAGGACTTCTGCATCGTCTTAGCTGATGATCCCGTGTTCACCTATGCCAGCCGTACGGACACGATTCGTGCCCAGGCCCATATTTACCCGCGAGTAGATTTTTGCATCATTGCGAGGAAGTCGGTTGAACTGCCGAGGATGTTTAGACTGCGCTAAGCAGGTTTGTCGCATGGACGAGAAATGACCTATGTTCAATGGATGCGAGACTTGTGTTCTAGTGGTTTGGACCGCAGGTCAATGGAAATGAGAAGGTGTATATGTTCACTGCGCCGAAGCGGAGTCCAATTCGATCAACAATGGACGAGTGAGGCGAGAGAGACAATATTGGTGGGATGTTGGGTAGAGTTGTGGGGCCGGATGGCTTGGTTAACGCCGAAGTGGTCCGAGAAAGCATTCTACGGATTGCAGTTACGCTCGATCGAGAACTTATCAGTTCAACCACGGCCTAAGCGGTGTCCCACTTCGATCACCAACGTATGGGTGAGGTAGAGAGACTATGTTGGTGTGATCCGAGATGCAGCTATAGGGGCCGGGTGGCAGGATCGGGCTACAGCTGCACTCGACCGGGAGGATCTATGTTCAACTGCGGTCCAAGCGGGATGCAACTTGAACTTTGTTCCGGTCACAAATGGACCAGTGAAGCGGACGATAGAGTGTTGGTATGATCTCTACATGTAACTGCACTGAACCGGGAATGTCTATGTTCAACCGCGATCCGAGCGGAATGCAGCGCGAACGTTATCCCTGATCAACAATGACCCAATGAAGATGAAGATACGGCGTTGGTGTGGTTAGAGGTACAGCTTGCGGGGCTAGATGGCAGGGGCAATGACCAGGTCGTTCGAAATAGCATTGAACATCTACTAGACCCAGCTAACCAGATTCAAAGCATCTTTCTTGAACGGCGGCCCAAGCGGAACACAATATGAGCGCCACCCCTGGTCAACAGACAAATGAAGCTAGCGAGATAATGTTGATGTGATTGAGATGCAGCATGGGAGCCAACTTAGCCGATCAACCGAAACGCAATTTGAGCAGGTATGCTTTCGGTTTTGCGTGGGTCTACACTTTTGCGATGCATCCAACGCCCTCATGAAGCCCAAAGGATTTGGTGGCATATTCTGCACAGCACGGTAGCGACATCGATCCTGAAAATCCTATAGTTTACACCCAGGTGCGTTTTCTCACATGCACAGGCCCCCCTCAACCGTCCCACTCCTCGACACTAAGTCTTCGGCTAAGGGGCAGTTTGTCTCCGGATATCATATCCCACAGCCGACCCATCATAAAAGATCCATTGGTGGACAATTTTATTCTGCGATGACAGGGCCTGGAGCACGACAGCCGCTGTAAGTAGCCTTTCCGGGAACGCCCTTCGCCTCGCAGCGCAAGCCAGCCGATCCCACTGAGGACACCCTGAAAGTACTGTACTAGATCGACTACGCTCGTGTCTTTCTGCCGGATGTGCTTAGAGAGGAGGATACTACGGCATCGCCGCTCACTGTAGTACTGTACGTCCCTGGACTCGTAGACGATCATGATGGGCTACGGCAACGACGTCTGGAGCAAGGCAGGTTCCATCAACTAGGGTGTCAATCCCACTGCTCGCTGGCATGACTCACTCATATGCTGTGAGTGGTTGGCTCCGTTCCTCTACAGGACTTTGGTCGTCCAGAGACCCGCCTTTTGGCCCCAGACCCCGCTCTCTCCTCTTGCCCTTAGGCCTTAGATGGACTGGGATCAGATTCTGCGCAGTCCCAGGGCAGTTTCGCGAGCGACGCCGCCATTTGTCGTTCACTCCACATTCACCCTGTGCCTGTCTTTGATCTCTAATCTCCTCGTAGTCCCGTTATAAAGTGGTAGCGCCTAAGATTTAGCGTGCTATAAGCGACGCTTAAGCGCCTCGTGACGCACGCGTCTAACATCTTCCGAGACCTAACTGCGTGAATAGTTAGCTCTCTCGACCACGCCAGGGACGGCCTGGACCGCCGGCGCTCGTTTGGCCGATCAGAGATAACAGGCGCTGTGTATGGCGCACATCCCTTCCCACTAAGCCGGATCGGGTACGATCGTCCAGGCTCGCTCCGACGCGCGCCACCTCGGTACGGTTGGACTCTTGACAACTCCAAGTATAGTTTCCAACGAAAGCCACAGACGTGCACGGATCGCGAAAAAAGTCCCATGATTGGAAATCAGGCAATCTCCTGGGATACGTTGCGTGCGCCCTGTTCGATACCGCTGTTCAGCTGTGAGAGATACAGGGATCAATTGAAGCTCGAACGGCTGCCTCTCTACGATGCATTTGCGCGGCGACGGGGCAGTGCAGCTATGGCGAGGCACATAATACAGGCGTCATGCGCTGTAGATCATGTTCTCTCCACGACGAGCCCCTATCCTTGTCCTATGTCACAATACGCAACTACGGCACCGAAGCCTCTAGGGATGCGAGAAGTGCTCGTGCCTCATCAACAGACTCGAATTTAATTCTGTTGATTTACCAGTCACTATGGCAAGTCACACTAGATGCTGTGGCAATCACTCTTTCCCCTTCGAGCTCTCACCCCTGGCCGCCAGGATTACCATCCAATTAGAAGGCACGACGAAACGCCACAAACTACAGTATCTCTTTCGTCTCCTGGACCACAGGAAGAGGCTCTCAAAACTTGATTTAGGGTCTCGACCGCACCGGATCAGCGGACCTCCGTTATGCTTAACTGTACCGCCTACCGCTCGAAGCCTAACCCGATGCCAGGCCACGGCGCTAGACAAGGTTTTCGTCGTCATTTCCTATCACTCTTATTTTCGCTAAAGGAAGTTCGTTCTCGGATCTACCGTGCCGGTCGAGGGGCTCTAGGCTGGCTCGCGAATGCGTGATTCACCTGGTCGGAGACTTCCTTTGTCCATGACGTGAGGTTCTCGAGATAATCGCCGTCGCTGCCGCCGTCGCGTTTGATCTGACTGCGCACCGACCGCACGTGATTAGCGAACGGATTCGCGCGGTGATGAAAAGAGTGAGAGCGCAACTTGCCTGAATTCCTTCTGCTGCCTAGGTAATATAATATCAGTACGGAATCTCCCTGTGAACCGAGCACGCTCACCGAGCCAATAACTGTTTGAGCTCGCTGGCTCGCAACGTGCGCTCCGGCACGCGAGATAGACGGAAAAGTGCTAACACGATCTCTGCTTGGTAGCTGCGTTTAGGAAATAGTGGCCCATCCTCTGCGGGGTACCGGCGGGAGTCTCGCACCTCTCTAGCCTTTGCGTCACTTGGCGAAGACGCTCGCCCTTCCTAGGCTTTTCTGCGTTGCCGTCTACAGTGCCGTCTGCCTAGCTCGTGGTGTGCGTTTCCCTCATCTGGGTCTGATCGGCGTGTCTAGTGGACACTGTCAGTGGCTTTTCAACGACATTCCCTGCGGGGCCACGAACCGGTCCAAGGACGAATATATTGAGCCAATTGTTAGTGTATCGGCCTACGGTTCTGGATCCTGTCCTAGCACCGACCCAGCTGACACAACGGTATGGTCTCCAGATGTTCCGAAGCCAGCGATCAGCGGCGGCCCCATCTGGTGTCAGTCTCTTCAGGATCCGGCTAACCCTATCAGAATCGTACCTACGTCGATTCGGATATTGTCACGTGGAATAATTGACAATCATGCTCGGAATCTACTGCCTCCGGCAGTTCTTCGGATCTAGCATTCTGATCGCCCGGAGGTAACCCAACCACGCATCCGAGTCGTCCAGCACCATTGGAGGAGATGTTAGGCATTACACAGACTACAAGACGACCGGCGATTTATCAACAGGAAGTGTTTTTGTGACGGAGAAGAATAGACGATATGAAATTAAATATAGCTAGCACCAAAGAATAAGTAGACAAGCGCGCAAACGTGGAGCCAGATATTTATCCTTGCAATAAGCTCTCAATGCCTTCCGCCCAACCCTCCTCACTATCGAATTGGTTGCTCGAGGAATTTGACGGTTGCTCATAGTGGGCGTTTGCTAGCGAAGCCAGACCTTGGTTCTGCTGTATGAGCGGCAGGTTGCCCACGGGTTGCTGGGTCACCGGATGTTGGGGCGGTTGCGGCCAGTACCCGTTCATCGGCCCCAAATGATTTGGGTCAAACGAATGGCTGATGAACGCCGGTTGTACCTGGTTTGTCTGCGGGTTCAGTCCCCACGGTTGGTTCGGGTCCGAGATCGCGTTCTGCGGAGGCTAGCCGAGCTGAGACGTCGACTGTCTGTTGTTGTTGGCAGTGGAGACGGGGCCCGCGAGCTGATTCGGAACAGAAGGTATACCTATGCTCATGGTGGCTCGCTGCTTACCGAGCACTTCAGATGAGCTGCCATTCAATAAGTCGTTGACCATGGGTGGCGGCGAGCCCCCGCTGGTCTCGAATATAGGCGACTGTATCCCTAAAGCCTTCAATTTGGCGCCCAAAAGGGGATCCACGGTACTCGTAGACCTAGCTGCTTCGAGCTTCCTCAGGATCAGGACGCAGGCCTGCGTTGCTATGCGATACTTTCTCACGCATTCCCGGTGGCTTCGGAGAAAATTTATCTTGACGCGGATAAAACGTCAGAAATGGATCCCCCTGAAACGACTCCAGACTCACCACGTTTTCTTTTCCTCCAATCATCGAGCTTAAGTCATTAAGAAATGCTTCTCTCTGAGGAGAAAGCCTTTTTCCAGCTCCCGGTGATCGATCAGCCCGTACCATGCTGCGATTGGGCTGGGGGCCTGCAGTGTGAAGCAAGCTCGGGGAGACAGAGACTGTAGGTTCAATACTCACCTGCACGGGAACCATGCTCATTACGATGCCTAATAACCAATGCAAAACGTGACGCTCATAGACATTGCGTCCCAGGTGAAATTGCTACCCCGCTCCTTCTGCCAAGGGTCTTCATGATTCCGAAGACCTATTCGGTCTTGAGCTGGCCAACTGTTGGACGGTACGACGGGCTCGTGGTCAAAGCGCATCTGGGAACCCCCTATGCGATTGCGTGTTTGTGGCGCACATGTTGACCTAAGGCCTGGCAAATGAAAGTACTTCAGTAAGCGCCGTTGGTGTGACTATGTATCGTTCAAAATGAACCAGAGTAGAGCAGTTCAACACAGTGCGCCTTCAACGGTGACTTGATCTGGTGACCCGATGTCTGATTGAGGAGTTCCCGGGGACCTTGAGCTAGAACCTCTTTCGCCATCATATTTAGAATGCTCCCTCCTCTTCTACCCTATCGTGCTGGTTTCTACCTCGCTTGCACGCTGAGAAAACGTTCAAGTCCCTCCTTTTCTGTTTTTGCCATACCTTTCCAACGTTCCCGATCAAAAATCTACGAGAGGTGCTCCGTACAGAACGACCAGCTACAATGAAGCAGTGGACCGCAGAGGAACGAAGAGATCTGAAACCTTTTATCGAGACCACAGCTCAACTCTCCTGGCCGGAAAAAACCAAGAAATGGAACCGAAAATTCAACACTGGAAGAAGTAAAGAGGGGATTCGCGGACAGTGGAACCGAGAGAAGCTCAAGCTGGGCGTTGAACCTACAACCACGGCTACGAGGGCACATGTATCACCAGCACCGAAGTGTGGGCGAGTGCAAAAAACAAGACCGCGGGTATCCCGGCAAGATCACCGGCGTCAACGCACCAGCCCGTCAACTGCTTCTTTGTCCGGGCCAATGTCGGGTCTGCGAATTGACGATGCTGGGGCTGAACCACACAAGCCAAGAGATGGGTGGAGCTGTTCCCTGGATACGTTGAAGGCTTTCATGCTTCGTGAGTCATTTGCCATTCAAAATATTATGGGAAATTCGCCTAACCAGATTGGCAGTCATTGGGGCGACCATATAAATGAAGCCTGCTCAAAGCCCTGCCTAAAATTGCGCAAAAGCATCTCGCATGGAGAGTCTAAATCGGTTTTCATGTATTGACACATCTGGTTTATATCCATTTGTCACCCTATTCCCTTATCTTTTTGTTATCATTAAGAGGAAGACTGCTTATTACCCCAGAAGAAACAAGAAAGCTATACTATACATAAATAATGAGAAGATCTAGTTGATTTCCGATCAACTTGGTTCTTCGTATGGGCATCTCGGAATTTTCCGATAGCACGCTTTGTTCCTTACAGTATCTCTACCAGCCTCAACCTATACATACAGTACATAAAATCTTTCAGGGGCTGCTTTCTTGTCTTGCAATTTTGGGTCAAGGACTACCGTTTCTTGCTACGACAACGTTGGGACTCTTCAAGTGCAAGGAACACTGAAACCAAAAAACCTTTATTGGATGCCTGTAACCGTCACGACATCTTACGAGCGCCAGAGCAGCACTGAAACTGCCATAAGGACTAAAAGCGAAGACCCAGCTGCCGGGTTATTTGCTCCGGTTCCAGGGGCGTCATCTAAAGCCCAATTAACACCCTGTGAAGACCTAGAAAAGAGCGCAAGGCTTCGCGAATAACTGAGCATCGCTTATTTGACGGCATTGGCATTGATATATATTGACATGTATGTCACACAAGTCTTATACACAATTGGCATTGCTATAGTTTTTGCTGGTTATGTTCTTCTTTAACGCAATCATGCTGTGACATCGCACAGGGGCCCTGGAAGATGAATCCTAGTCTGTCTTGGTTAAGACAAGCTGCAATCTAAGCCGTAAAGATCAACCTTTCAATAATGACATCGGAAGCGGCAGGGAGCACTGCATCAAGTCAGAGGTCTGCCTGGGCATCCTAGGAGCCTTTTCAAAATGACAAATTTGGTTGTAACATGCCCCCTACCACATTAAATTCAAGGAAGCAACAGCGATGACGGTAAGTTGGAAGAGCTGTGCATAATGGTCTGTAAAGAAAAGCTTAAAATCCTCATCAGGTAAAGTATTTCTTGCTCATTCAAGTCCCAATACGCGCGCAGCCGGGGGGTGAAGCCACACTGCATTGACGCTGGAATTAGCTCCTATGAGGCGTCCAAGGACAGGACGCAGATCGGTTATAAAGAGGGGCCCCCTGCCTCGGATCATTATTTCCACTAACAATCTTTAAACATCCCTTTCAACGAGTCTTGACATCCTTCCCGTTTTCCGCGGTCTCTCGTTCCTTCCTCAGAAAGCTGCGATTTCATCGACCGTCATTCTACGTCGCAACGAAACCTCCATACAATCCTTCTTGTCTTGCACAAAATCCTATCCGTATCAACCCGAGCGTCACACGAGCTTCGTGTAGTACACCCTTACTGCGCGTTACCCTTTAATTGCGTCTGCGTCCGACACCCGCCACCGCCCTCCATAATCAACGTCTCCATAATCAACAAGATCACGTCAATCGCTGCTCGGTATTTTTGGTCAAGGATGGGGAAAGCAAGACACACTGAACGGCAATCCATGGGTGTCAAATTTGCTGTTCGGTTCGAGGACCCTCGGGGGTTTTATATGGATCATGTTTGCGGGCCTTGGCTCACTCCGCAAGGGTTGACGGAGGAATGGGTGGTGAAGGGCTTGCAGTGCAGCCGGGATCGGATCAAAGACTGCCACATAAAGTGCGTTTGGAAGAATAACCAGGAGATCAAGACGGAACAGCGTATCCAAGAGCTTCCGATCAAGTGTGGCGATGTATATACCGTTGAGTGGGAGTGGATTCATCATTGAACGCACAGCAGTCCATAGTTCATTAGCACTGTGAGACATGAGGCAATACCGTGCGAAGACGATGGGGGAGGATGTGAAATGAGTTAGATCATTACAGTAGTATTCGAAATCAGTTATACCACCTCACTCTTGTGACTTGGTTCCCGGAAAATAAACCCGGCAGCTGTGGGTCCTGATAGGATAGACCTCGGAGGCTCCACTTTGCAGACCGCCTCCTGAATTAGTAGGTATTTTTCATAATACCGTGATTTGACAGCTGAGGATGTATTTTACGCGAAAGTGCTATACAGTCGTGCTCGAAATCGGCTTGACCAATATACACTGAGAGATTCTTTCCTGGGCCCACTGCCAAGGCGTTAGCGCGGATCATCTATTGAGCTGGCCGCATTAAAATTGAGGGACATCATAAGATGGACGGTGTATGGTACGGTATTTTCAGTTATATTACATGATACGTCCAAGAATCTTGTGGAATGGCATGGAAATGCAAAGATCTCCAGTAAACATCGTAAGGGTCTCCTGGTGCCTAGTTATTTGATCATGTTCTTAATAATATTGAGTGACTAACTTACAATCTTTATCGTGTATAATATGGATCTTCCAAAATTGCGACCTTTCTTTAGCAAGTTCAGATCTCCCCCAACCTATCCAAGAACATCATTTTGTAATAGATTGGAAACAATACGATCATAATGAGATACATTTCCTGTATGGAGGGTAATGCACATTTTCACTTGAAAATTCTTAGCCTACCTAATCTTTTTTTAACCCAACTCGTCTTCCTGTGATGTGGACCGAGGGCCTTCTCGTAGCCTGCCAGTGCTCGCTGGTACATCTCCTCTGCCTCCTTTAGCTTCCCCTGATCAGAGTAGAGAATACCAACGTTGTTCACTGTATCAAGGGTGGACGTATGATCGGGACCGAGGGCGTTCTCCTTGCCTGCCAGTGCTCGCTGGTACATCTCCTCTGCCTCCTTCAGCTTCCCCTGATCAGAGTAGAGAACACCAAGGTTGTGGACTGTATTAAGGGTGGACGTATGATTGGGACCGAGGGCTTTCTCGTAGCCTGCCAGTGCTCGCTGGTACATCTCCTCTGCCTCCTTCAGCTTCCCCTGATTTCTGTAGAGAACACCAAGGTTGTGGACTGTACCAAGGGTGGACGTATGATCTGGACCGAGGGCGTTCTCGTAGCCTGCCAGTGCTCGCTGGTATATCTCCTCTGCCTCCTTCAGCTTCCCCTGATGAGAGTAGAGAACACCAACGTTGTTCACTGTATCAAGGGTGGACGTATGATCGGGACCGAGGGCGTTCTCCTTGCCTGCCAGTGCTCGCTGGTACATCTCCTCTGCCTCCTTCAGCTTCCCCTGATCAGAGTAGAGAACACCAAGGTTGTGGACTGTATTAAGGGTGGACGTATGATTGGGACCGAGGGCTTTCTCGTAGCCTGCCAGTGCTCGCTGGTACATCTCCTCTGCCTCTTCCAGTTTCCCCTGATTTCTGTAGAGAAGACCAAGGTTGTTCACTGTATCAAGGGTGGACGTATGATCGGGACCGAGGGCGTTCTCCTTGCCTGCTAGTGCTCGCTGGTACATCTCCTCTGCCTCCTTTAGCTTCCCCTTATTTCCGTAGAGAAGACCAAGGTTGTGGACTGTATCAAGGGTGGACGTATGATCTAGACCGAGGGCTTTCTCGTAGCCTGCCAGTGCTCGCTGGTACATCTCCTCTGCCTCCTCCAGCTTCCCCTGATTTCCGTAGAGAACACCAAGGTTGTTCACTGTAACAAGGGTGGACGTATGATCTGGACCGAGGGCGTTCTCCTTGCCTGCCAGTGCTCGCTGGTACATCTCCTCTGCCTCCTTCAGCTTCCCCTGATCAGAGTAGAGGTTCCCCAATTGAGTTAATGCTCCCCATACTTCGTTATCGACGTTTTCACCTGACCAATTCCCATGAAGTACATGATTCGCGTGTGGAATAAGGCGTTGCTGAAGGCCCGCATAATTTCGGTCACTTGAACTTGGAACAGTGTATCCAATAGATATCAGTGCCAGTCTATTTAGCTGGGTCGAATCCACATTTCTGTCTGTGCTAGAAAGATGAATGCACCAGTCTTGTACCACTGGGTGCATCGTATAACTTCCTCCTTGTTCTGTGGTCTCAAGCAGAGAGAACCCGACGAGAGTTTTGACGCCGGTTCTAAACGCGAGTCCCTTTGATATAATTTTTTCAAGCCAAGCAGGAGCATTTGAGCTGTGCTGGCTGCTTTTTATCAATTCATACCAAATATCTCGATTATCGAAGTGTGCAAGTAAAAGGAGCAATTTTGCTGCGTGCGGGTCCCGTTTCTGAATCTCATGATATGAGATCATCCATGTTTGTAGCATGTTACCTTGTTGGTGATGGCGTTCAGGATTTGATTGCAGCTGTAGCTCAGACCAAGATTCTTGGTAATCATGCAAGTAATCAGTGATGCTGGTTCCAGTTTCACGCATAAACGCCCCGGCAATGACGATTGCCAGTGGAAGTCCATCTAGACGACTTGCAAGAGCAACAGTATCTACATACATTAGTATCATCAATAAAGATCTGTGTATCAAAGGCCTTTGTACCTGAATTGCTCTCAAGCTCCCCGATGGTACTTTGCGATAGATAGCAGCTTTGCAACAGTAGTTGAATTGCATCCCTAAAGTGAAGCCTGTGGATCGGAAAAGACTTTCCTAGCTCAGTCAACCTTTGGAGTCGCGATGTCATAAGAATGGAGCCATGATCGGCAGCAGGGAAGAATTCGCCGATATCATATGCGTCACCAGTAGCGCTATTGACGGGAGAGTACTGGTCGATGTTGTCAAAGATGATAAGCCAACGTGAGTTTCCTTCCAATGCGAGCCAATGTAATACATGCCTGGCTCGTTGCTCTACCTCTTCCTCATTGACCGCCTCGGTATTCTGTGACGGTCCTGGCACTCGGGGAAAGATGGAACTCAAAGATCGCAACAGGGTGCCTCGATCCTTGCCACTCAGCCAAAAGATGGCAGTGAAATCGTGTTTGTGGTCTCGTGCAAAGCGAATCGCTAGTTGCGTCTTTCCTATTCCCCCAAGTCCATGGAGTATCGCAACTTTGCGTGACTGGGAACCCGTTGGTTGTAAAAGCTCCCACAGCTGGTCCAGCTCGTCTTGTCGTCCCAGGAAATTTTCAATCACCGGCACAGTGGTAAGGTCAAATGGTAGATCGAAGCGGTGAGCTATACACGTAAAAGACTATTAGCGGTGAATCGAGGAGTTAGCGACAGCATTACCAGCCCATGGTCTTCGTACCTGACTGCCACGGAATGATATGTTCCTGTACATTTTAGCGAGGAACAGGCTAGAGGGCAATGATAAACATACGTGTATAACAGTGGAAAAATCCGATCCAGTCTTGTCTGCAAACATCAGCGAAATGTTATTATTCGCTATGCAAAGTCCTCGAGATACACACTCTCTTTGAGCCTCATGTTCTGAATGCAGTCCCGCACCCGGAACTTCTGTGCTATGTGCGTGAGGTAGCCCTCCGTTGCCGCCTCTATGGCTCCCTTCTGCTTGTACTCCTCTAGCCCAATCTCCTGCAGACCCTGCTCAACATTAAACCGGAAGTACCGCTTCTCGTCGAAATGTCTTGCCCATCTTGCTATGAACTTCCTCTCCGTGTTCTCCGTCTCAGTTGCAATCTGCACCACAGTCTGCCGGAGGAACTTCACTATACTGCCCTCGAACGGCTTCTTGCCTGGGTTCCCTGTTCCGATCGAGATAAAGCACTTGACCAGTGGCTTCAGGTCTCCCGTCTCAGAGCACCATATGTTCGACGCCTCGCCCTCCATTTCGTCGACTGGGTTATTCGCGCCTAGTCCGCCATCAGCAAATGAGCGGTCTCCAATGCTGACAGGCTCAAAGAACGTTGTCGCAGCAGATGTCGCGAGGGCGGCTTGGCATATCGTCGCGCGGATATTTGGCTCGTGAGGGAGGCTGTAGCTTCGGAGGCGGACAATGTCCTTTGTGTGGCGGTCGGCAGTGCAAATGAAGCTGGCTAGGTTAGACATATTAAACCGATCAGCGACGCACTTACGTTCGGCATCCACGTTCAGTGCCATCATTAAACAGCTCCTGCTTGGATGCACGACTGTCTTCGACCACCTTTTGAATCGCGCTCTCCAGCTTCTTTGAGTCGAACCGGGCCGTGATATCACCCTTAAAGCTGATAGGGACTGATCTCAGTTTCTCACCGAACACTGCTGCTGCAAGATCGCTATATGCGCCAATGCACTCGTTGACATCCATCTCAAGCCGACCGAGCATGATCGCGATGAGGCTGGCTGGCAGTTAGCGGTCGCATCAAAGATGACATGTCCACTCACCCACCCGTGCTTGTGCCCCCGATAAGGTCGAACACTTCGCACGGCTTCACCGGAGGGAGCTTGATCTGCTGCCGCGCATGGTTTAATCGGTCCATGATGCTTTTCAGGATGTAAAGTGACGAGAGGCCTCGGACGCCACCACCATCCAGGGACAGCAGGCAAAGGCCCGTAGTGTCAATTGGGTTTGGCTCGCCGCCGTGCTTCAGTGTAGTTTCCTGCTCCATGGTAGATGTAGCCTTCGGCCTCGTGTGTAGTCACAACCTTGTTTCCTTTGTTCCTAAGGTAATGAGGCGTTGAGCAGTCAGTGCATCAACAGTGAGCCCTGGCAATGTAACAGTAAGATAGTTGCTTGTAATGCTTAGCCTATCAATATGTGGCGATCGTAGTCGAAAGAAAGATCTTGAGAATCGCTGGTCGTGGGATACGTTAGGGAAAGGCGGGGTTACGGTAAGGCTGAACCCAGGCCTTCAGGCTTCCAGTCAGAGTTCACCTGGCGTACCTGTGTTGTTCCGTAGAAGAACCAGTTGTACCCGTGGCTCCCGCCGCCCCCTCCACCACACTCGGTACCCTATCTTGCTGTCCTCGCTTTACCAAAGTCAAAGCAATAATGATTCCCACTCAAGCCGGCCCGGTCCGCTCCTACCATCTACCAAGCCGCTTACACAATACCATTGTAGCACCTTGAATGCAGATGACTCTAGGACGAGACTTGCTACTGTAGGTTGCCCCGGCCCTTTTTAATCCCTGAGAACCCTGTCTAGAACGTTCTTCCGGCGCATGAAATACGACAACGACGTAAAAAGGCTCATTGCGTGGCACGCCCACGCCATAGACACTACGTAACAAAGGCGCCCGAGGTCTCCGTTGGGTACTTTTGTATACGCGGGCAGTGGTCACATGGCTCTGCTCAAAAAGTTCTGGGTTGGTGGGAGGAAATTCCTTTTTTCCTCCCTTCCGCTCGCACAACATCATCTCAGAGCTCCGAACCTGTTTTCACGAACCTTTTTGCTATCGATTTGTTTTGAACGAGTCTCAATACCTGCTTCAATCGTCACAGACATGAATCCCATGCTCGATGACACCCTTTCGCCTTCCGTGAAGCGGATCAAGAAGATCGACTTTGTGAGCCGCTCAGAAGTTCGTGTGGACTTCGAGGCATTACTAGCTGCATTACAACCTATTGACGGTGATCTTCAGTCATGGGCGGCAGAGTTTTACAAAGACCTCGACCGCTATAGAGCCAACCGTGAAGGCGCGGCAGAGCCAAAGGGTGAGTTCGTCGACTGAATAAAAGACATGAAATCTCATGCACGAGATTCTGTCCTCCAAATCGATGAGAAAAGCATTAATCTAACCATATACCTTCTCAAGATCTTCAGCAAGAGAAGGAGCGCATAGTCTCTGAAATTCAAAGGGTCGAATCGTACTGCCAAGAGCTGGAAAGAAGTTGTGCTTGCATTTTCGAAGAAGTGAACCAGTTAAATTCATTGATGCAAGAGCGCCTTGAGGACATTTGCATTTATGAGAAGTATATGTCCAGCCCCGAGTGTGAGCGTCCATCAATCCAGCCCTGAAACCGACAACCTTGACCTATCAACCCCGTTCTCACTGGCTGGAGAGGCTGCCTTCCGCTTGACATATCCCGACGAAATCGATTGCACTGCCGCGTATCCTTCATTCAATCATATATGCAACCGCCGATGGAGGACTAAAAGCCAGCGGAAAATTCAGAATGAAGCTTCCCGCGCATAGAAGGATTATCAGAAGCGTCACTCGAGATGCATGGGTCTGCATGGGTCCGTATATTACCGCACTCTGGTCCAGATTGATGGAAACTTCCGTTATTCCTGTTTCAGACTCAAGTATCTTTCAATATGATGACTGTTGTAAATCATTAAACTTCAAGTTGAATTCCACGTAAGTACTAGACGGGACTTCATACAGCCATCTCGCAACCCCAATGCGAACGTCATTGCAGCAGCTGATGAACATTTCTGCCTGTTTTTCTATGCCATGTTGCTTTACATCTTCGGTAATCCCGTCTTGGTAGGCTCTGATAGCCGTCATAGTTTTCTTGGATCCGTTCTCAACAGACCTTCCACTGCATCCCGGGTGTCAGTGCTCTCCAGTGGACGAGCAAAAGCCCGTGTTATCCACATGCTCGCATCGCTGGACTATGTTCTTCGCCCTGCCCTTCATTTTCCGGGCTCGACTCAACACTTGTTGGCACGTAGATGATATCTTTTGCCGGTATGTACTGTACTGTAGCGAGCGGCCCTATAGCAGGCGGTTGCTCTACCTTGCCATCTTGGGCCAAGGTGGCATCTGGGATCATCTGCAAAATATCGCTTTGAGAAGCCCATATTGCTGTGGCCTCGCATGAGACTGGAGATGTCTCTGTTAATACTAGTTACAGTCATTCTCCAAATCGCCTTGATTTGCAGATCCGATGAGTCCATAGTGAATTACTGGATCTTGGTGCTCGCGTGGAGGTCGTGGAAATAATTTAGACCTATCGCAATTTATACACGTATCGAATGCGATATGATCATATTCTGCCTGGAATAGGGAGTCCTCTTGCGTCGGTCGCGTAAATTTAGTGGCTTTGTGGGGCGCTAGTTTGGCTTGCAGGTTGGAAACAAAGCCGACGATCCGGCTATCTTCTGTGAGGTGATGTGCCTGGAGAGTTGCGAGAGCGGTTAACAGAACCTTAGGAAGCCGATTAAGCATCCCGGTTCGCTTAAACTGGCCGCCGCTTAGCGCTTTCCATAAATCGTACTGGATCACGCCTCCAGAAGTGTCAGTCGGCTGGCTCACTACAACATCCCCTAGTCGAATGTCTGCGTAAGCTGCTTGGTACTCCACCGCCGATACCAACCATAAAACCGAAGCGGATGGCATGAAAACTAGACAGCAACTGCATTCCAACCGTTGCAGTTGATGTATTGCCATATCCGCCAGTCGGTAGGCTAGCAATAACGATGTTGTGTTCCCCGATACTTCCAAGAATATATGTATTTTGGTCCATCGGCAGGCGATCCCTATAGAACTGTAATCGTATGCACTAGTAACTACGAATGAGTCATTGTTATAGTACCGTTATTCCTCGCAGAAACCTATAGATTACTTGTGCAAACAGACCAAAGAAAAGGAGAATCGTATTTGTGCCCTCCCGTCGCCTCACACCGCATCTTCCGAAATTGTAGACCACAGCGGAACTAACCAAATTAGTAAGATCTGGTCACGTGGATACTTGGCCTGCCACCTCGTGAGTCATTCCCTTCATTCTGCACCTCCGTTTTGTTTATTGACTAGGATACCTCGACATAGCTACTTTGATCGAATATGCCGGTAGTATCAAGAGATGCGATTTCCATCCCCATTGAATTGATTTTATATTTCTACAACCCGATGACATTATGAATCTTTTGCAAGCAGCGAAAAGCCTTGATCAACTTCTCACATTCCATCCCCTTGCCATTAAAGGCGAAAATGGCGAAACACTTTTGCATCTTATTGCAAGGGATGGATATGAGAAACTGATGAAAATGTTTCTCGCTAAATTGGTGTATCTGCCGTCAGACATGAGGATATTACACAATTAGATCAGGCTACGACGTTCGGACAAACATCAAGGACGGAGTTCCTTGCCCACACTAGTGTCAATCTCAATGAACTTGATCGCTATAAATCGACTCCTCTGCAGTGGGCTGCCAAACAAGGACATGATTCCATTGTGAAAATGCTGCTCGATAGAGATGACCTTAAGCCTGACTTAATGAATAATGAAGATCGAACGCCGCTGTCGTTCGCTGCCGAACATGGGCATATACGTGTTGTGGATTTGCTTCTACAGCAAGATAATGTTAATCTTAACTCGAAAGACTATTACCTTCGCACACCGCTGTTATTTGCTGCCGAACACGGACATATATCAGTAGTGGAGCTGTTGCTACAATAAGACAATATCAAGGCTGATGCGGAAGATTACGACCAAGACGCAGGGGGAAGATGGATACCCGAAGACTTTGGTCGTTACTAAAAGCTTTACCGCTGCAAGATGTCCGTTCCCAGCCGCGAATGACAACGGTGCAGCGAGACGATGTTGACGCAGATTCAACTGATGATAGCCATCGCACGCCGCTGTTTTTGGGCATGGTCATCTAGCAGTGGTGGAGCTGCTAAGTCAACGGGATGATGTTGCAAAAAATTCATATGGTCCACGCGATTCACCACTATCAATAGCAGCTAGCTGTGACAAGTTAGCAGTGGTGGAGCTGCTGGTGCAAAGGGAGGATGTTGAAGCTGATTCTAAAGACAAAGATGGTCGCACGCCTTTATCATGGGCAGCTATGGAAAGACACCAAGCTGTGATGGAGCTGCTGGTGCAAAGGGAGGATGTTGAAGCTAAATATAGAGACAAATATGGTCGCACAAAGTTAGCGTCTATAAGGTTCTCACGGAAGTGGAAAAAGCAAATAGTAGCGACAAAGCTACTATCTTCCTAGTCCGCATAATGATTCTGCTCGACGGTCTCTTATAGAAAACTGTGATTACAGCTCGGTGATCTCTAGTATTTAGCTATTTGGCCACTTGAGATATAGTTAGTGACCGGCTCTACATTATATCACGAATGATATATAGCTTTAAAGTGGGTAAGGGTAGGTAGTCTCGGTACCACACTGCGCAGATGCGTGGGCAGAGATGCCTACAACCTAGGAGTTCGCACATATATGAGAGTTTCTATAAATTGTAGTATTATAGGATATATTACCATCCTAAAGAATGAGTCTCTGTTCTTAGAAAAAGAATATCTGCGGCTAAATCAAATATAAACTAGGTTGTTTGGGGATATGGTTCGGGAATCTGGTTTCGACACCGGCTGTAGGAACAGGGCGTTGCAGTAAACCGATAGGCAAGGAGCAGGACACGAATCCCTGGAACCCTAAAGCCAAGAGCATCTAATCCGAAGAAAGCGACAATAATGCAGGAACGGGAGCAATTTAGGACGAATGGGAAGCGTGCGTGGCAGAACAGTCCATACGTAGTTAAGCCACCCCTTTTTGCAACGTCTCGCGCACACGTACAACTAGGGGACGCGCGCTGACGCACGCTGTAGGCCCTGAAACTTGTTGTGCACCAAAGCAACATACAAACGGAATCGAACAAAAAGCCTCATTCACAACTCTAGCCCATCGGTCAGCTACTCTATCTCGGATTCGCTCGGGTTGAGACTGTGCATAGCGTCGGCCTCCCTGCTTGCCTGTTGGACACGCCGATTCCGCAACTTGGCTACTTCCTGCGACAAGATGGCGACCTCCTGGCTCTGGGTCTCGATCGTCTGGCGCTGCCTACGGACAAAGTCGAGCAGATAGGCGTTGTCGGAGCGAGTGCGTTGGAGGCTCTGCTCCAGAGCCGGTATCGCCGAGAACGGTCCTGGGAGACTCGTAACGAGAGCATCAACCACCGGCGCCAGCCTACCCAAAGCGACGGCGGACCGATTCAGTTCGGCGGCAAGGGTAGCATAGCATTGCTCGTATGTGTCGATTGACGAGCGTATACTACTCTCTCCTATGCTCGAACCGGGAGCTCGCCACGGCGCAGGCTCGTGCGAGCCCAGAACATCCCCATGGCAGATCGGCGCGGTGGAAGGACCAAAAGGCGACATGTCCATATGTCACGGGCGATGGTGTTGGCGAAGGTTACCCGAGGGTGCAACGCTGTGTGATGCGCACGCTCGTTGGGGCAGCAAGTGAGCCGTGGGTAATATAGTTGATATTGATCTGCTGGACCGGACGTTTCACTGTTTCTCTGTTCCTCAAACCACGAGCGTCCTGAATGCCTCTCCGTTGTGGTGTTTTTTGAATCAGCTGTTGATTCTGATTCTCGCACCTTGTCTCCTCCTTTTAATACCTTATCCTTTCTGAAAAGCGCCACTATTCCTACACCCTTCAAAAATTCCGCGGCCCTGCAAGATGTCGGCTGGTTTCGCGAGCTCTAGTGTGTACAGTCGGTCGACCGGCTCCGTCAAAATCCACGGTCTTCCAGTTCCAGACTGCCTTCATGTCAGGGCAGCTGACCACCACGTTGGGGACGCCCGCGGTTTAAGCACGGCCTTAGAAACCACTGTTAGCCGGTTGCAGATCGCCAACAAAGATCGGCCAAGGTCGGATCATGAGTAGCAGATAGCTCTTCTGGACGAGAATACCGGCATTTGGTAGGAGAACGAATTATACAGGGCATGTTCTGGTCTGTATGAAGAACTGGCGCTCACCGTTACGGAGGCGTCTCGGAAGCTGCTGTCACAAACGCAGTCGCATTTGCAGGACTGCTTGTTCGAGCAGGAGTCTGAGACGACGGACCGCGGTTTTCTTCTACAAGGGGCCAAGAAAATAAATGCAGCACTGCAGAATAGCCGGGCTTGCGAAACGGCAGCACTGCAGAACTGGATAGACAAGTGGGACCAGGCACCAGGTGCTCAAACATCCGTTCGCTGGGTATTAGTCGAGATAGGAGGGCCTTTGGAGAAAGCAGAGGAGCTGTTTTACTCCGGCAGTTGACCTTTCCTGCTGTTTATGGATCGGGTCTGTAGCTGGAACAGTGCCCCGGCTATTTTTAAGAGGTTGAACGCTATTGCAGACATCTTTTACATAAAAGAAGCATGCGCTCGTGAAGGCAAATAACGGATTTTATCATCTGCAAATATGCCGAGGCCAAGGCCCGAAAATGCCCCTATCCGGGTAAATGACCGGGCACAGCAAGAGCAGATTCGCAAGCGTCGGCACAATCTTTTCAAGCGGTTGAAGGAGTTTAATGACCGCTACGGAATCGATATCTGGATGACTATGCAGATGCCGAGCGGGTGGGTTTACACGTTTGCTACGAAAGACGAAGGGGCTCGACCTGGCGAGGCTGACCTGGTGAGTGCACAGTGGTAGGCCTCCCGCACGTTTCAAATCCACTGACCACCGTTTCACCTTTCAGGAGGCACGGAGCCTACCGGTGATTCGAAAGACCCCAGTGGACTACTGTGTAGACGCTGAACGGAGAATGTTCGTGCGAAGCCCACCGGTGTTTTCGTTGCAACGCCCATCATACTGCGCTGATGGTCATGGTTCTTCGAAAGTCTCGGAGTCTCCTGAACCTCCCCCTCTGTGTCAGATTAGCAAAACAGACACAGCCAGCTGTGGCTCCGTGAAAGAAGAACATGCTCCTGTAGACGAGGGCCTGCCTTCTCGCGGCCACTCTCAATTCCTGTAATCGCCAGGCCCTGCCGGTCGGATACTTTGCAAGTCTTATCGGCGCTTTTCGCAAATCCCAAGACAGTGGCAGACCCTGCCCCACAAGCCGACTGGATCATTCTATCTATGGCTTTTTGTGGGAGAATATAGTATTTCAGTTTGTTTGCGGTACGAGAAGTGGCGGTGAATGTAAAGAGATAGGTCTAGTCCAATGTCGTTAAATTTAACTTGCCATTTAGAGCCGCTGTGTCTTTACAGAAATGGATTACAATTGCAAGAAGTATTAATTTAATTTCCATCAATCTTCCCTAATTCCCTGTTGGACTCGGGTTCCATCTGCCCTGTACTGTATCCCTTGGAAACACAAAATTTGAGTATACCGGTGGTAATGAAGTTAGTGTAACCATTAATGGAAGAGATGTTATATCAGTTCATTGGATGATAGGCCGCAAATCACTTGATTGAGGAACCACTTCGAAACTAAAACGATTTGGACATCTCACTTCCCGATCCCTTTTTCAACACTTTTGACACCCAAGAAAATGTCTATTGCCGCCCCTGATGTATATACAAACCATGGCAGGTTATACTTGACTCTGATTCATAAAATTTGTTCTAAATATGGGCAATGTACTACAGTTTCACTTGAAATTTACCGCGCAAAAATTGTCTCGGATTAGTTAGGAGTGCAAGTAATCCATATTGCAGTATTCGAACGCATTTACCATTGCCTAAAAATAACGGTGAAGGAAACAAGAGAGCATTTTCACCACATCACGTCCTCTACCCCTATCGATCATTCTTTTTAACTCTCATTTCAATCATTTGTTTCCTGAATTGCATCAATCCAATCAAAAAGAAGCTCTAGGTGGTCCTTGTTAGTCCAGAATCTGACTTGATACTGGACAACGGGGCCTGACGATCGATAGATCACTCTCTTTTTGAGTATTTCTGGCTCTGAAGTGTCATTCTTGGTTGAAATTTAAGCAAAGTTTCTAAACGTGGTGCTGCAAATAAGACTTACTTCGGTTTCATCTGTGCCATTCGATAATTGATGGATTTCGAAGTCCGGAGGCTCATACTCTGACTCTGACTCAGAAGCTCCTTGTTCAATGTCGTCTGGAACGACAAATAATCTATCAGACTCGGTTTCCGAGAGCGGTGGCTCAGTTTCATTATCAGTAAACTCGATATCTATACTGTCAGGCTCTGGAAATTCTTGGATATCACTTGGAACACAGAATGATTTTTGTTCGCAGTCATTATCCATTGGCCTTTGCTTGAGATATGAAGAGATATGAGAAGGGCTAATTGCGGAATTGAAATAACATCTAACCCGCTTGAATTTAGTACACTTAATGAATTATATACTAACCTTCGGTGCCGTCGTTAATGGTGAAAAGATACTAACTGTTCAGTGAGTAAAAACATTTAGTGTAGGGTCAACAGTTAATAAACCCCTGTCTAATCGCTTGTGATATATACCTTTTTCCATCTCAAGACTCAAAAAAAGCTTTCCCACCCATGATTCCAGCAATGTCTCCAAAGAAGCTTGTCGCTATTTTGTTAATGCCCCAAGCGATATCGTGATGTGTTTCTCTAGTAATGGGAACTGCGGGTAAAGAAAAAGGATGGGGAGGTTCAATATGCGCCTTGGTTTCTCAATTTCACTTTTGTGTCCCCAATATCAAACCGAATCCAAAACAATAGCTAGGCCTTGACAATGTAGGGGGGATTACAATGTGTGGCAAGGAGGGTGTTTTTGAAGCGAAAAAGAGTGCGCTTCAGTTCAACGCCTCGGTTTTTGTGAGGCAAGAGATTGCAATCGATCCTGAGGCCATCACCCAATACCAGTTCAAGCTGTGCGAATTGGAACAAAACTGTCTGACTGCAGACGGTGGAGGGAGTAAGAACTGCCCACCAGGGCCGGGGGAAGGGAGAAAGAGTGTATAACTTGCCCTGAAACGAGGCACGAATGAAAGGGGTTATTTCGGCCATGACTACACGTGAGATACGCGGCTTTTTGCCGCGAAAGCTGCCCTGCCAAACTTGCCTCTTCGCTTGGCATCTGATTCGCCCATTTTAGGGCCTTTTCTCGCTTCTCGTTGGTTGCCGCCTGTGGTCTTTCTCCTGTTGTGCAGGAAATAAGCAAAGCAGTGCGCGAGTTGCGGTGTTTTCGTGTAACGACGCAGTTTGAGAGGACCTAACGTGTCGTTACTGCCCATGCGGGACTCATATATTGAGGTAGAAAGTGTCACCAAATCAATGACTGGTACTAAGATCGGCTATTGTCAACTGAAGCTATATAATGTCGCGTGAGGAAGTAAAAAGAAGATCCCTCTTGAGTGTTTCATTTACTGTCTTCCGTTATGGAATGACTGGTGAGCAGAGCTTAGTAGATTCAGTGGCATGATACTAGGCACGGATAATATGCAGACGCACAGCTCTCCCGAATAGCACCGGTCCTTTACGGTGTGGCCATGGATAGAGTGGACGAGCTACCTAGCCTTTCGTGCGGTAGCTCTATGCAATATGCATTGAACAACGGAGACGATTGGCAGCTATTTCTTGGACCAATGCACGCTGCCCGGAACTCCACCGCCTGCATCTGAGAATTACTTGAGCATGTCTGCCTTGCCCTGAAGCTTGAACGACGCATATTAGGCCGGACAAAACATATAAAGCTGTGCGGCCGCGTGCTCTTAGTCCAATTCAATCACTTGGCTTGTCTTTTGTTACGAAGCAAGAGGCATTTATCTTCCCCATCACATTTGTCCGATTTAGCCGTTGGAAATTTTCGTCTCGGCATGGCTAGAGCAAGTCAAGGTATGAGGACTCGTTGAAACTTGTATGATTTTGCTTACTTAACACCACGAAGCATCACCTTCGATCGATAGTTGGGACTCTACAGAGTCCGTAAAGTTATCTGTACACGAGATTCTTGATTTGCCCGAACCGGGTACGGAGATCAACCCCATAGTGGTTGAAGATGATCCTGCTCCATTGGGCTCGGCTTCCAACCCTATTGTGATCCATGTTGACGAGGAATGGTGCCATGATAACGCAGAACAGCTTAGCTCTGGTGACGATACCGACATAATGAGTACGCCCAGATTCTGGGAGGCTTTCACTCACGAGAGCCTCGTTGTCCCAGAAGACGATCCTGCAGATGTTGAGTTGGTGTCTGCATGGGCCCGCTATAGCGCCTGCCTGCGAGGACCCAGATGAGGTTGGAGCTTTGGAACAGTCATCCGTGAATCGTTCTCGCTTAGCTGATGAAGCAACGAAGGAAAAAACATTCAGATTCTTGGAAGATCAATATGTTGCTGGATTTGGGGACGGCCAAAGTAGTCAAGCAGGTAGGGCTTGGGCTATCACTAGTGATCACTTCTAGGCTAATAAATTGTAGAAAGCGGTCAAAGCAAAATCCAAGGCATCTTACCCAAAGTCGAGGAGCCCACACCGGTTTGCAATATACCTGATACCCGCTCTATGAAAGGCCGATTTGGAACGCAGAAAAGTCCATACGGCACTGACATATCTACCGTGAAGGATCCATCGCAAGATTCTTGTGATCGAGAACCAATGAAACGCAAACATGAGGACCACGAGGGCGTTTCTTCAGACCCCAGAAGATCCAAATGCATGATCAAGAGGGCCAGAAAATAGTTTAGAGCGGATTCGTTTTGCTTCATAATTCATGTGTTAGTAGTATTCGAAATCAGACAAACCACTACACTCTTAGACCTTCATTCCCGAACCCTAGCTTGAACCGCACTAGTCCAATTTTAGTGCTTCCCCTGTAATCCTTGTTGGGCTGTATGGTATTTATTAGAAGACGCGCGTGGGCGCATCGGCCCTGAGGATGAAAAGAAGAGGATGGTAAGTAAGCAAAGTATAAATAACTAGGTGACCAAAATCAGTAAGAATTAAGAGTATGGGACGTCCTAAGTCTGCAATAGAAACACCACGCGACGTTAAAACGTCCAATGTAGACAAGCTGCTTGACTTTGCGGATGCGCACGTACAATCGAGGGACACTCGCTGCTGCACGCGGTAAGCTACGTGGCAATTCCCTAATTGTATAAGTAAAATTAGCATAACTTTTGGCGGTTCGTAATCAGCTGTTAGATCATTTTCTATTTTCTTAAAACATCGAGCCATAAGGGAGCGAAATTGTGAAATTTGGTGGTAATAAAAGGAAGAAAATCTGGCTTTCAAAATCGCGAGCGGGGTGAGTTCTGTGCTGCAAAATCGCGCTTGACATTAAGCCACTTCATCTAGTATTTGATCAAGATCAACATGTGCTCATCTTGAACTTTTATTTCCTCCTTACAATACCAATAGGATAGCTAAACAATCTCAAAATACGATAAACTCAAACAAATCGGGTTACAGACCCTCACAAATGGTATAGGTAGATCTCCTATCTAGGTAATAAATTTTCATAAGCAAGAAACAAGAGTTGGCCTTCAAGGCAGTGGATTAGCAGATGGCACTAAAAAATATGATGAAACCAGTAGATCGGAAACGTCACACAAGACTTGATGTTGATACTGGGGTTTGATTATTGGCTTCTTTCTATGCAAACGCATTGCTGAGATATTATATAATAAAAAGATATATGGAAGCATATTCTAGTCATTACGTGATTCCGGTAATAGGATGCCAAAATCTCGTTGGAATCTCTACGAGATACAAGGAAGCTTGATTGGATTATTCTCACTTTTGTTTCTATCACTAGTATTTCATTACATGAAATTGCCGAAGAAACTTTCCCCAGCGATGGAAAATGTCGGTGGGAGATTGAAATGCCATTCAGTATCTCCGCACCATGCGCCTAAATTGACAAGTGTCGGGCCCAATTCCAAAAAGTATCAGTGGTCATGTGCAAATCCCAGGCAGAAACTTCCAAAAGCATCATTTCGCTTTGATTTACTTCAAGGACGGAGAATCCTGAAATAGCCGCCCAAGAAGCAGCCTTAAAAGTGTAATCTTCCTGATATTTAGACGCTAGCATTAATGCTGACAGAAACAAGCGGCAGGCGGAGCTTGTACTATTGCCAAAGCTGTTCAGCTCTATATCGCGTGTTTGCCAGCGTGATGCAAATTTGTAAAGGTAGTAAAGAGCAATGAGTAATGTTGCTCGACTCGTTTGGGAAAGGTGAAGAATTTTCTGGACAAACCAACAAATGGCATAATATTCTTCAGGTTGAATCGCGGAGGGATTATTACAGCCAAAATACTGCGTTTTCCATGCTTCAATAACAATTTGTAACGTGACACCTTGGGCTCTATCAGCTAAGGATCGAAGTTAATAACAGAGCGCACTTGCCGACATGTCTCGAAACCCGCCTAGTTCTCGCGCTGGAGATTTTATGGAGGCCCTTTTCTTGCTCTATCTCCCTCATTTCACTTGTTGAAGTTCGGAGAGCTATTCTACTGTGGAGAAACTTCATTGAGAGATGTGGTAGATTTGCGCTCGCTTATTCTTTAACTTTCGCACAGTTCGGTTGTCTCTCTTAAATGCAGCGGTTAAATTCGTTTCGAGAAGACTCCTCCAGTAATGGTTATGAGAGGTGTGCTCTGAATCCTTATATATAACAAAATAAGACATCCATGATGCTGTAAGCAAATTGTTCTTCTGTAAGGCATTTGCGACACGACCTCATAAAAATGCAGCAAGATACATTCTTTTCGTGAAAATCGATCTGATCTCCCAATAATGACAAGGCTATTTCAACTGACATATTATATGTACCTTTGCAGAATGCTGCCCACTGAAGCTGGAATACACTATGTGTTGGTATCCTCGAGAAGCGATTATAATCGGCGTTCGGAATAAGTCCACTGCCAAGACCCTAGCCTAGATCGCTCATTGAGCGGGTCACGCCAAGTTGAGGGCTGCCGTAATATGCAGCTTCTCCAGTACAGCGACTATCAAAGCTCACCGACCAACATTCCCAGTGTCTGATATAATCTGACAAATGCATCATAAAAGGTGCATGGTACAGCGGCCCTCAACTAAGTGTGGCCGGCTCAATGAACGATATACACTCAAGTCTTGGCATTGAGGCCAGCAAGGAGTTTCTCAGTGTGTACTGGTTAAGGGGATTTCATGAATCACTGTAACTTCACTCAGCTTCAATGGTAAGTTTCGTTTATCCAGCTTGAAGAGATGTAAGAAGGTGCTGGATTAAAAATAAACACTCTTTCCGACTCTTCTTTTTGATCTGACATTGACCCCCAGGTATCAGGGAAAGCGATTCTAGCAAAGAAATTTGCAATTCATGGCAATCTTGGTATCCGATCGTGATCGTTGCTTCTTCCAAAGTGGTTGGAATGCTAGAAGAAAAAAGGAATGGAATAAAAAAAACAGAGTCAATCAACTGAAGGTTTTGGAGACAAGGGAGCGCAAGAAAAGGCATGCTCGTCTCTTGGAGAGCCAATATTGAACGGTAGACACTTAGTCTTTCAAGGTTCGAGGTCAAATTTTTGACACAATACGCAAAACCATCTTGAACGATTGAAGAATACAATGAAAGTCTCTTTAAAGAATGAGATTCTCCAGAAAACCTGATATTGTCATTTTCAAGCCACTCAATTTGGAGGCAAGATAACTGTGGCAGACTATTCAAGTCCACTTCAACGGATGTTGAATACGCGGTGGGTGAAAAATATCGGCGAGAATCAGCATTGTAGTTGATTGAAAGATTCTTGAGTCGCGGCAGATGAGCAAATATCAGAGAGTAATGCGAAAATTGAGAGAAAAATTTTGCCGTTGTTTTTGGGAATTTATAGTTTGAGCCAGGCCCTCCCAGATGAGCAGGGCTAAATTGGGTTGTGTCAGAATTCTTGTGATAATTCCTTTCCTGAATTCCTTCGGGCTAGGCTTTCAACCTACCAGATATGTCGCAAATCATTTTCGAGATCTGCGACGAAGGTCTGAGTGGGCTCTGCTACGCGACCATAATGGTCAACAGATATGCTTTGTACCCAGAAAGACCAATCTTTCAGGATGCGCGTTAGGCTGCCTAGCCCCATTCTCCTGCCATTCAAAAAGCAGCAGGAGCATGACGCAAATGAAATAGTAATCTGGACAAATAGACGGCTCCCAATAAGAGGGCGTAAGGACCTGGAAGTATTGAAAAGTGCCCAATTGTCCCTCGAGTCTGGAAACTTCAATCAGTCAGTAAGATGCATGTTCAAGATAAAGCGAGAGCCCTTACATAATCCAACAGGATAAGGAATAGATCCAGGGGAAGGCTAAGCAACATGCCAGGCTCGACTGAAAGGAGGATAGTCCAGAAAAACTCCCTGTATCATCTGGCATAAAGCGCAAGCGAGCATTAGCCAGGACCTGCTGTGCTCATATATATTCATGAGGCTGTCAATAGAAACAAAGCAAGAAAATGTTGGAATACAGCGAGAACAAGCCACATTCGACAGGTTTAGATTGAGTTTGTGGAGTATGTAATAGTTGAGGAGTGAAGACAAACTGTTTATTTTCGGTACAGGCATGCTAGCAACCGCAGTCACAACTTGCTTGTGACGATTCCCTTTTCTAAGGAACCAACAGAGTTCAAGGTCTGGGGATAACACATTGTAGGGCAACTAACTTTCACGTAGGTAGCCACGGCGGTACTTTGGTCATGACTGACGAGAGCTATGGTTGACCACATCAAATATTTTAGAGTTTTCGTAATTGAAGCCATTAATAAGCTAAACAGAGAATTTCTAGGCCGCCAAACGGCCTGACTCGATCTCTATAGCTGATTCTGATGATGTTTTCTGTCGTTCTCAGGGGCATATTTATATCCTTTCTTGAGACCTGTTTTCTAGGAGAAACGCATACAAATCTGTTCTTTCCCACCACTACTAGGTGTTCCATGGAAAGATTAGGCGGCAACCCGAGGAGAATGTGAAGTAGATGAGCAAACTGCATAACCAGGCGCTGAGCAGCAGCCCAGTTCCGAATAGCTCCATGGGCTTTGGCTGACCAGTCAGCAGCCGAGAGGCAGACCCATGTTGGTGCCTTAGGCTCCAGTCTTCAACACAACCATTCAATATCATTGCAAGTCTCACGGAAAATAGAGTATATTGCGGTGAACGTGGCGGTGAAGGATTGATCCCGCCGCGTGTTTTCAACATATGGATTCCGAGGAAAGGAAATTACTGTAATTTAAGCTGACTCGCCAAACTGTAACAATCGTGCCTTTTAGGAATATGATACATCATTCCTTTGTCGAACAGAGGTTATATACAACAAGCTTGACAAAGGTGCCCTGCATACTGCTCATATATAGGTTGGGATTATGTGTATTTCCTGAACACGCACAAAAAGTGTGAGAAGATAAGTTGAGAACTTCCAACCCAAGAGGTGATACGAAGACGGGGATGATGAATTCTGGGCGAGGTCATATAGCCTAAAAGAAAACGCGAAACAATTATCGAGAGCTCTAGGCACTTTCAGTGAGCTTTCAAGTCGTACTCAAAGCGAAAGCCTAGTAATCTCTAGTACACCTCGCATATTGCTGGCAATTCATGCACTGTCCCATTTCCCATCCTTTCAGCCACACAACTCGAGCGAGAGCAGGGTGTTCCTAGGGGGAACTTGGAAGGGTCGAGTGCATGCCATCTATGATACGCTTTAGATCGTCTTCTCCGGCACATGTTGCACCGCAAAGTGTATCCATTCGGTCCCGACTGGACACAATCGGAATAAGCGGGCGGGTAGTCCATTATAGGGCCAGCGAATAAATTCGAATAAGAAGCCCCCGCTTGTGGACTTCCTTGACCAATGTTTGTTTCCTTCAACCCAAAGTTTGCTCGTCTTCTTTTCAGACAGATCAGTAAATTTACAGCGAAAGGTTTTTTCGACATACCTTGACCAAACCCACAACCAAATCCCTGAAATACAGCGCATTGTGCTTGAATTTGGCGAACCAGGGATAAACGTACTGTCAGAAAATGGAAGTAGACAATCTTTAACTAAATATACTCATGTAGAGTACTATCTTATTTTGTTTCTTGTAACGCAACGCCAGCTTGTTTTATTGAACATAATTCTGCTTACGTTAAGAAAGCAGGTGGGTGTTTTGCAAGAAGACTTGAACAAGTTCAAAACTCATTGGAAATGACCCTAGTGGGGCGCGTTCAAGAGCTCTGAAGTGGACGGGTAATTATCTCTTCATTCCGAGAATGAAATGGTTCTAAACATTCTTTCCAGTGTTCACCACTCTTAACAATAGACAATACAAGAAGTAGAGATTGAAATGCAAGGCCAAAAATGTACATTGATGTTCAATACTTTTTATTGCAATAATCAAAGGGCCTAGGGATACTGTTAAATATAGGGTTTCAAAAGTCGCAAGACAAATAATCGCTCATTGTCAACATAAATCACCTGAGCAACAATCCAAAAAAAAAGTAGGCGATGGATATCAGAAAGTGTAAAAATATAATTTGCATCTAAAATGCGCGATGTAGCTAAATTTATCATTTTTTCATTGTGGATCTATATATTCAACCTTCGTGGTTGTTGTCTGCGCAGAAACAGTCTTGAAATTACCTCAGTCGTTGATTACAGACACAACTATATTGAAAATGGCAATTACCCGATCTTCCGCCCCGACGCTCACGAAAAGTAAAGAGCTTGGAAGGGTAAGGAAACCTTCTCCAGGGATTTGTGCAAGAAAGTCGCGGCCTCCTTCTCCTTACCCGCAAGGTTCCGTTCGTCGAACGAACATGAAGAAACAATGGTACGGACCACACAGATGTAGAACTACCGAGGAGCCAGTGAAAGCTTTCCTTGTATCTCAACTGCGCGAGTTTTCTACAGAATGTAAGATCACCGGAGGCGCGACTGGGAAGTTTTTCATGCAAGTTATTCTTCCGGAAGACATAGAGACGGAAGCTGAGGTGGCTCAAGCTATCACCGCCTTTGAGCGACGGGTCAGTTTAAGGTCTGGAACAAAGGCGGGGAATTAATCTGCCATCAGAACATCTATACATTTGGAACACGAATACTTGCGTACCTGAAAGTCGCGGAAGAAAGTATTTGTCAACCAATTCTGTGATCAAGTTTTATCTATCTGAATTGTGAGAATTTGTGGATTGAAAACAATCAAGGGGATGTAAAGCCATGGTCTCTAGTATACTGTTTTCACCAAGTTTAAATATGTTATGTTTTCACAAAAGTTGGTTTCAACCACCACTGTAAGGAACTAGACCTCGAGAGCATCACATGTTTTGTTGGACTGTCTAGACCTGAGGGATCTGCGACGGGAGGTTTGAGCGAAGGTCGGTGACGCTCTCAGTACATGTAGCATGTCGACCTTGTTAAGCAGTTCTGAGAAAATGATGAAGAGGTAGGCTTCCGCACGACCCAGCGGGACCCGGACCCAGCCCGGACCCAGCCCGGACCCAGCCTAGACCCAACCCAGACCCAGACCCGGCTGGGTCCAAAATCTTGATTCAGTGCTGGGTACCCAATTGGGTAATAAACAAGACGAACATGCTAGAGATTTTGGTTGCATAGATTATACAAATTCTTCTTGTAATTTTAGGTATTCTTCTTAATTGCGAGTACACTAAATCGAAATGCTCAGTAAGCTTACACGGATCTGATTGCTCAATCATGTGGCATATTCAGTACTGTGTTAGCGTTTCCGAGTTGGTCATGCAGATGTACCCGCCTTCCCAGGAATTATCTCTGCCTATGCGCTGCAATTGTCTATCTCATTTCCCATGTGCCCTTTCCCCTCTGAAGTTGAAATACTCAAGGAAATCATGGAGATGAGACATAACTCTTATGCCGATTGCCATGTGACTTTCTCCGTCTCAAGAGGGATTTCTTATGCCGATTGCCATGTGACTTTCTCCGTCTCAAGAGGGATTTCGTATGCCGATTGCCATGTGACTTTCTCCGTCTCAAGAGGGATTTCACAGGAGCATGATGGTGATAAGAGATGACTTTTAGATTGTTTTATCCAGGTCAAACTCTCTCACGGCCCGTTTAGGCTGTGGCGCTAGTCCCATTTTCAATATTTCAAGGAGGACTACTTAAATCTTGATTTTCATCTATACGGCCTAGTTGAGAAGCTCATCATATTCCTACGCATGGTATAGAAGTTCAATCTTAATTCGAAGTCTGAGTTATGTCTATGATGGCTACAAGTCAGGCTATAAATGAGCAAATGCCGTATGAGAGTGGGCCTGTGGGAGATACATAGTTTAAATTTCAAAGATACTTCCATTAAGTACATTTGTCAAAGCTTCTTTCCCTGCCGCAGTGTCTAGTGCTCTGGCCTCTTCCGTGGAAAGAACCAAGATCGCATTGTGCCCGTCCACGGTTGCAGCTTGGTAACACTGGTCTGCACTAAGTCCCTGCAGATTATTATCGTATAGCCCGAAGTCTCTCATCAAGTACCTTTGTGCAATATACTCCACTCGGGAAGTATCTGATGGATGGACCTTGACATGGTCCACGACTTTCAGTCGTCCGCGCTCGTAGGAGTAAAAGTCCAAACTGACTTCGCTTAGGGCGGATGTTCCAACAGGATCACTTATCACCGCATTTGTGGACGCTTTCCATGAGTTATATTGTTCTTTTTGATCTTCTTGGCTGGAACTTTGTGCCAGAATCTCAGGCAATCTCGCCGAGTCTAATGAGGTGATTGGGTAGTCTCGCCACGTGCTTTTGTCGACAGTTAGCGTATCGGAATTTATGTTCAAGACATTGGAGTCACTCTGTTCGCCGGATGGCGACGACGCATGAGCATCTGAAAGGTGCGTGTCTGGCAAATTGAACTCTTGCTGAAGCCTTTCCCGAGCGATGTTCTCGTCTAAAATCTCTTGTTCCCTGTCTGCTTTTTCAATCCCCTCTAGGTATTGTGGCATGGAAAATTGTGTTCTGCCAGGCAGCGATGCAGAATCATGCGCTCTCGGTGTGGGTGATGGCAAAGAGCGGAGATTAATCTGTTCTTGGGCTTTTTGGGCGGTGCGAATTAAATCTGCGCGCAAGCATTCTGACTCACCTTCCGCAGATTTTCCCGGGTCAGATGTAGCATTACGTTCATAATCTAGTTTTTCCGGGAAGACAATGATTGGCAATCCGAGCGAACCAGCATTTGGTGTTGGTTGCTGCTCCGCATCGGAAGTCTCTTCAACGGAACCTTCAGCGATGTTGACTGGGGACTCCTCTCTAGTTGTACCAGGTGAGCGGGACCTTCTCCTTTTTGATCGACATAGTGTGTTATCTGATTGTGCAGAGTTACCAATCGGGAGTGCGATATCGTCGGACGTTGGACATTCCGGAGATTGATGCTCACTTGCATTCCGGGGGTTTCTAAGCCTTTCTATTCCCGCTTCCAACATAATATCATCAAATGGGTCGATGGGTTGCAAGCCATTGTCAGTGCGTCGTCTTTTCCGAGCATCTGCGATATCTTGCGTATCTTGCACTTCGGACTTTGGTTTTGCTTTTTTGGCATTGCTTCGCTGCATCCTCGTTATCTGTCGGCGTGCTTGTAACCATCTTCTGCTACTTGTTTTGTTGGTTGGGAGCTTCTCGCTCTCATGTGGCACGAAAAGCGGTGAAGCATCTCGTGAAGATGGAGATGGCGATGATGCTCTTGTAGTGGGAGGGGGGAAAGATGCATTTCCAAAGAAAGCAAAATAAACGCAACGTCGAACAAAGAATGTCGTGATAGACTCTGACTCAGATGTTGGATCGTGCAAAGCATCCAGAAATAGTCTTTTGCTGTCCTGTTTATGGGCTTTCATCTGTGGCATGCCACAACGAGCTTTGAGGTTCAGGGAATATACTGCAAGAAGCGGTTCACTGCCGTAAGCATTGTCCGTTTCTTCGATCAGGACTGCAGCTGAAAAGCAGTTTGCAACTTTTTTAATGAGATCGTTGAGCGTAGATTCCGCATAGTAAAACCGGTTCGGTTTCCGGGCTTGTAAAAGTGCCGCGCGAGCAATTTGATAGTCCGGTAACTCTTTTGTTAGCTCATCTATCTTATTTGAGCTAAAACCCAGTCGTTTAGCCAGATCGGCCATCTCATAGATTGCACATACGTCAGCCTTGGCGCGGTTTGGTTTGGCCAGGAGTTCATCATCATTCTTGGAGTCCGCTGGCATGCAAGGGTAATGTCGCATAGCATAAAGCCATATTTGTCGATACGCCATATTGAGGCAATCGTAGTCTTCTGCATTCTGGCGACGATATGAAAATTCGGACGTCTGTATCAGAATGCCATTATTTGAATCTTCGGCAATTGAAAACATATGACTCATTGACTCCCACATAGTCTTGTCAGAGGGCTCAAAGAGTCTTTTGACGCATTGGCTACAGCTCTCGAGGTATTTGAAATCCTCAAAAAAGGTGTATAATGAGGGTATCAAAGGTTTGAACGCTTCAACCCTGCTCAGGATTGCGGCGCGTTCTTGATCACTAAATTCAGCAAAAGCCTCGCCACTGAGAATAGCCCCACGTGCTTTCTTCGCATCACTTTTTGAGCTACCCGGAGCTAGTAACTGCAGACATTTAACAGTGTCAGGTCCAATTTTCTTGAGCGACATCAGGTCACCACCGACAAAAAGGAACCAGGACCCGAAGATGTGCTCCACGAGATAATGCAGAACTTCCTACAAAAGAGTCAGGCAAACCAGGCAGGATAAGTAGTTTGATTGAGATATTGAACTTACATCTGTACATGCACAGCCAATCACGCGGTGTAGCATGCTAATTCTCAAACCATGAAGCCAAAGTCCGGGAATTTGAAGCAATTTATCAAATCCAGCCCGAAGGAGACGATTTCTCCGGTTGTCGAGCTGGTCCAGACGCTCTTGATTATTTTTTGATAGGCGTACGAACCATCTTTGTCTGAATGGATTGTTTTGTTCACCTTCGTATTGACGAATCTTTCGGTAAATCTCTCCGTCACTTGGAGCTTTTTGATTGGCATATTCCTCAATCAAGGATGACAGGAGATTACCACAAATATCTGCACAAAGTGTATCGAATCAGTTATAAAAACCCCCATTTGACCATTAGGAGTCTTACCGTTCAGATAAAGATCCACAATCCACCAGCGGTCCACGGGGGCCAACATTTCTGATCCTACCTGCGCACGATGCCGGCCATGAAGACCCTTTAACTCCCCGGCTGGGAATCGAAGTAAAGGCAACGTATTGGCTGAACTAGCGGAGAGGTCCTCTGCTGAGATATGTGCTTTATGAAGGGCTTCTTCAAAGCCTTCGCGAGATACTATAGCAGGCACATGGTTTTCAATGTCCAGTCGACGACAGCGGTGCTTTCGAAATATCTCACGAAGGCGTTCTAGGTTCTTGGGATCCAAGTCTTCTGGAAGAGGAGGATTAAACATAATCTCATTTAGTCGCACCTTCGCTGTTCCTAGGTATTTCAAACGACGTTCTGAGGCTAGTTGCACTTCCTCGTCGGTGAACACGTTACGCTGCATTGGGTGTGATAAAGAGAGTATGAAAAGGGTTCCAGGGGTTGAGAGCAGCCTTTTAATCGGAAAGATCCAGATCTCACGTGTTGGTGTTCAACTACTACCAACCCGTAACTTGGCGCTCCTTTGAACTCAGGCCGTTGAACACGTATTACACTAAAGCTTTCCAAGAAAGATTGTTCTTTTAAGTCGCTGAAGTCCCTTAGCTGATTTTCTTCGCTCTAAATCTTTGAGCATGAATTCAAGCAATGCTGATAGAGGAAAGCGTGTCACACAATTTGATTTTAATACTCTTCCTACGACAGGTAAACGTGGAGCGACAACAGAAAAAAGGGCAACAGGAAAGGCCGAGACGGTGGAGGCAGCACAGGCAGCAACAAACCGGTATCCCCCCAAAGATACTTCACACAGGAATGTTTCACAAGAAGGTATCCGCTTTGTCAAAAGGAAAAGAAGTTCACCGACGTCTTTGCGCCCTTCGGAAATCTCTTCGGGCTATCTGCAGACGTCGATTCCCAGCAAAAGCGAGTTTGACCGTCAATGGAAATCAAAAATCTCTATCCGAAACGAATCCCCCTGGAAAACGTTCAAAGCAATTTACCAATGTGATATCGCTGGTGAGATGACAGTAGTTAGTAAAGGATCCAGTGCGGAGGGGCTTTTTTCGCTACGCGGGTACCCTAGCCAGCAAGCCGAAGAGATGTTAAAGCTTGGTTCTTCCGTCAACAACGAAAACATAGTTTCCCTGCAGAGTTGCCTTCGCAGTGATGATATGTTTTTCACTGTGGGTGAATACATTCCACTAACTCTGAATCATATTGTTGCATGTCCAGCCTTTCCTGACGAGCGTCAGTTGGCGGTCATCATGAGCCAGGTCATGATTCCTGCCTACGATTTGAGATGGAATTTTGAGCTGACGTCTGCCAGATTATCAATGGTCTATCATTCCTCTTGTCTCAAGGTCTCAGCCACAGCCGGCTAGATTGCTCTGGGGTCCTGTTGAAATTGAACGGGACATTAAAGATTGGTACGTCCAGACGTCTTTTGACAGTCTTTTCATGATTACAGAGTAACTCACCGTAGCGTTCAGCGCGACTAGAGTTTTGTGAACGCAAAAAGCCAGACACATCGCAGAAAGCAGAGATTGACTCCATAGGGAAGATCTTGATGGTCCTTCTGCAGAAATACGCCAAAAAGGACGCAGTTGGTATTGACAACCTTACGCGTTGGCCCGCAAACTCTCTCGCTGTGGACTTTCTCTCAACCACAACCTCTGCAAATTCAATTGACGCACTAAAAGCGGTAAGCCCGGAAAAATCCATGATATTTTGAATTTCTCTGTGACACACTGTCCAGCATCCGTTGATTAGCAAAAACCTCCCGTGCAAAAGTGAACTCACCGGTTTGGCGTGGTTTGCTCTCATCTCTGCAAGGACTTTTTGTTCCTATGCTTATAAATCAGATCAATAGTATCACGTTTGGCCAAGACCTCTATATAAATGATCAAAGCTTACGATGTTCGTTTCTCTAGACTTCTAACAACCGAAGTTTGAGTTTTATGGAGGGTAGCGACACAAAACCAGGCTGAGCATCGGATATCTACAGATCGTAGTTTATGTTATTTCCCATATACTGTAGCATACTTGTCTATAGAAGAGTTTGTTTTGGCAAAGACAGTTAAGCGAGCAAAATTTACTGACCAGTGTGCGTTCATTTTCAATACGTGCTTAGTATGTTCCCGCAGCTCCGGGTAACGTTCAAATTACCGTGTCACAGACAGCCATGTAGCCGTACCAAAGCATGTTGGATCACCGCCGGCTCTATTATTTCATGAGATTGCGCCCAAATCCTAGTGTAACCGCAAATAGTTCCTTGATTCTTAGGAGTATTGTATAGATAGACAGGGTATGATGCTGTAAATAGCTTCATTGGTGGGCAGTAATGGAATTTATGATAATTAGACCCGGGTGATAATTAGACCAGGGAGGGCCCGAACCGTGGAAAGCGATGAGGGCCCCTGGGGCGGGTATAAGACTGTGACGGATGTATTTTACACGAAACTACTATACACGCGCTACCTCTTCCCAGCCCGGTCAGCAACCTCGCATCCTCAACCATCAATCACTCTATCGCGGTTTCACAGGTTTTTCAAGACTAGAGCATATACCACAGTAGGTGGCTAATATGAAATTGCTCACGTTGCTCAATTGGAGGGAAGCCAAAAACCTTTGAGCCAATGGCCCAGCTAGTTGATATGGCCTTTTTAGCGAATTCTTTAAGATCCGCTTCATACTGGCCAATTATTCTCTTATGCATGTTATCTGCTGCTGCGATAATCATGTGAGCTAAATTCAGCTGAATCACGAAGGGCAGTATTGGCACCCTGACCAGCTGTAGGAGGCATTGGATGAATCGCATCTCTGAACATGGTGACTCGAGCAGAAGACGTCCGAATAGGCAGATCGGGATGCGATGAAGAGATGCATAGAGTTGAAGTTTGGCTGTTATCCTGCATTTCAAGAACTTGACGTAATATGGATGCACAACCTTGAGTCAACTCGAGTGACAAGGATGCAGATTCCTCATAACACAGTCGCAATCCTTCCCCTGCCTTCTTGAGGACCGAGGGAGATATGAGCACCCAGTACACGTAGTCTTGAGGTGAAAATGTTCCGAGTGTTTCTCCCCGTCCAAAGTGAATTATTTCGAGAAGCAAAGTCTGATTCTTTTGATCGGCAGCTTTTTCCACTGCTATTGAAGAACCTTCGAGCCCGCTATCACGAATGACAGCTTGGAGGTCCTCGCCGAGTGGCGTTTTTCCACAAATGATTGTTCTTCCGGCACCTATCATCGGGAATTGGCCCAAATACTGCTGGCAAACTTGGGAGTTCGCACCATCTGCGCCTACTAATAAAGATGCTTTGAGGGTTGATCCGTCGGTAAAGTATGCCGTTATGCTACCGTCCGATGTCATGTAATGGTCTAAGCATTTGTTGAATAAGACATCATGGTCAAGGCCGTTAATGAGAAGCTCACGAAAACCGGATCGGTCAACTGTGTACGATTTGTGGGTTCATGGTGGCGGACCAAAACTTCCGAGTTGCATTAAGCTGCTTTCCCTGCTTAGGATATTCTGCGCAGGTTTGCTCAAACCGATTCCATAGCTCTGGCGTCAAGCAGTACTTCAAAGCCCGAATTCCCTCCCTAGCGAGGCGATTTCAATATCCTTGGAACCGAAATGCTCTCATCGAATCTCTTTCGACGACTTTGAAAGGTACTCGGTTTTCTTTTGCTTGAGCCAAACAAAGCCCACCGAGTCCTGCGCCGACGATAAATATTGGCAGTGGTTCATTCATGACTATTAGAAAATGCAATGAGGATGAAAGAGTGATATTGGGCAATGAAAGTTTGCTTGGTGAGTACAGCGTGGAAGCAAGAAAATAAAGCGGACTGGGTGAGGGTGCGGATAGGTCAGGGCTCCAGTTTCCATGGCATGTGACACATGCGGAAGTCGGAAAACTCGGACAAGTTGGAAAATCACGACCTTCCAAGCTTGGGGGGTTAGGTCAGTGGGGATTCACAACAATACAATGAAGATACTGTACAGTAGTTTTCGAAATCAGCTATGTATAGGCTGAGGAAGGAAGAGAGCGGACTGAGCTAATCTCCTTAATCAAGTTGCTTTTTTGTATTCCCTCAAGTTATTCAGTAAATCTCAAGCATTCCTGTTGGCGTCACGCGTCAGTCCATCCTCTCTTGGATAAAGACAACTCCCGTAGACGCTATATTCGACATGACCCGGTACGTGGCAGAACACACTGTCTAATTTCCATGGAAAAGCCACGTGATTGATATAATATACTGTACACCAGCCTCAAACTATACAGTACATATCACAATACAATACGATTTATTTTTGTAGTTTCTTGCTCCATGGTGGTCGCAGCATTCGGCGTTGTGCTCGCTCACAACTTTGTTTCTTTCATTCGCAGGGTAATGATCCGTTAAGCAGCGGGAGCGTCAATCTCCTTGTAATGACTAGCCTCTCAATTTTGTGGAACGTGGGAGAAAGGAAGATAGTGCGAAGCGCTGGTCGAGGGATGCTTCAGGAGGGGGCGGGGTTAGGGTAGTGCTGAGCACATCCAGGCTTCCAGTCAGAGTTCACGTGTCGTACTCGCACTGTATCGCGAAGAACTAGGTACCCTATCTTGCTGACCTCGCCCCGCCAGAATTAAAACAAGAATAAATCACATTCAAGCCGACTCCGTCCGCTCAATAATGAAGCCATACACAGAGAGTTCGCTAGCGGTAGAGTGTTGAACGGGAGTCCACAGGGGCCTACCTCTTGATGGTGAACACATGCAACTTACGAAACCATTCACGAAACCGTTTACGGAAAAAGTCCTTGCTGTAGGATTCAGAACTGCATGTGAAAATTATCTGCTCGGGAGCGTGAGGACATAGAAGCCCACGATTATCCATCTTTTGAAGACTCGGGATGGCCATTGCCTCCCCCGGGAATGGCTTTTGTCTTCTCTTCCAGGTTACCAGGATTTAGGATGGGGGATGACCATTGCCTCCCCCGCCTTCAGCGACTGGCAGACACCTTTTCGTGGTGCTGGAGTTTAGTACTCAAAATCCAAACGAGATTGAGGAAGCCAAGATCTGTCTATGCTTGTAATATCGTGGCATGAAACACATGTTTGGGTCATGAAGTATTGACCGCGATCACTAAAATCTGTCTCTGTGTTTGTCACAGATTCCTTCCTAGACTCCAGTCGTGATGAAAAAGCATCCGCGCTGTAACATCCGGTTTTTAAAGGTACCCACCCATATGTGTAGCTTGGGTCCAGTCAGCGCAATCGTTAAATTGGATTGAACCAAAGCGAAAATCCGTTTGTAGTTGAATACCAATAGGTACATTTGCAATGACGCTACAAAATGCCTTGTATGTACCTCTCTGGTCAATCGTTGAACAGAGCGACACTTTCGAATTTGACCTTAGATAACGAGTTGACCAGTCTTTAATGAAGCGTTTGTAGATAGTAGTGCAAGGACCAAGCCCATCCGATACTTAATGCTTTTGTCATCCTGGGCGCTTCTGTCAGCGATTGACGTTCAGGTGTCTCTACTGGGTTGGCTGGATTCGAGTATGGCTAATCTGGCTATGCAAGATATCCAAATATTCATAAGCCGCTCATCTTCTCGAAATCTGAAGCTTGTCCCGCTATTTAACCAGTTTATACCGCGGATCGCTCACCCTGGATAGCTGAGCCAGAGGCTGTTGGAGAACTGCGATTGGGAATAGCAAGAATGGACTAACAATCCTTCGCCTTGCTCATCGGACGAGCTGTAGTTCTTTTGATAGGCATTAAAAGATCTGCTAGGGAGGCGGCTATGCATATGCTTTATTTAGCATAGAGCTGGTGTTGAGCGTAAATCATCATTTCTCATAAGCTTGAGTCATGTTTGAACAACAATAGAAAGTCAAATCTCCCACGCTAGCGATTCTTTCAACATATTCTCGAAGTCTTATGAACAGGTGAATCCTGCGTTAGATTTAGAGGCTAGCTAGCTGTTATGCGGCTATAGAATCGTGAAAGTTCTCCATCAAATTAGAGCAATATAGATTAAGTAGTTGACCCGGAGTCTTAAACTTGAGATCTGACAAATATTCCATAGACTTAAAAGCGCCTCTGCGCCTCTGGGGCAATCCATAAACCGAGGGATTGCTATCGAAGCAATTTTTTCTGCTCGCATTGAGCGTCAATTCATAGGTTAGGCTAATTACATTTGTCTTTATGGGTCACGTGGACAACCTACTAACATAACAACAGCTTTAACCCCACCCTCAAAGCCTTCATGGTCAATCCAACCTGGAGGAAATCTGACAAGATGTCTTTAGTCTCCATTCCAACAGAGATTATCATGCTGATAACAAGCAATCTGGAGTCGTCGAAGGATATTTTCAGTCTTCTACGAGCTAGTTGCAAGCTCTACAGTCTCCTCATCAGCGAGCTTTACGAGAGAAATGTCAAGTCCGAAGGTGGATCTGCTCTTGTGTGGTACGCGAGAAACGGGTACCGACTAGGAGTTCGAAACATGCTGACTGCCGGCGCAAATCCCAACCTTCGAGACTCAAGTCGGGCACAGTCAACACCTCTCCTGGAAGCTATACGTTACAATCATGTTGAGATCGTGCAAATCCTCCTCAAAAACAGAGCCTTGCCAAATGCGGCAAATCTCTATTCGGAGAGGCCTTTGACTTTGGCGACGAGGGGCCGTAGCGACACATTCATTACTGAGCTGCTCATTGATCATGGAGCCGCGGTGAATTCGGTTGCATTTGACAAACGTGCTCCGCTTGTGGAGGCTATCCGCTCAAACCAGACAGCCAAGGTAGCGGTGCTTTTGAGGCATGGGGCCGATATACACATTTTGAATGGCCGAGAAGCAATGAGTCCCTTGCATATTGCGGCTGCAAAGAATGTTGCGCCGGCAATTCTAAAGATGCTACTAAATGCTGGGCTGTATGTGGACTCTCTCGACAGACAGGGGAGAACTCCGTTACAAGTGGCAGTGGCTCATTCAAGTATACGTGCTGTACGGAAACTACTGGAATACGGCGCCAATGCAAGTTTCAAAAATATGAGTGAATATTGGAGGGGATGGACTGCCCTGTTCTTTGCTTTGAAACCCAAAAGCACGAAAAATGATAACAGAACCATCATTCGAACTCTCATCATGCATGGTGCGCCGGTAGACTCTAGCAACTATGCGCACGAGACACCTCTACTATATGCGGTCTCCCGGGGAGCTACCAAGCAAGCTCAAATACTCCTTGAATACGGTGCAAGCATTACGGTAAAGAATTATTTTGGAGAAAGTGTCCTACACCTGGCTGCTTGGTCATTCAGCTGCCATTCCAATATGATAAGCCTGCTTGTGGAAAGTGGAGCTGATGTGAATTGCTCCAGCGGTAGGGATGGCGAAAGTCCACTCTTTTATGCGATGCGAGGCTCTCCTTGTTCAAAAGCAGCGGAGAAAGTTCAACTTCTTCTATCACTCGGTACTAATGTAGACTTTCAAAATATTGATCGGCTGACCCCTCTCTCTCTTGCCGCGCAGATGTGCTCCGTCGAACTTGCAAACATCTTACTCAAACACGGAGCTCGTGTTAATTCGCGAGACAAGCAAGGAAAGTCCCCCCTTCATCACATTGCCGAGGCAAATTTTGGTTCTGCTTCAATGGTCCAAAAATTTGCTGCACTTCTCATCCAACACGGGGCCGACGTGAATTCCCGTGATAATTTTGGTTATACACCACTGCATAGAGCTGTTGCAAGGGAGTGGATATGGGAGACAGCTGGAGATTTATTGAATGCTGGCGCCGATCGATGCGCCATGTCTGATGATGGAAAATATCCTTATGATATGGTACCTGCTGGCCCTTGGGCGGAGACTCAACGCCTGTTTCTCCGCCATTACCCCGTTTGACTTCTATCTACCCACTACTCGATATTCTTTGGCCTTGCTACGGATATTAAGCATTTATTTGCCTTGGATTCTTAGAAAATCCAATCAGCTGTCTTATTGCGAGCTTATGGGTGTACGCAAACCTTGTTTAATCGTACTGTACAGTATGGGATGCCTGCATTCTGGATCACCATAAATTCATCCGACTTGCGAAATCCCTTGGTGCTCATTCTGGCAGGGGTAGAATATGCTGGAGACATTCTGAGCAGTGCTAATGTCACCATTCGGGAGACCGTTGCCATTTCCAACCCTGTCGCAGTTGCAAACTTCTTTCACCATGTCGGTGACTCAGTCTTGAGCGGGCTCCTAGCTAGTGGCTGTGGAGATTTGGGAATCTTGGGGAACGTCTCCAACCACTAGTGTAGTCGAGACAAATAGCAGAGGCATGCTGCACCTCCATGCCCTGGTGTGGCTCTTGGGGAACTTAGTCTTCACCTCGCTGCGCCAGCGCCTACTCACTGATCCCGAATATGCAAACCGTATGATCCATTATCTTGAATCCATCGTTATCCAGAGCACCGACAGCACAATTCCAAATGAGTCCGATTCTAACGACCTGTCTATGCCGCTTTTCGCCCGGGGAACTGAGCCTGACGAGGCGTTCTTTGCACGACTAGTTGATATCGTACTGTAACGCGCGGTAGCTCGAAAGAAACAGTTACAGTACATTTGAAACACCATTTGTCGATCTGTTTCAAATACCAGCCCAGCGGTTCTGGGATGAGCTGGTCGGTTCGGTATGCCCCGGGAATTGGTCTCTCCTTTTGCAATTGACAAGTTCGGCATTATCCATCTCGTCCGCATTCATCCCTGGGTCAACCCGTGGAACCCGGCGCTTGCCAGCTGTTTTCGATCCAATTATGACAATTCTTGGATCCCTATAGTTTCCAAATCATTGTAATATTTTACATTACCAACGACACCACGAACGATGACGTCTCCCCGTGGCAAATAATCGCCAAGGCGGCCCTGTTTAAACAGTCCATTGAGAGCGCAAAGACGGCTGAGCTCCCCAACGCGACAGACCTTCGCCTTCAAGAGAAGGGGGCGACCAACTTCGTACTGCGTTGTTTCAACAAACTTGCCCATGACCGCGAGGTTAGTGGGGTCCAAAGCCAGTACGCTTCTTCAGTTTCCTTCCTATTACAACGATAGCTATAACTTCGTGCGCGTCCATCTTTGGTGGTTACGACAACACGTACGTGCCATGCTTCGATCAGAAGGCTCCTTCAACACAGCTCCCATGGCTGACAAGCTATGCTCACGCGACCGCCGGAAGAACTCCCAATATAGACTAGTTTATCTTGGCGTAAGGGTCACGAAAGTCAATCTGTCAGAGCACGTAATATAAGGGCCAATCAGCGGTGGAAAGAACTCTGTATTGCTATACCCCTGAATCTGGCCAGCAATTTATGGGGGTTACTGATTACATAAGAAATGATTACATCGGATCAACCAATAGTCCGGTCTCCATAGACTGTGGTGGTACTGTACTACTACGATAGGATCTATGTTCAACCGCGGTCCAAGCGGGATGCAACTTGAACGTTGTTCCGGTCACAAATGGACTAGTGAGGCGGAAGATAGAGTGTTGGTATGATCTCTACATGCAACTGCATTGAACCGGAAATGTCTATGCTCAACCGCGATCCGAGCGGAATGCAGCGCGAACGTTATCCCTGATCAACAATGACCCAATGAAAATGAAGATACGGCGTTGGTGTGATTGGGGGTACAGCTTGCGGGGCTAGATGACAGGGGTAGTGACCAGGTCGTTCGAAATAGCGTTGAACATCTACTAGATCCAGCCAGCTAACTAGATTCCAAGCATCTTTTTTGAACAGCGGCCCAAGCGAAACACAACGTGAGCGCCACCCCTGGTCAACAACGGTCAAATTAAGCTAGCGATATAGTGTTGATGTGATTGAGATGCAGCAATGGGAGATCGCATTGACATATGACTATCAAAAAATTATTCGAACTGGTGCGCGAATGGGGCAGCAGTAGTAGGTTTGCGTTGGGGTGTACACTTTCGCGATGCATCCAACGCCCGGGTAGCGAACGGTTTAGCCGTCGGCCTCGATCTTTGACACATTGCAGCCATCCGACGTTCCCGCTGAATGGCCTCACGACGCCGCAAGGCTTCGGTGGTCCATTCCGCAGACGGGATCGGCGGGGCCGAAGGCGTTCCCGGAAGGCCACCTACAGACACTGTCGTGCTACAGGCCCTGTCAACGCAGAATAATATGATCCACCAATGGGCAACGATGTCCAGAGCGCAAAGGCCTCCATCAACCAGGGTGTAAATCCCACCGCTGGACGCCGTGACTCACATGCGGTGAGTAGTTGGCTCCGTTTCACTGCTCGTCAGCATCTAGGGAAGACTACTTCATGGTCACTGCGCCATCATCGCATCCTATTTGTCACTTGCTGGGCGCAAATAACTGGCCCCAAGCATGTTCTCCGTTCTGCCCAAACTGCGTGGGAGAATGTAACCGCCACGGGACTTTGGTCACCTAGAGACCCGCTTGTCAGGCCCCAGCCCCCCTTCCTCCTGCCCCGTGGGACTCACACAGATGGACGAGATCAGATTCTGCGCCGCAGTGACTGTGCCATCACCTGCGTAATCTCGGGGCAGTTTCGCAAACGATGCCGCCAATTGTCGCCCCCTTTACGTTCGCAATTTGTGCCTTTATTTGATCTCCGGTCTCTTCGTAGTGCCATTTTAAAGTAATAGCGCCTGAGATTTGGATGCTGTAAGCGACTCTCAAACACCTTCGATCTCGCTAGGAACGGCCTTGACTGCCGGCTCCCGTTTGGCCGACCTGAGACGATAGGCTCAGTGTATGGCACACATTCTTCCCACCAACCCGGATCGGGTACGATCGTCCGGGTCCGTCCAGGCTTGCTCCGACACGCGCCATCTCGGCACGGTTGGACTTTCTCTTGACAGCTCAAGTCGAGCCATGGGCGTGCACAGACCGCGAAAAAACTCCCACGATTGGAAATTTTCAAGCAGTCTCCTGGGATACGTTGCGTGCGCCACGTTGGATACCGCTGTCCAGCTGAGAGAAATACAGGGGTCATTTAAAACTCGAACGGCTGCCTCGCCACTCTACGATGCATCTGCGCGGCGATAGGGGTAGGTGCACCTGCGGCGAGGCACATGATGCAGACGTCATGCGCCGCGGATCTTGACTTCTCCACGCCCCGGAGCCCCATTTGATGCGGAGCCCTTGTCCTTGCGTTGTGTCACAATACCCCAACTACCGCACTGAAGCCACTGGGAACGCGAGAAATGCTCAAGCCTAATCGAACTCAAGTAAATTCCGTTCATCTACTAGTCAACGAATTCGCGCCGTGATAGACAGAGGGGGTGAGAGCGCAACTTGACTGAACGTCTTTTGCTGCCTGGGCAAGATGATTTATCGAGATATCTCCCTTTGGGCTGAGGACCTCACTGCTTTACTCCCTAGCGCGGAACGTGAGCCCCGGCACGCGAGATGGACGGACAAATACAGACGCGGCGTGCGATCCTGAGTCCTGTTCCAGCACTATCCGGCTGACACGGCGGTATGGTCCCTTGATGTTCCGAATCCAACGATCATATTTCCCATTTGGCATCAGTCTCTCTCGGCAGCTGGGTAACAGTATTGAGTTGTACGCTTATCTATTCGATATCGGTGTAAGGAACAACTGGTCGTCAATTTCGGGTTTGCTGCCTCGAACAGGTCCCCGCAGCTAGGATCCCCCTTAATCATCGCCCGGCAAAAAGCCAGAAACCCCGAGCCGTCCAGCATCACCGGGGGAAGGAATGCTAGACTTTACCGCAACTCCGAGACGACCGTCGATCTAATCTACAGCAAGTACTTCTGTGCAGGAGAATAATCGATGATATGCAATTAAATTTAGCTAGAACAAACAGTTGAAGTAGACAATCACGCTGCCGTAGTTATGTTCACAAGAAGCCCTCAATGTCCTCCTCTGTCCAAAGCTCCCCAATATCGAATTGGCTGCTCGGGGGTTTCGAGAGTTCCCCGAAGTGTTTTGGACGAGCAAACCCTTGATTCAGAGGGACAAACGGCATGCTGCCAGTGGATTGCCGAGCGATCGGAGGCTGGGACGGGGGTGCCGAGTATCCTTTCATCGCCCCAAAAGGACTTGAGCCCAAAGAACAGTTGATGAATTCTAACTGGCCCTGTTTTATCTGAGGGTTCATTCCCCACGGTTGGTTTGGGTCCGAGATGGCGTTCTGCGGAGGCTGGCTGAACTGAGACAGTATCTGTCTGTTGTTGGCGGCAGCGGGCGCGTGGGATTGAGTAATGAAAGAGGGTAATTCTACTGTCGGTCGAGACTGTTGTTTGGCCAGTCCCTCACACCGATCGTCATTTCTATGGGCTTGTTCCGCAGAGTTCCCAATGTCAACACCACTTATTTGGCAGAGTAATGGCGACTCAATCCCCAGTTCTTTTAGTGTCTCACTTAGCTCGCGTTCCAAGCCTACTGCACCTGAAATTATTTCCAGGCGTCGGAGGCAATCTTCGCAGATCTTGAGGAGGTATTCGACGACCTTATTGCATCGTGTGTGATTGTTCAACATATCTTGCTGGTTCGTAGGGGTCAGGAGTCGACCGGTATAGCTGAAATTCCCAACATGACTTACCAAGTTATTTTTTCCACCCATAACTTGACTTAGTTGGTCAAGTATCTTTGTTGCTTGACGCTGCACCTCTTGCTTGGCCGTAATATGTTGATTTTTAGCTTGTGACATGTTCGTCTAATAGAATTAAAGAGTTCGATATCAATGCTAGGGATGTTTTGAAAAAAAAGTCGGCTTTTAGTAAATAAAACACCAGAAGTGAGGGTTGTAGTGGGCCACTCATTTATCAATGTTCATGACCGTGCTGAACTGAGGGGTTTACTTATCGACTCCATCCAAATCGAGACCACGTGCAACGCAAAAGCCAGTAAAACAGCTCGGATCTGGCTGCAATTTTCGTTTGTTGTTATGTCTTTTTAGCCTTTTTTCCTTTATTGGAGAATTTTTAAGGTGGAACCTTGTTGAACAACCACCCTAATACAAATATTACGCGCTTGGCATGACGTAGAACATCATGAGACCCGCATGTGCTTTTTATTAAACTTTCGTTTAACGCGGAAGTCTATAGGACAGGTTCCGACCCCGCTGCTGAGCTCGCTTGCCGATAGGAACGAATCACAGCGCCCATGTTAGTGTTACACTACTGTAGACTGTCCGACATGCACCGCATTATCGGTGAACTTTAAACTTCCAATAAAATTTCCGACAGTGCTCAATAACATACCTGGCTACAGTAGTTTTCGAATTCAGTTTGACCTCTCACTCTTTAGACTTGATTCCCAAAAGATAAATCCTAAATATGTTCTGATTGGATGTTAATTTAAACACTTTGATCTAGACCGCTTCTACAATAGTCCATATATTTTACAATACGCCTCCAGTACCATGGGTGGTGTATTTTACACGAAATGAGCAAACACATCGCCCCTCTCTTCCTTTCGTGACAATCAGCACTTCCTGCACAATGGCTTCCTGCACCACCGTTGTTAGTCCGGGCGACATGGCTCCAAGACTCGCCTTCTAAGCTTGTTCATCCCTGATACAGTATCACCTACAATCATCGAAAGTGGTATTCTCGAGCGTTGTCGCACGTTTCGCGACAATTGAAAATGCAGTTTAGTGGCAAAAAGAATTTTTCAAGTGTAGTACAGTAATGTTCGAAATCAACTACAGGGTGACCAAGAAACAAACGTCCTCTTTTTCACCGCCTTATCGCTTTCCTTACATACCGCTTTACGAAATTACTATACGTAACGCATTTATTTTTTAAACTCAGCTGGATATACGCGGTATGATACAAACTAAATACATCAAATATTTTCAAAATGATGGCAGAATTATTGTGGAGAAGGACGTTTGTTTCTTGGTCACCCTGTATACCTCCACACTCTTCCAACTTGATTGCCGGAAAATATACCCGGTAAACGCTAAACCCTTTTGGAGGACCGCTCTGTTTTCCTCGCATAACGGTAATGGTATTGTCTTTACAATATTCGATGAGTCATCGTCTTAGCACGGTATTGCCTCATGTCTCACAGTGGTAATGTAAAGTTATAGATACCATTTCGACAAGCGGTCTGAAAAGCCAATGTCGGTAATGGTATCTAATCAGGACTCGCTGCCCTCGGAATTAGTCTCCGATAAATAAGTCTTAAGAGTCTGGAGGTATAACTAATTTCGAAAATTACTGTACATAGATGTAACTTGCAAACATAGTCCTAATACTAATTTCACGTAAAATGTGTTGGCTCCGAGTGTCCGACAAAATTGGAAATTGTACTGTGAAACTACCTCTAGACGTCCTGGAAATGGTAAAACACAACATTTGTAAAGGCCAATAAATTAATTTATTGACGTGCGTAGCCTGGAAAGAGTTTATGCGATGTCAGATCAGCAGGAGCTCCGAAACCATTCCTCCTGCGGAACAACTAACAGATGCTTGTTCGGACATTCTATCGAGGAATGTCGGTCTTATCTCTTTTGCATTTGTCCACAATGGCTTTCCATGCGGCAAGAGCTTGGGTTTCAGTTTCTTGCAGTATTTGGATTATCAAATTGAGCTCATGAATAATCTTTTGAGATTCAAAATGACAATGAAGATTTTGGGTGCTGTCTGATTCATGTAACATAAGCAAGGTGCTGGCTGTCTTGGCGACAGTGTCTTGCAGCTCTTGTAGGAGAGAATAACAGGTCCTGTAATATCTGTTGATGGCACGTTGTCGTCCTATCTCGCGGATAATAGAAACCTTTTGATCGATCATTATGCTAGAAACTTTGAAAGGCCGATTAAGTTAAGGTTTCAATACGCTTAGCAACAAAAGAATGTGATACAGTCATTCTCGAAATCGGCTTGACCGATGCACACTGAGTAACTCTTCTCTGGCCCCGCCGCCAAGGCTTTAGCGCGCATAAAATATTGAGCAAGCCGGATTCAAAAATTGATGGGCAAGTGGTAAATGATGCAGTATGGTCCTGTATAATCTGCCACGTGCAATCAAATTTAACTTTTTGGACGTTGATCGGTAAGTTCAACGGTCATTGTCCAATATGGCGCCCCAATACAGATGGCAAAATACTGCAGCCCTCATCTTGATGAGGCTCGCTCAATAAATTATCTGCGCTAAAGCCTTGGCGGCGGGGCCAGAGAAGAGTTACTCGGAGTGCATTGCTCAAGCCGATTTCGAGAATGGCTATACTATGACTAATTGACTCAACATGGCCCCTCTTAATCTGTCCGGCATCAAGCCTCACCTATATCCGTGTAAATCAAGACGAGCGAAGAAATGAACAACTTTCCCGCATATTTTCTCAGATGTTCAACAAAGTTGAGGTAATAAATGAAGTACATGTAATCCTAGAATGACCAAGAGACTCTGGGCTTCTGCAATTGCGAAATGTCAATAAGCATTTGAACGTCTTTCTTAATTTAGTGTCTCAAATTCTCACCTTTCCCCAAAAGGTCTCTACAATACAGTCTATTTTCGCAAAGATCAAAATAAATATATCTAGAGCCCATCAATGGTTCAGATTACCTTCATTCAGAGTATATCTGTGAATGATGATATCAACGCTCGCCTCTGATCTATATATTGACTTTTTATCTGTCAGATAACGACAACAGGCAATACTGAAATGTTTAGCTTACTCTTCACAATATCCGTAGGATCTAAAAACATTAGTTTCCTCGATTGCGCTGACGCACGATAGATACCGCCTTCGGATAATGGCAATACCGACGCCGATCCCATACATAAAACTGTATGTTCCGAGCTAGTACTAGCATACTTTGATAATGACAGTGTTTTAGATCGCAGACCAATTAATCCAGCTTGTTTGTCACCTTGACGGTTTAGAGCCTGGCTCAAAAGCCGCAGTAGCGCATTACTTACAGAGCCACTGCCATTATTTTTCTCTAAAGTTCGACACTGGGACGGAAGCCCCACTTCAAGAAAAACCTCATGTACCCCCCAGCTCATTGCTTGAAAGGGCACACACTTCCGCTCAACGAGTAAATCCCACAGCAAGAAGATATGCAAGCCTTTCCTCAAGCCCGTCGCACCATAACGATGAAGCGCACTCCCAGAGCCCATTCGATGCTTTTTTTGACTACCAGGCGTATAACCCATTCAAAGATGACCTCGACCCAAAATATCATGCTTCTATTAACTTTGTAATGTCAAAATATCTGGCCGCTGGTGTTGAATTGAAAGACCAAGACAAGCTTTTAATGACATTCAAGGCAGGACTAGGGTGGTTACGTCAAGATATCAAGTTGTTCATCGACAACCATCTGTCATGTTGGCTACAAGGTGGATTATGGCCAAGAAGCTCCCAGTCACCAGAAACCTCGTCCATTTTGTTTGCAGATTTTTCTACAGATATGATATGTGCTGGTATTAATTTCAACCCAGAGACTCTACGATTATTACGAAGGCTTGCGCGGGTTCGCTTGTTCTCGTTGTATGAGGAATGCAGGAATATATTTGCCCAACCTGATCATGGAAATATGGGTGTCAATTTTCGTTCTATGGCGGTAGATTACATGCTCCAAAATTTCCATACCGACTGGCCAAAAATGGACGAACATATGAAACAAGCTTGCCGACAACGTTTTCATACAGAAAAGTCCAGAGGGAAGCGATGGGTGCAGATGATGATATATCTAGGCCCAGGAATACTTGTCACGTGCGATAAAGAAATGGATATCCAATTGTGAGTATGTGTTCCTTCTGGAAGGGTCTTCCGCATTCTAATGAATGCTATAACTAAGGAACAAAAGCGGGTTTTCCTCCCAAATGCTGCGGCTTTCCGCAAGTTTCTTAATTAATGTCTTCCCTGACTCCCGAAGGGTGCTTGGCTTTTTCAACAACATTGCCAACCTGTTATTGAAGAAGGTGCAGGTATTAGAGACAATCAGCGAGAGATGGTTGCAAACAGTGCGCGGCTTGGATTATGACGAGGTATTGCAACCACTAGACATGACTGACGTAGACAACCGAGGATGGTGCGATATGACCGAACCATCTGACGAAGATCTGTCAAGCTTTGCTAGGGGTTGTCTGCATGATTCTATTGATAGGTGCACGTAGGCTTCCGCAGGACCCAGGCTGGGTACCCATTGGGGCCCAGGAAAACCCAACTCTACATAAAACCAAGGTCTTCGCAATTGTAAAACGATGATAAATTATACATTTGTATTGTATAATACCACATATTATCTCTCTATATTAATTTAGCCTATTATATCAAAAGATAGATATATATACAAGCTTTTTATAATATTAGTAGACTGCGCAAAAACCCGCAAATGGGCCCAAACCTTAGGCCCACGGCCCAACCACAACCCACAACCCACGATGGGCCGAGATATTCGGCACCATCTATAGCCCATCTCAGCCCATTTTTGCATTAAAAACAGGTCTTGGTGTACTGTACATAATCCAGCTGGTTCATTTAATTAGATACTGTTATATACTGTTATTTAATATGTTTTGGTCTAA